AAACAGGGGTACTGCAAAAGGGCCAGCCATACGATGTAAAGCCAACTCCTTTCCAATCTTCCTGCGGGCGATATCTGGCATCTCCCGCACAGACTTCTGATTGCGAGGATTCTGTGCCACGGGCACCGTGGCTACAGGAATCCTAAAACCCACTGAAAACCCTTCTTTCAAATAAGCTGCAGCCTCGTGGTTGGGATAAGACTGCAGCCAAGGCAACAATGCCGACAGTTTTATCGGCGTATATACCATAGACAGTAAGTCACTACTTTCCAATTCCAGCGGAAGAGGTAGAGGGTGTGGCCTTTGGGGGTTGCTGAGCACCCCCTTACCCCCCTCGAAAGGGCCGCTTACCCCCCTGACAATTGGTAGCGGGGTGACTCCCGCCACACTTATCACACACATGGGGATATCTGCAAGGCTGCCGTTGGCACTCTCCTTTGTTGAAATCCCAACAGATTATCTTACGCCCAGGCCGAACAGGGGCTGCCTTTGGCATGGGCTGTTCCAGGGCCTTCCGCTCAAAATGTGGGACCACGTAAGTGGTCCACACATCCAAATCCCTGTGGTCCCATCGAGCCGTAGGGATTTTTGCAGCGCGACGTCGAAAATTTTCATCGTAAAGGATTGCTGCCTCAGCGCCAGCCATGGCGTGCGCCGAGTGGACAATAGACAGGTACACAAAGAGATGCAAAGCTCTCCAAGGATAAGAAGCTGAGACAACCCCAGCAAAGACCTGGCAGCTATCCAGCCAGCGCTCGAAAGTCCTATCCGTCTTTTTAAGCACAGTCCGCCTCTTTGGGGCAGATACGGCTTTATCAAGAGCATCCAGGCTTGCGGTTGGTGGTGCCAGGTCAAAAATGTCCACATAGCGGCCATCCAAAATCCAAAACAACTATTAACCTGCCTGGCAACAAGAGGCCTGGCCTGGCGGCCCACACCGCAACACGTGCTCTCATTTATTGGAGAACACGCTTTGTCAGTATATTACTGGGAGCACTTGGATGCTATGGTGTAAATATGGGATGGGATCAGGGCCGTAGCTAGGGGGTGGCGAGGTGGGCCCCCACCAGGGGTGCCAGCAATGGGGGCCCCCCCGCAAAATCGGCTAAAAATATGTCCATCAATATAAATATCGATTATTGCCTCATAAGAAATGGTTTTAAATAGAGGGTGAAGGAGAGGTGGAAAGAAGAGCTAATTTGTCCGTGGCTAGGGGGCGCAATCTGGATGGTTCTGCCAGGGGCACAAGATCACCTAGCTATGCCTCTGGATGGGATATAATAAAACAGTTGGATTATGCCAGTAGGAGGTATTTCAACAGCATACCATTTATCAAGATTCAAGCTGCAGAATTCTAATGTTACTCTACTGCTGATATTTTAGGAGAGTGAACGATTATTGTGGCACTCTGCTGTTTGACACTTGAATGGTTGTAAGTTCTTACTCAGGCTGACAAATGTGTATGACAAATGTTTTATGATGACAGAAGACAATTGCTAATGGCTTTGAGTATTGACCCAGACGTGCCCTCTATGGTGCAAATGGCTGAGAAAAAACATTCTAATGCTTTTGCTATTGGACAGAGATTACTGGGCTTGTCTTCTCTTAGCATGATGATGTAGAAATATTTATGAGGGTCTCATCTGTATTGATGATGCATGCGAAACTGCCATTTTATTATAAGGGCCTTTCAGATTAGGGTTGTGCATGCTTTCTGCATAGTAAGTATTGCAGGGGGGAGGATCACAGGGGACAGTTGCTTCTTTTTGTTTGATTGGGAAAATAACTTTTTTATAGCAAGGTAAGTAAAGTGGAAACGGGTCAAGGGACAAGGGACACGGGTGGCGCTGTTGGTTAAACCACAGAGCCTAGGACTTGCCAATCAGAAGGTCAGCGGTTCGAATCCCTGTGACAGGGTGAGCTCCCGTTGCTCGGTCCCTGCTCCTGCCAACCTAGCAGTTCGAAAGCACCTCAAAGTGCAAGTAGATAAATAGGTACCGCTCCGGCGGGAAGGTAAACGGAGTTTCCTTGCGCTGCTCTGGTTTCCCAGAAGCAGCTTAGTCATGCTGGCCACATGACCCGGAAGCTGTACGCCGGCTCCCTCGGCCAATAAAGCGAGATGAGCACCCCAACCCCAGAGTCGGTCACGACTGGACCTAATGGTCAGGGGTCCCTTTACCTTTACTAAGTAAAGAGGATCTTTAATATCAGCCTGAGACTTACCATGCTTCACTATTTTGGTTTTTGATGATGCATTAAGGCACAGCACTAATTCTGATGCATCTATTTGCACTTTGCTTAGTTTCTTCATAATTTCCACACAGTGTATGTATATTACAGCAACTAACAACTCAGATATATTAATTTTTTTAGTAAAACCTTTTGGCTTCTACCTTCTTCAACTGCTATGATATGCTGTAGCCAGTTCTAGAACACTGAGGATATAATATTAAGGTGTTTGGTTTGGAGTAGCTGAGGTATGTCAGTTATTATCCTCCAGACTGACACCATATGGTTTTAAGGTGTCAAGTCTTTAGACCCAGAACTTTCCTCTTGTTTCAAATCTTCTAGAATCAGATAACTTCTCAATTGCAGTAATAAATCAATCTGAGAGATTGTGATTCTCTGAATTTAAGTGCTTTGCAACTGGTTGTTGAAATGTTTTTTGTTTGTTTGTCAAGACTGTAGATTCATGGTTCCTAAAATGACTCTGTAGGTTAGTTATAGTTACAGGTAGGTAGCTGTGTTGGTCTGCTGTAGTTGAAACAAAATTTTAAAAAATCCTTCCAGTAGCACCTTAGAGACCAACTGAAACAGTGTATCTGAAGAAGTGTGCATGCACATGAAACCTCATACCAACAACGTATTTTTCACTCTATAAGACACACTTTCCCCCTCCTAAAAAGTAAGAGGAAATGTGTGTGCATCTTATGGAGTGAATGCAGGCTCCATGGCTTCAGTGAAAGCAATGCGAAGCCTCCAGAGTGCAGCAGGAGTGCTCCACACAGGTGAGGCCGATTGGTAACTCACAGCACCTGGTGGCAAGAGCCAAAGGGAAATGCTGACCTTATATCCCTTCCTGGCTCTTGCCACCAGATGCTGTGAGTTACCAATTGGCCTCACCTGTGCCTTGCCTCTTGAGAACAAACTTAGGAAGGCCCCAGTCCTGCAAAGTCCTACTGGTCACAGGGCCTAGCTCCTGCACACACTCCTGACACTATTGTCTCCATTCCAAAGTTCTTCAACAGGTTTTGCCAGCACTTCATCATCAAGGGGACTCTGCCATATGCACTGGAGATTCCCTTATTTCTGCAGACTCCATATCAGTTATTTATTCATTAGGAAATTGAGCAGAAATTAATGCTTCCTATTATTCAGCACTGTTCTTTTCCCTCCACAGATCGCTTTTCCAAAAATGGTAGCAAGTTGTTGTCGGTTCCTGTGCTATTTTTGTCGAATCAGTCGCCAGAACCAAAAGGCTATGTTTGAGCATCTAAGCTACTTACTTGAAAACAGCAGTGTTGGACTTGGTATGTTGTATAATTTTGATAGTCATTCACCTACATTTGCCGTATCAGAAGTTTAACTTATGGCCTTTTAGCTTTCGATTGTGCTACGATCTTGGTTTGGCGGTTGTTTTTTATATGCGAATGGTTGAATTTCATCTAAACTGCATTTAACTACTGCCCTCTGCTGCATACAAATCATAACTGCAAACCAGTTATTTTAATTACTATGCATTATCATGTCTTTGCTACAGCTTCTCCTTCAATGAGGGGTTCCACTCCACTTGATGTAGCAGCTGCCTCAGTAATGGACAATAATGAGCTTGCACTGGCGCTGGAGGAGCCAGACCTTGAGAAAGTAATCACTCACTGTCTTAATTTCTTCTTCTTCTGGTCCCCTTGTTTTATTGTCAGTCACGCCATGTATTACTTAACGAGGCTTAGTTTTCACTTGACATATATTTTTAACTTTTATTGTATGACTGCAGTCCGTTCACCCTTAAGTAGAATAGTAAGCAGAAGGTAAAAATAAAATAAATCTTGAGTTCTCTCATTTATGAATTGTTCTCAATATATTAAAGATATGAAGGATACTTTTTTAAAAAAAAGTATGGTGGTGCAGAACCATGGAGCCACATTCCTGATACAGGTGGCATTGCTACATCTTACCAGGACACAACAGGAGCAGGGCTACCTGGATACACCTGTGCAAGCACTGAGTTTGCTCTGCTAGGGTATAGGTTCAGCCCCAAACCTGCTGCTGTCCCACCCCTTTTTCATCCAGGTAAGATGCAGAGTCAGGAGGGCAACTTGGCTGCTCAGTTTCACCACACTAGCCACAAACGTGCATAAAATAAATAAGCAACTGCCCTACCTAAAAGTAAGCTTCTGCGAAGCCTTCGGGAAGTGAAAAGTGTTGGGAGAAGCTTTCATGATCAGAGTGAGGCCAGGCTATGAACAGGACTGATTGTTACCTCAAGCCCTGATTGTTACCTCAAGCATTTGCTCAGGGACACTAGTGTTTGCGAGTGTCCTTGACTGAATGCTTGAGACATCTATATTTCTGTCATTGTTGATCACCTCTTTGGGGGTGAATATGTCTGGATTCAGTGCCACCCCACTGAAGGACTAGTGTTGCCAGAGCTAATCTTCTCTTGGGCAATATAAAAATACCACAAGTGTTTTTCAGACTTCTTGGTATCATATCCTCCCCTGCCAATAATCAGTTTTGTGCCAGTTAGAAAAAAATCCATGTATGAAAAATAGTTTCTTTCTGCAAGCAGATCCTTTCTTTTCTCAATTCAGAGTGGTAAACTCCAGTAAAATTAACTGTTCCACTCCTTCTACTCTTTCCAAAGATTTGCACATGGATTTAAAAAATTGAATCACCTTGTACTTTTAATTCATTGGAATAAACCTCCTGTAGATATTACCAGTGTTTGTGTTTGGCAGGTTGTAACGTACTTGGCAGGCTGTGGTCTCCAGAGCTGCCCCATGCTTTTAGCAACAGGATATCCTGACATTGGTTGGAATCCAATAGAAGGTGAACGATATCTGTCATTCTTAAGATTTGCTGTTTTTGTTAATGGTAAGTTTAGTTACTGGATTGACAAATATGTGAAAATGCATATTTTACTATGACTGAATCTCATGAGTTGCTCTCTCAGGAAAACAAATCACAAGCTTAGTTCACAAAATCATAAGCTATTTTAACTGTAGGTTTTGGTTTTGGTCATTTGTTTTTATTCAAATTTTATTTGTTTTTATGCAGATTTACAGGTTTGAACTATAATTCCATTTTTTCCCCCATTTTGGCTTTATAAATTTTTGTCATGCCCTTCAATACTAACATTCCAAGGACAGCCAATGTTAATTAAGATAACAACAACACTGATCAAATGAGTAGCAGCAGATAAAATACACCAGTATCCCCACAATATGTTTATTGAAGCATAAAAGCCACTCCATCATACTTTAAAATAACAAAGGCTTTACCTGGTGCTGGAAAGACACCAGGTATGCCTCAATGGGAAGAATATTCCAGATAAGGGCCTCTGCAAGGAAGAAGCTCCTTTCCACAGCTGTTACCTGTGCTAAGCCAAACAGCAGAGGCATTAGGAGGAAGGCCTCTGTTGATGGCTTCTGACTGTGGTTCCATTATTTGAGGCTGAGGCTTTTCCTAAGATGAGTGCCTTAGTTATCACACAGAATGGCTCAATCAGATTTCCTCTCCAATCTTTCCTACTGAGTTCTGTCTCGGAGAACCAAAATTTTGACACCAGAAGAAAATAACTAAACCAAATCTGAATCAAAGATCTGAAATCTGAATGGTTAATTCTCTGCACAAAATTTGGATTTTGGGGTGTGCGTGCGTGTTCTTTTAAAAATAATGTATAGAGTTCACACAGCATTACTGTTTGGTTTTATTATTCATGTTAGTAAAATTTGCTTTTTTGTTTTTAGGTGAAAGTGTAGAGGAAAATGCCAGTGTTGTTGTCAAGCTTCTAATTCGGCGTCCCGAATGTTTTGGGCCAGCTCTGAGAGGAGAAGGAGGAAATGGTTTGTTGGCTGCTATGCAAGGAGCAATTAAGATATCTGAGAACCCAGCTCTTGATCTTCCCTCTCAGGGATATAAGAGGGAACTGTACGTGGATATACACAATACTTGACATTATTTTGGAATATGCCATTCAAAGTCTGCCTTGATGATGTGTCAGTTACAATAACATACCATATGGTAGAAAAGGACACTTAGCAATTGCTCTCACTTCTGTAACCATGTAGAAATACTTGGCATAATGAGATGGAAAAGCAAAACAATACTCTCTGGATGTATTGCCTAGAAATCTTGCTTCTCTAGAAGTATGGACATATATCTTTATATAACTGCAATACATACTGCTAGAGGCACAATTTCTTTCCAGTACTGCTGACCTGACCCTTCCATGAAGTAAATTGGTACTGGATATTATTTCTTAATACTAATGAACATGCACCCATATAATGCTTTGAATCGCTTTGTTTGTTGAATTTGAGATTTCAGAAACAAAGTGTTAGGTATACTTAGGGTTATTATGTACAATGTTAATCCTCCTCACAGTAGACCCATTGGAAACAATAGACATGACTAATTTAGGGCCAGTAATTTTAGGGGGTGTACTCTGAACAGTCCCTGATCAACTAAGTAAAAGTTAGTGGAAATACAACCCTTACAGATACTTTATTTACATTTATTGCATCAATATGCTCTTCATCACTCTGCGTGCCTCTGAGCCAAAAATGGGAATATAAATAAACAATAACTCAAATCAGCAGGACTCCAGCTCACTTGTGCAGCCTCCTTTATCTACTGTTTGAGCTGAATAACACTCCGTGAAGACCAGAGAACCCTCATGCCAGAGTCATGTGAAATGAGCTACTTTGAGAAGAGTGAAGGAAGAAGTGGAAGAGAGGGAGGTGCACAACCATTCCCCACTTGTTGCTTCTCTGTTCCAAATTAGGAATTCTTCCTGTTTAGGGAGCCATTTGCTCTTCTCCGTGGGTTTTCAAACACATCGTTATGCTTGTGTTTGTGGAGAGGGGCTGGAGCAGATTAGGAAAGGGAGAGGAAAGAGGAAAGCGCACACCATTCTCCACCCTGAATAGCTTCCTCTCACAGCATTCAATCTTTCTCTGCTGGGATTCCAATACATGCATTTGCATGTAACATTTAGTCCATCCGGATTCAGGGAGTATATATACCCATTCTAGTGGGCTGCTGTGCATTCCATCCTGGGTGCCAGCCAATACACACCCTGCCCACAGGGGAATCGGATGGAGTTCATTCTAGGGTTTGTTTTTGGGTGAAAGCTCGAAAGAAAGAAAAGAAGGCATTTCTGTTCGTGCCTTCTTGCTTTGGGTTCACACTAGGAGATAGAAAAACAAACCAGCCATTATTCCCTGCTTAGTTGAAGCTGGGTTTTTCTTTTAATTCTTGTTGTTACTGCTATTTTAGTTTCCAGATCACTTTGGATTTTATCCATGCCTGCTTGATTTCTTTTTAACAGTCTTGAAGAAGATGAAGAGGAGGAGGAGGTTGTGCATATGGGCAATGCAATTATGTCTTTCTACTCAGCTCTTATAGATTTGCTTGGGCGTTGTGCACCAGAATTGCATGTAAGTGTGTGTGGGGGGGGGGGTTTCTTTGTGCAGAAGCAGCAAAAGGTCACACGACACACTTCAAGCTCCAAATATTACCAAGCAACCTGAGTCACCTTCTCACATCATTATCATCAGTATAAATAATCTCTGTTTACTAAAATGACAATTTAAACTAAGATAAAACTATCCATTTAATTTTTCAAATGGAAGGCCAGAATAGTATATTTTTGCTGAGAAGGCTCCCTCCTGCACTGAAATAGTTGTAATCTTATGATACTCTTAAATAAAGTAAAGAGGAACTAAAGTATTATAAGAGTATTTAGCCAATTTTATATAGTACTTTATTTATGTAATATTTATATTCATGTAGTACAAGTATTTATTAAAAAGGAAAACTATTTATCCCATAGAATGACCCTTTAAGTAGCAATATTTAAACAGTTTGTATATGTATAAAAAGAGTCCATAATTTTGCAGTTATTTACATTTTTAAAAGAGAGAGAGAAAATTTAAAGAGAACATTGCCTCTGTTAATTGAATTTTGTGTAAAAATACAGCTCATCCAAACTGGAAAAGGTGAAGCTATTAGAATACGTTCCATCTTGCGTTCCTTGGTGCCAACTGAAGATTTGGTTGGGATTATAAGCATACCTCTAAAATTGCCAGCAGTAAATAAAGGTAAGGCATTTTTAAAAGTATTGGGTAAATACCACTCAATCAATTTCTCTGTATGCCATCCTTCCACAGAATTTGTTTTCAATGCAGCTTACAATGATTAAAAAATAGAATAAGCAATTCAGTATTAAAGACAGTACTGCATAGCAACCCCCCCCCAAAAAATCTAACTATATCAGTATATCAACTACTTCATTAACAATTCAGACATCTTCAAATATCTCAAGGGCTATCATATGGAAGAGGGAACAAGCTTGTTTTTTCCTGCTCTGGAGAGTAGGACTCAAACCAATGGCTTCAAGTTACAAGAAAGGAGATTCTGAGTAAGCATCAGGAAGAACTTTCTGACAGTAAGTGCTGTTAAGCAAGTGGTACAGACTCCTATGAGAGGCGGTGGACGTCCTTGGAGGTTTCTAAGCAGAAGTTGGATGCCCATCTGTGATCGATGCTGTACCTGAGATTCCTGCATTGCAGGGGGTTGGACTAGATGACTGCTGGGGTCCCTTCCAACTCTACAATTATATGATTCTATGATCAACCAATCCTCTCCTATTATGCAACGGCAGTATTTCATCTTCTATAATCAGCTGCAATAGAACCAGTCCCTGCAGAGGAATGCTTCTTTGGCATCTATTCAGTCTTCTTCGTGGCACCCAAAAAAACATGGCGCTTCATGGAAAACCCATTCTGGACCTAAAATTTCTGAACCAATGGGTAACCTACAGGAAATTCAAAATGGAAAGTCTTCCGTCTATCAAAGAAAATCTCCAGACCTATTCACATCAATAGATTTCTCTTCCAGAAGCTTACTTCCAGGTAACCTCAGCCAATCAGCTAGTCCACTTGGGGGCCCTACTGGAAACCTCCAGAGGCCTAGTTCTTTCTCTCTGGAATGTATGGAAAAGATCAGCTGAGGTTCTGACATTCAGAAAATCCAATATAGTGGATTTCATGTTTATGGCAAGGGTTCTAGCTCTGGGCATCTGAGTGGTGCATAACACTCTATTTGCAAGCACCATGCCCATCATCTCCAATGGGCTCTACTGCCTACCAGAAAGACTGCATCGAGCAAGACATCTGCACATCAAACTGCCCCACCACCTCTGCCAAGCCTTGAGATAGTGGGCAGTGATCCAGCCTGTAGAGGGCTCTTCTTTTTGTGATCATCCGAGAACAATGATCACCTTGGATGCCAGCCCCACAGGGTGGGAAGCTCACTGTGGAGAGCTAAACATCCAGGGCCTATGGTCTCCCACCAAAGCGTCAATGAGCATCAATTGGCTTGAGCTCTTAACAGCTCCCTTGCCCTACAACACTTTGCTCCTCATCTCCAACATCCTAATCTGCATGGATTCCACCACAGCAATACCCAACATCAGCAGACAAGGAGGTACCCACTTTTGGCAGCTTCAGGCAGAAGCATCCCTCTTCCTCAGCTGGGCAGAACACAGCGTCCAGTCAGTCAGAGCCAAGCACATCTCCAGTCTCCTAAACATGCAAACAGACTGACTGAGCCTCAGGAAAATGGACCAAGTGGAATGGCAACTGTATCTGGCAGTTTTTCAACAGCTTCTGTCAAAGTTTGACCAATGCCAGGTGTACCTCTTTGCCTCAGACAGGAATCATAACCTCCCACCTTTCTTTACTAGATTCCAGTCACCATCAGCAGAGATATGGGATGCCCTGTTCTCACCATAGCCACCAGGTCTTCTCTACGCTTTCACTTCACTTCCCATCATTCCAACGGTCCATTGGAAGATCAGGGAAGAGCATGTGAGAGTCCTCCTTTTCACACCACTGGCCTTGCAGACCTTGGTTCCCTCAGATAAACCACCTGGGAGTCTCCCTCTGTGGCACTTACCTCACACAACAGATCTCTCTCAGGGCCCAATTCTTCATCTGGATCCCAAGTGGCTCCAGCTGACTGTGTGGAGTTTGAACAGTGGCACCTAACCAAGCTGGACTTAGCTGCAGATGTCATCGATACACTCCAGAGCAATCAGGGCTCAATACTTTCATGCAAGGGGTGGGGAGAACTTACCAACCATTTTCTCCTCCTTCCATGGTGTCTCACAGACTCCCACCCTGTTTCTTAAAATTTGAAGTCCTGCACCACTTCCAAAGTAATTCAGATTGCTGTGTCCTGTTGTATTTTAAAGGTTTTACAATATGACCATGAAAACCAGCAGACCTGGGATACTTTGTGTTTGTGAATAGTCATATAAAGCTAAAATTGTATGAACAATGACATAATTGGATTTCTTTTCAGATGGAACTGTTACAGAACCAGACATGTCGGCAAGTTTCTGCCCTGACCATAAGGCACCCATGGTACTTTTTCTAGATCGTGTCTATGGTATAAAGGACCAAAGCTTCCTTCTCCACCTCCTGGAAGTTGGATTTTTACCAGATTTAAGAGCAAGTGCCTCATTGGATACAGTGAGTATTTTACTTACCTTAATCTACAACTGTACTCATAGTGATGTATAATGTAAAATTTTGTTGTTCATTGACATTATAAAATACAGCTAACAAACAAACAAAATACTAAATCTAGAAGTGTTATGTTCTTAGCTCTCATTTGATGATGCTACAATCAATGAATAACACAAGACTGGTGCCATAAATTCACAAATTCCTGTGTGTTCTTATAAAATATTTTCACCTTATGGGAATTGAGGGAGAATGCAACCAAGAAAAACCAAGAGTCATACATTTCTGTATATGGAATTGAAAAACAATCACATTGTTGTTACCTGAGCGAAACCCAGAAAATTTATTCTTCGATTAAATCTACAATAGGCCAGTGCAGAAAAAATATTAAACGTGGCCAAGGAATCATAAACCAGGCTGATGACTACATGCTTCTTCATTGCTCAAGCAGAAATTCTGCCCAGTGTCATTAAGCATGGTTTCATCTTATATCTGCATCCAAACTAAGCATGGTTCGTGCTAACAAGGATTTACAACCAGAGTCAGATCTTGGGTTAGGAGTGATACTGTGTAAATGGAAATATAAGACTTAATATATTCAGAGTTAGAGACTTGGCAGGTAAGGAAGATGTAATATATAAAAATATAGAAGAGTATATAAATACTAGAACTATCTCTGTTGATGTAGGGATATGTAAAGTTTTAGGCCGCACAGAGAATTTTGTCAGGTAGAATAGAAAAGATGAATGAAGAGTGTAGTTTTAGTTCCAATGACACACTTATGCCCCATCAAGATGAATACAAACTTCTAGACATGTACTGTTGCCTTCCAGATGCTTGAAAACCCTCTTTTTTCAGTCTAGGCAGGTTGGAATGACAGGAGTTTTATCCAGCCCTTGGACTGCTGCTATACATGGTTAGGTGTGATTCTAAGTTGCACAAGCCACCAGTGAAGTCATATGCACAAAACTGAAACAGACTATATATACAGTACATTGACCAAGCAGTAATATGTATATATTATATGTTCTTTATGCAGGTTTCTTTGAGTACTACAGAGACAGCTCTTGCTCTAAATAGATATATTTGTACAGCTGTGTTTCCATTACTCACACGGTGCGCTTCTCTCTTTTCGGGGACTGAGCATTATGTCTCTCTGATTGATTCCACACTTCATACCATGTATCGACTATCCAAAGGACGCTCTCTTACCAAAGCACAGAGAGACACCATTGAAGAATGTTTACTTGCTATCTGCCAGTAAGTATGTATAAAGATTGTTTTCTGTTTCATATAAACACGCTGCCTTTACAATATAATTTATTGTATATCTGTTGACTCTGGCTCCACACAGGTTTTAGTGCTATAACAGGTTTATTAACAGAGTTATATTCACCTCTCTGGCTGGTCTCTAAATTACATGCAGCAAAAGTCTCAGGTGAAGAGAGCAAGCAATGAGGCTGGGTGTACACAAGGAAATAATACACGATTATTTTTTTTTTTTAAAACAATTTATTGGGTTTTACAATAAAAATAAACATATTAAACAATATGACCTTTGTCTTGACATAATTTCACATTTTCTTTGGACTTCCTCACATCTCCCGCTCCCACTTTCATCGTTATAACATTTTGTCAGCAATTTATCATCTTATTTAAATTCTTATATCGTTTCTATATTTCATAATCTTATAATTTTCAAAGGGAATTAAATTTTCACAGTCTTACTTATTTTCATAGAAAACTTCTAAATTTAGTGGTGCTCAGTTATTTTGGTCTAGCATCTTATTTAGCATTCACTCAAATTGCAATATTTTTGTAAATAGTTCTTGAATTTCTTCCAATCCTCCTCAATCCTTTCTTCTCCCAGGTCACGGATTCTGCCGGTCATTTCAGCCAGTTCCATGTAGTCTATCAGTTGCATCTGCCATTCTTCCAGTGTGGGTAGATCTTGAGTTTTCCAATGTTTTGCAAGAAGTATCCTTGCTGCTGTTGTTGCATACATAAAAATGTCTGATCCTTCCTTGCCACCCCTTGGCCGACAATACCCAAAAGGAAAGCCTCTGGTTTCTTAGTGAAGGTATATTTAAATACCTTTTTCAATTCGTTATAAATCATCTCCCAGAACGCCTTCACTTTAGGGCAAGTCCACCAGAGGTGGAAGAACGTTCCCTCAGACTCTTTACATTTCCAACACTTATTATCAGACAGGTGGTAAATTTTTGCAAGTTTGACTGGGGTCATATACCATCTATAAATCATTTTCATTACATTTTCTTTCAGAGCGTTACATGCAGTAAACTTCAATCCATTACTCCACAACCTTTCCCAGTCCTCAAACATAATATTATACCCAATATCCTGTGCCCACCTTATCATAGCCGATTTAACCGTTTCATCTTGTGTATTCCATTCCAGCAGCAAGTTATACATCCTTGAAAGTACCTTAATCTTTGGTTCTAACAATTCTGTTTCTAGTTTCGATTTCTCCACCTGGAACCCTAATTTCTTATCATTTTTAAAAACTTCTTTAATCTGAGCGTAATGTAACCAATCTCGCACTTTATCTTTCATTTTCTCCAAACTCTGCAATTTCCAATTGTCTCCATCCTTTTCTAATATTTCCCAATATTTTGGCCATTTAGCCTCCATATTGGGTCTTTTCGGGCCTTAGCTTCCAAAGGTGAAAGCCACCTTGGTGTTTTATTTTCCAGCAAGTCTTTATATTTTGTCCAGACATTAAACAGTGATTTTCTGACAATATGGTTCTTGAAGGCCTTATTTGCTTTAACTTTGTCATACCATAAATATGCATGCCATCCAAAAACATTGTTAAACCCTTCCAGATCTAACACATCAGTGTCTTCAAGAAGTAGCCAGTCTTTTAGCCAGCAGAACGCTGCGGCTTCATAATACAACTTTAAGTCTGGCAGGGCAAAGCCCCTCTTTGTTTTGCATCAGTTAATATCTTAAACTTAATTCTGGGCTTTTTGCCCTGCCAGACAAACTTAGAAATGTCTCTCTGCCACTTCTGAAAGCACTCCATTTTGTCCAAAACCTGAAGTGTCTGAAATAAAAACAACATCCTTGGCAATACATTCATCTTAATAGCAGCAATTCGGCCTAACAAAGAAAGTTTCAATTTTGACCAACTATCTAAGTCTCTTTTAATTTCTGTCCAGCATTTTTCATAATTGTCCTTAAATAGACTTAGATTTTTGCTGTTATGTTTACCCCTAGGTATTTTACTTTTTTAACCACATTGAGTTCCGTCTCATTCTGAAACCGTTCTGACTCTGTATCAGTCAAATTTTTCCCCAAAACCTTAGTTTTCTGTTTATTTAATTTAAATCCAGCCACCCGACCAAAATCATTAATCAATTGTAATACTCTTTTCGTACTGGGCTCTGGCTTCTGCAGGGTCAAAACCAGGTCATCTGCAAAAGCTTTTAGTTTATATTGTTTCTGACCGACCTGAATTCCTTCCACCAACCGATCCCCTCTAATCATGTTCAATAGCACTTCCAGAACCGAAATGAATAACAAAGGGAGAGAGGGCAACCTTGTCGTGTCCCTTTTTCAATTTTGAACTCTTCTGTGACCACATTATTAACTATCAGTTTAGCTTTCTGTTCTGAATATATCGCCTCAATCCCATTCTCAAAACCCCGTCCCACTCCCATCTCTTTTAAATTTCCCATCATAAATTTCCAGGAGATATTGTCAAAGGCCTTCTCCGCATCTATGAAAATTAAAACTGCTTTTGTATTTATATCTGTTTGCAGAAGTTCCAAAATGTCAATAATGTTCCTTGTATTGGCAAACAGATGTCTACCTGGGAGAAAACCGGCCTGGTCCTTATGAATTACTTCATTTAAGACTTTTTTAATCTACTTGCCAAAATATCTGCAAATATTTTGTAATCCACATTTAAAAGGGAGATGGGGCGGTAGTTCTTAAGTTGTGTCTTTTCAGCTTCCGACTTTGGTATTAATGTGATAAACGCTTCCTTCCACGAATCCGGTGCCCTCTTCCCCTCCATAATTTCATTGCTGACCTCCATCAAAGGTTGTATCAAATAGTCTTTTAATGTCTTATAATACTTGGAGGTCAGCCCATCTGGCCCTGGAGATTTGCCAAGTTGCATGTTCTGAATGGCTTGTTCAATCTCCTGTCGTGTTATTTTAGAATTCAGAATTGTCCTATTTTCTTGTGACAATTTAGATAGTCCATTTTTTGCCAAAAATTGTTTAATCTCCACTTCGTCTTGCGGCCCTTGGGTGTATAATTTTTTGAAATATCTCTGGAAACACTTTCTAATATCCACTGGATTCTGAATGTTTTTTCCATCAACCTCTAAGTTTGTAACCGTGTTTAATCTTTGTCTTCTCTTCAACTGCCAAGCTAGCAGTTTTCCACATTTATTCGCCGACTCAAACGTTTTTTGTTTCATTAATTTAACCTTCCATTCAATTTCCTGATTTATCAATTTAGAATATTGTGTTTGATAAAGCTTAATTTCTCTCAGAGTTGGCTGTGACTTTGGGGAAATAATACACGATTAATTCATTGTGCCTGACTACAACACAACATATCAAGTGTGTTATAGATAATCAATTCTGATCCTCAAATGAGAACTTCACATTATATCATGTACAAAAATTATATATTTATCTAGGTGCAGGAAGCGTTAGTTGGGAACTCATTTGCTACTGCAGCTGTGTAACAAAGTGATATGGGAAGCTTGTCAGAAGGGAGGCCTTTCTCAGTAGAATCCTAGATAGGCAGGAGAGTACAGCCTCCTTGGCAATTAGATGCCAGTTGTCTAGAAGGCAGTTAGCCCTCTCTAAAGGAGAGAAAGTCAGAAATAAATGGATGTAAACATGCACTTTCTTACCTGCCTTTCACCATAAGGTCCCGTGTCAGGTTGCAGGTTAAATAAAGGGATGGGTTAAATTTATTTATTTAACAAAATTACATACCACTTGATCGTAAATAGAATCTCTGAGGAGGAGTTGTTGTTTTTTAAGTTGAATCCCTGGTGTGCCTCTTTATTGGCCTGACGGTTTTCTGCCAAAGGACAAGGTGGCACCTCTCCCTTTTCCACATGCAGAAGCTGCCTAGAGTGGCAGTTGAATCATGGCCGCCCCGGCTGCCCAAGCATTTACCCCCTGAGGTGGTTGGGCTGCTCTGCCTAATGGTAGGAGCCAGTCCTATTACTAGAGATTCCTTCCCCATAGTTCTCCTCCACAACACCTTACCCTTAACTCTGCTTACAGTGTACATATTTTTAAAGACCATGGGTGTTCACAGGTCAATGTGATAAATGAGTGAGTGGGGGCATCAAACCCACCAGGAAGAAATTGGGCACGTTTTCAATATTGTTCCAGTATTAGAGGACCCTCCTAAGTCATAGCAGTGATATAATCTTTCATGCTTCCCATTTACCTTCTGGATCAGCCCAAAGACCCATCTACTGTAGTCTAGCATTCTGCTCCCACAGTGACCAATTACATACATATGGGAAGTCTCTTTCTGAAACTTTTCTTGAGGGGGAAATCCCCCAATAACTTAAGAGTTTGTTACACACGCAAGATTGTTACACTGCTCACTACTACTCTAGAGTATATATACCAAATTATTCAGAATGTCATGTAGTACGTGGGGCTGGGATTCAGTTAATTAGGATCATATTATAATTTGCTTCTTTCATATGGTCAAATACAGGCCAGTTTAGAGGTGGGAAATATAGAACTTTCCTTCTCTATTTTTCTTGTCACGAGACACGATTAGAATCAGAATTTTTCTGCTTATGTGATTGCTTCAATGGAATATTGCCCTGCCCTTAAGAATGTTTCCATTGAACATAACTGAGTAGATCCTAATCACTCTGCTGTTTTCCTTTTAGGTAATCTGTTTTACAGAACACTTGCATTGTTTGTCTTGCATTCCAGTCATTTGTGTAATTGCCTTGCAGCTTCATCAACATGTACACATTACTAATTATGAGTTTCTTTTTTAATTCTAGTCATTTACGGCCTTCTATGCTACAGCAGCTATTACGACGGCTGGTTTTTGATGTACCCTTACTTAATGAATATTGTAAAATGTCACTTAAGGTAAATCCTTCTATTTCTACTAAGGATATTAAATCTTTCAGTAGTATGAGAGATTTCTTTCTTTTAATTTCAAAAACAGTTTGGAAGGCTGACTGAGCACACATCTTTAAGAATAAAGGCCTTCTTATTAGTCAAAGATAATTTAAAGCACAATTGCTTTAAAACATAAGATTTGTCATTACATTATAAACAAAGCTGCTAAGAGTTTTCTATTAAAAAGGAGTGAAAACTTTTGTTATAGTTTTCTTTAATGTATTATTTTTTCTGTCATTTACAGCTGCTAACAAATCACTATGAACAATGTTGGAAATATTATTGCTTGCCTTCTGGATGGGGAAATTATGGAATTGCAGCTGAAGAAGAGTTACATTTATCTGAAAAACTTTTCTGGGGAATATTTGATTCCCTCTCTCATAAGGTAAAGGTCCAGAGTAATATTTGCAAGAGACACTACAATTCACACCTGTGCTTCTGTACGCAGCACAAATTGCTTGCTTCCACTAAATGCTATAAAGATGCACCTAGTGAAAGGAAAATGCCCTACTGAAGGGAAGCTTGTTTGCTTCTGCACATGACTGTGGCATGATGGGAAGTTTTGCTTCTAAGCTTTTCTTCTGCTCATGCTGCACAAACCGTACTAATACTAAGACATTCCCTCATCACCCTGGTACGTTCTGTTCACCTTGAGTTCACACCATATCAATCTGTACTTATCCCTCTGTGTATATTCCTTTCGTACCACCCTGGAACGTGGAGTCCATTAGTAGCACCATATCAATCATATAAGAAGGAGATCATGCCTGTCTAAACTCTGCGTTCCTTTTTCCAACCTTTAACCTATCGATGATTAATGTCTTATATGCAACCCTTGCTTTGTAGTTATGTTAACCAATCAGCAACAAGCACATATGTGGCAATGCTGTAATATTCAATAAAAGGGACTCTCCGAGACTTGCTCGGGAGATGCCTCCCGTATGACACCTTGCCATTCGTCTGTCGTTTATTTCAACCCAACACCCTACTTAGTCACTAAGGGCTCTGTTCAGACCAACATACCCATTGATTCAATAGGACTTTTGGGACTTTTTTTACATTGTCAAATAAACTGACACAACTTCTTTAGTCTTAAAAAAAAATCAGCTATGAACAAAGCCTTCAAACAATTGATTTAAACAATATATAAATGTAGCTTGGTTTTCTACTAGGTGCCTGAATTAAAAAATAAATAAATCTTCATTTACCAGCATCTACTTATGCTGCTTCTATATGGCTGTGTTGCCTTAACTAATATTTTGCATGTTTTTCTATTGGACTTTCCAACCAGTTCCTATCTCTCCTGCAGAAGTATGATCCAGAGCTTTTCCGAATGGCCTTGCCTTGTTTAAGTGCAATAGCTGGGGCTTTGCCACCAGATTATTTAGACACCCGAATTACCTCAGTTTTAGAAAAACAGACTTCAGTGGATGCTGAAGGGAACTTTGATCCCAAACCTATCAACACAGTGAAGTAAGTCATAAGTGCCTCACTCATAATGCGCTAATCAATCTGGGATTCTTTTTCCAACCTAGCAGGGGCCTTGCTATCTCTTTAACACAAAGGGTAGAGAACCTGTGGCTAAAGGTTTGCAGTATTTATCTTACTTCCTGCAGGCCTTGGCCTAATTTCATGAAGCCTGGAGGGAGAAAAGTATGGTTGGGAGGGAAAAGATTGAAGGGTAGAATGTGAAATGGATCAAGTGATGGAAAGAGCGAGCGGGGAAAGACCAACGCAAGCAATCAGTTCAGACCTCTTGCAAGAGCAGCCTGTTACCAACAGCCCAGTGGAAATGGAAGAAAGGTGAGGGGAGAGTAAAAGAGAATGGGGCATACATGACAGTATAAAGCTGTAATGACTCCTTGCTTCTCCAGCCCCTTATTATAAGTCACCCAGGTGCACCATTGCAATTATTTGGTTGGCTAGTGCATGTAAACAGAATCATGATGAGAAAACATAGGTTCTTGAGAATATGTTAACAACGTAATCTAGGCCTTTTACCACTGTCATCATTATCCAGATAATTTTTAAAATATTTATTCATGGAAATTGATATAAATAGGCATATCCATATATGCCTAATTGGAGCAAATTATAAATTATATTGCTCTTTTGTGTTTCCAGTTTTACACTTCCTGAAAAGTTGGAGTATATTGTCAACAAGTACGCTGAACATACACATGACAAATGGGCCTGTGACAAGGTATGGATTATTATAAATCTGACAATTGTCAAAGAAGGACAATGAGAGTTGAATGTTAGAAATCTGCCCAATTTATCTCCATGACAGATTTGCCTTTCAGACACCTAGACTGTTATACCAGAGCAGCACTGTCTAGTAATGCTTCTCTCTCTCTCTCTCTCTCTCTCTCTCTCTCTCTATCTATCTCTCTTCCTCTCTTCTCTCAAAATACCTGGGGATCTTCTGGCAGCTTCTGAATGCAATAAAGTGCTGTGGTTCTTGCAATTTCCTCCTAAATTGACACAGAAATAGTCTGTGTCCTTAGCAGTACCTTAACTTTTAACTAGTAGTGGAAAATCATAACATTTTAGCTTGTTTATACACATGGAAGTGGGCAGATAATAATACTATGTGAACTGGAAGTACATGTATTGGGATGTGGGTGGCGCTGTGGTCTAAACCACTTGAGCCCCTTGGGCTTGCCAATCAGAATGTTGGCAGTTCAAATTGTGGGTGGGTCTATTGGATACCCACAACACTCGATTGGTGGGTCCCTCATTGCTGAGTGTAATCTGGCCAATGGGGTGCAGTCTAAAGAGTTCGAGGGACCTATTTAATCTCTTGCACATGACCCAGAGATTCTCTTTCGGTTCGTGTAAACGGAACACTCGCCTACCTCTCCCTGTATTTAGGGCATTTTGCGATTGACCTTGCTATGCCGACGTGTGTCATCTGTCATTGGGACAGGGGCACGGCAGGAATTTTCCCCACTTGGCTGATTGGCAGTTGCCATTTGGGTTTCACTTGCCGCATAGGAAATCGTCACAACTTCTAAGGTTGCAGATAGGCACTGGTTCATGTGATAGGGATGGGAGAACGGTCTCACCATCCCTATGTGAAGGGTATTCCATTAAAGGAATCCAGGGACTCAACTTGGTTTGGTTAACCCCTGAGATGGGGTTGTGCCCGTGCCTGAGTCCAGGGGAGCATCTGGGGAGTGAACAGAGTCTGTTCCCGGGTTTTTCTTTTTTCTTTTTTAAATGATATTTATTAAGGTTTCAATAAAAGATTGAACAGAAAAACGTAAACAAAAAATACACAATTCAAAAAAGCACAATACATAATCCAAAAAAGAAAGAAAAAAAGAACAAAAAAAAAACAAAATACAAGGAAAAAAAAGAACAATTAAAAACAATATCACCTTTTCGTTTCCATCTTTAAATTTACTTATTTTCTGGACCTCCTCATACCTCCCTCTTTTGTATTCCAGTTCAAATTGTTTGTCCAGCAATTTCTTTCCCTCTTTTTTAATCCCAATCTTTAATCTTAATATAATATAACATTAAAATTTTACCTCTTAAAAGCCAAATTTCCATTTCCTTAAACTTCTTTAATCCTAATCCTTAATCTTAGTCTATCTATAACTTTAAGTCCTGTACAGCTGGAAACCACTTATTTTCAATCCAACATCACTCTAACATTCTTTAATTTTAGTGTTTCTGTAGATAATCTTTGAATTTCTTCCAATCTTCCTCCACCGACTCTTCTCCCTGGTCACGGATTCTACCAGTCATTTCCACCAAGGTTTTGAGAATGGTATAAGTGCAATTTATTCAGAACAAAAAGCTAAATTAATTGTAAATAATGTTGTGACGGAAGAACTTAAAATTGAAAAAGGGACACGACAAGGTTGCCCAATTTCCCCACTTCTTTTTATTTCGGTCCTGGAGGTTTTGCTGAATATGATTAGAAGGGACCGGTTGGTTAAAGGTATACAGGTCGGAATTAAACAGTACAAATTGAGAGCATTTGCAGATGACTTAGTATTGACGTTACAGGAGCCAGAATCTAGTACTAAAAGGGTTTTAGAACTGATTCAAGAATTTGGTCAAGTGGCAGGATTTAAATTGAACAAGTCAAAAACTAAGGTTTTAGAGAAAAATTTAACACCGATTGAAAGAGAGAGGTTTCAGAATGAGACAGGTTTAACAGTGGTTAAGAAAGTTAAATACCTGGGGATTAACATGACAGCAAAAAATGGGAATTTATTTAAAGACAACTATGAAAAATGTTGGGCTGAAGTGAAAAAGATTTAGAAATTTGGTCAAATTTGAAGCTTTCACTGCTGGGCCGTATTGCTGCGATAAAAATGAATGTATTGCCTAGAATGTTGTTTTTGTTTCAAACTTTGCAAATTGTGGACAGAATGGATTGTTTCAAGAGGTGGCAGAAAGATATTTCTAGATTTGTCTGGCAGGGCAAGAAGCCCAGAATAAAATTTAAAATACTAACGGATGCAAAGGAAAGAGGTGGATTTGCCCTGCCAGACCTCAAACTTTACTATGAATCAGCAGCTTTTTGCTGGTTGAAAGAATGGCTACTTCTTGAAAACACTGACATTTTGGACCTAGAAGGTTTTAACAATGTATTTGGATGGCATGCATATCTATGGTATGATAAGGTCAAAGCACATAAAGCATTTAAAAACCACATTGTCAGGAAAGCGCTGTTTAATGTTTGAATAAGATAAAAGGATTTGTTAGAAAACAAAACCCCAAGGTGGCTGTCACCAATGGAAGCGAAAGCCTTGAAAAAGCTCAATATGGAGGTCAAATGGCCGAAATATTGGGAAATTTTGGAACAAGATGGAGATAGACTGAAATTGCAGAGCTTTGAAAAACTAAAAAACAAAGTGCGAGACTGGCTTCATTATTTTCAGATAATGGAGGCATTTAAATTGGACAAGAAAATTGGCTTCCAGGTGGAAAAATCAAAATTAGAAACAGAACTGTTAGAACCCAAAACTAAGAATTTGTCAAGAATGTATAACTTGCTGCTGAAATGGAACACTCAGGATGAAACGGTAAAATCGGCTATGATTAAATGGGCACAAGACGTTGGACATAACATTATGTTCGCTGACTGGGAACAGTTGTGGACCACAGGTATGAAATTTACGGCATGTAATGCCTTAAGAGAGAATATTATGAAAATGATATACAGGTGGTACATAACCCCAGTCAAGCTTGCAAAAATCTATCATTTGCCCGATAATAAATGTTGGAAATGTAAAGAAACTGAAGGTACATTTTTCACCTTTGGTGGACGTGCCCAAAGATTAAGGCTTTCTGGGAAATGATATATAATGAATTTAAAAAGGTATTCAAATATACCTTCCCCAAGAAACCAGAGGCCTTTCTCCTGGGCATGGTCGGCCAAATGGTGATAAAAAAGGATAGAACTTTCTTTATGTATGCAACAACAGCAGCAAGAATACTCATTGCAAAGTATTGGAAGACACAAGAACTTCCCACACTGGAGGAATGGCAGATGAAACTGATGGACTATATGGAACTGTTCCCGGGTTTTTCACCTACCTCAGGTGTTCACCCTTGGCTGACCTTTGCTGGTGCCCTGGGTCAGCGCTACCTGCAAGGGTGCAGGGAGCTAGTCGAACCAGAGCCTATGCAACCACTCACTTTTTTGTAATCAATAAAGTTTGGCCTAAATTCTGCCAAAAACCAAAACTAAAATTTGAGTCATATACGTATTTATTTAGGGGGGAGGTCTCTGGGTCTGAACACGCAAAGCACAGAATTGCAGATATCCTATGTGTCTATGTTCTTCCCATTCACATGGGAATATTTCTCAAATCTTATCAGGGGTATGATTTAGACAATAATTTTGTGGAGATTTTCTTTCCGTTTCATTTTTGTGGTGGATCTGTTTCTTCATTCTGTGTATGGTGGGGATGGAGCTATCTCCAAAAAACTGGGATACGTGTGCAGTTGTGCTAAAATACTCACCCAAAGCACAGTGCTGATAGCTTCATTTGTATTTAACATCTGGAAAACCAGGCAGTATCTTATTTGGATCTGAACATGGAGTTTTGGTTCTTGCCTCTTGCCATTTTCTAAGATACTTCATTTAGTCCTTTTTCTTTAAAAAACAACAACCCAGCAATTTATTATAGTGGCCATCCCAGATAATTTGTTCCACCGGCTAATTACGTGTTGTGTGAATTATGTGTCTGTTTCAGAATAATAGTGGGTGGAAGTATGCATCTTCACTCGATGAAAATGTGAAGACACATCCTTTAATGAGGCCTTTTAAAACACTGACTGAAAAGGTAATAAAGGAAAGATCAAACTTCATTATTTAATGAAACAACAGATTTTGTGTGCATATTTTGTTTGCATGTTTCATTAATACGTGAATATCACTGATGCTGCAAGGTGCATCATTTTAATAAGCATTAAAATATGACAAGATTTAAATCCAAATCATGTTAAGTTCAGCTTTCCAAATTGTATACAGCGAGAAGACCTTTGTACAATACTCCAGTTTAGACTTATTCTAGGTGAAATGTTACAAAATTTGTATATATCTTTTTTTAAGGAAAAGGAAATTTATCGATGGCCTGCCAGAGAATCTCTTAAAACCATGTTAGCAATGGGATGGAGCCTAGAAAGGACAAAAGAAGGAGATTCAATGGTACAACAACGTGAAAGCGAAAAGCTCCGTAGCATATCACAGTCCAGCCAAGTAAGGCAGAACTTTCTTATAAAAAAAGACTAGAGAAAAACATGAGCTCATTTTTCTCCCTGCAAACTAATGCTATTTCTGTTTTGCTATTTCTATTTTTATTATTTATTTTTTTAAACACCTTTGTAGAAATATTGGTGTGGTGAACCAGTCCTGTGAAATGTGTTAAGAATATTTCTTGCCAGACTCTGAGATGGAGAGCATGCTGGAACATTCGCAATAGCAATTCCCCATGGCAAATTTTTCCAGTTGCCAATTTATTGTGACTTTTTCATAGCTAATGATCAGGTGACTCAGCCCTTATTTGTGAGGAAAATTTTTCGACACAATACAGTTTTTAATAGAATTCTATTTTCCCTCCCACTTGCTCCACAGGGAGGAATATGCAAACTAGATAGATCTTACCTTGCTGTGGGAGGACAGAACCTCTAGCGTTCTTCCTGCCTTGCTCCCATGCAGGTTGGGTGACAGCTGTACGCTGTCCTCTACTATGCAGCCCGACCCCATGATATTGCACAGGAATCTGTGGACTTAGCACTCACACCTGTAGAACATGGCTCCACGAAGACACATCTTTCTGGTGCAGGGGTCTAAATTTGAGTTCATCATACTCCTTTCCACTTCATAGGTCTTGTGTGTCAGCAGTTGTATGGGCCCTCAGCAAGCCTCTCTTTCACTGTAGTGGCAGGGATTTAGCTTGTCAGGGACTGAAGAAACATGGCTCCTTCCAGGCTTCCATGCCACCTTCCACCGTGTTCTAGAGAATTCCCCAACACTCTGGAGCTGATTTTCAGGGGATGGTGGGGACTGGGGCAAAAATCTGCTCTCCTGCTGCATTCAACAATGCTTCCACTGGATCAAAAGCCTTTCCACGAGTATGATAGTACTAACTGAATTTCACCCTAATTTAAGTTTTTTAATAACACTTAGCATCAGGCATTTTGCATCCTTAAAATAACTTCATTCAATATAGATTGACATGTAAAGAATCTAAATATAAAAAACCAGCAACCAACAACCACTAATTCTTCTTTTTAATAACAGGGGAATGGATACAACCCAGCACCACTTGATCTTTCAAATGTTGTACTCTCCAGAGAAATCCAGGTTTGTATAAGGCTATTCAGAAATGTAGGAAAACACCTATTCATACTTAAATAAGAGCAACAAGGGCCAACAAGAGAGTGTCCTTATGTTCAAAAGTACCGTGGGGAGACCTGCTCTAGCCACAGGACAGAAAGTATCATAACCATAAGGCATTTCAAACAAACCACATCCAACATAAATAGGTCCTCATTTTCCTAGGACCCACACATGAGCCATAAAGGGCATCCTTTATGGTAATATCTGCCCTGACTCCATCTATGTAATAAAGCATTGTGTGACACAAGATGGAAATAGCCTTTCCCTAGGTAGATGGCCTCATAGGTATTCCTCCTTCCCTGCTTAACACTTACTATAAATGATATATTTAAATACTATAATATATATTTACGAAAAAATGTATTATTTCTTTTGATTTTGGATTATTTCTTATTGATTTGGTGGTGATACAGGGAATGGTTGAAGTGGTAGCAGAAAACTATCATAACATTTGGGCTAAAAAGAAGAAAACTGAATTGGAAAGTAAAGGTAAGACTGAAATGTTTTGTGTGAAACCTGATATTCAGTAGGGGAATATCTGAAAATACAGATGACATGATAAGAATAACCTTAGGCTGCAATCCTAAACCCACTTACTTGGGAGTAAGATCAATGGAATTCAATGGGACTTACCTCTAAGTAGACGAAATGACGATCACAGCCTTACTTTGTCTGTCAATTCCTATTGTAAATATTAACACTTCTCTCATCTTACCATAGGTGGAGGTAGCCATCCTTTATTAGTACCTTATGACACTTTGACAGCCAAAGAAAAGTCTCGGGATAGGGAGAAAGCACAAGAACTGTTTAAATTTCTTCTAGTGAATGGCATTGTCATATCCAGGCAAGTTGTATATCACTGTGTAAATAACTTGTGTTGCCCTAGTTTTTTGTTTTATTTCTCTTGCTTTGAACATAGCCATATGAAGCCACACCATATTCTTTAGATGCCTCCCACTTTTCTTGTTGGAATTGTCTGCATTTGTGCCTTCAATATTTCACCTTTAAGAAACTCCCATCCATCCTGAATCCCCTTCGCTTTGAGCATTTTTGACCATGGGGCCTTTCCCAGTAGTTCTTTCAACTTTTTCAAAATTGGCCTTCTTATAGTCCAGAGTGCATCTCCAGCTACACTCAGCTCCCCCTTGCCTCCATATCATGAAACCCAAGAGGGTGAGATTACTTCCTCCCAAGGTTCCCAGTAGTGTCGATCAGTTCCTCCCTGTTGGTAAGAATGTGGCTAGATGCATCCTATGGCTCTGTCACTGAGAGACAGATGCAAATTGACATCTGGTCTGAGCTCCGTACGTTGGGAAGAAATTGCTGGGTGAAGAGGCTCTGAGTTATATATTGAAAGGTAAGAAGAAGGTCATGCCTTCTGCACTCCAGTAATGAAACAGCAAAAATTGTTTAATGATACCATCCATATCAAATTAGTCATTCCTTACAATCCAAATTCAGAGACCTTGATATTTGGCCCAGTTCTCCTTTCCGGGGGTAGTTCAGATTTCAGTCTAGAGAGCAGCAGCCTAGTTCAGGATTCCCAGATGTTGCACCATCCAGAGGAGGAATGCAGCAAAATCAATTTTGACTTTCCACAGCCACCATTGGAGGTACGGGTTGCTTCATGTTGCTACCAGGTAAGAAGCAAGTAAATTTCATCACTGGGTGAAGTATTATGTTAAGGATATTGGATAGAATTTCAAACCCTTCTGCCAAGTCACTTCACATGATACTCAGAAATCCAGAGTAACAGGAATTGATGCAAGCGGCCATAGGTCATCTTCTTCAGATAGCTGCAGTCAAGCAAGTAACCTCAGAACAGAGGTTTTCAGGTATTTATTGTTCCAAAGAAAGGGGGCACTTGGCAGGTGATATTGGATTTGAAGTTCTTGAACAAGTTTGTAGCATACTGAATTTTTTTGTATGGAAACGTTGATCTCCCTTTGGGAAGCATAACTACCTGGCTTCAGCAGATTTCACCAAGGTCTATCTCCATGTGCCAATCCACCCAGACCATTGATAGTTTCTCAGCTTTGCCTATGCAGGTCAACATTTTCAGTTCAGCATTTTAGAGCTCCCTCAAAAATACATTTATGGTAAATGAATGGTCTCCTTTTCCCACTTAGAAGCTGCAATCCTAAAAAATGGGCAATTTCAAATAATGTTTCATAATTAACATGTACAATATGATAAAGTAGCTCAGCTTGAAGTCATTAATATTAAGCAAACATGCTTCTTTTTACTAGAGGCTTAAGTGGCATGGAGATGGATGCTTCATCCATGGAAAAAAGATTTGCCTATAAATTTCTGAAGAAGATTCTCAAATACGTTGACTCTGCTCAAGAATTCATTGCACATTTAGGTAAGTTTCTGTAGGCTACTAATCAGAAAGGCAGATATTACCCTAATTCAGTTACATTCCCTATTGTTGTCATTTCCTTGTGAAGTGGCATGGACTGTGCGGGGCTTTGATCCTTACTTGCTGTGCAGAAGTGTTTGCAGGACTGCTTGACCTTGCACACTGAGCAGCCATAGCAGCCTCTGTCTTCCTGAGCCCACCACACCACACATATCTGGGCAAGAGAAGGGGAAAGGAGAGGTGGCCATGACAGGCACCCTTCATGTGGCTTTCCCTTTGAGGAAACATCCCTTGTCCAGAGTGAATGTCATGCAGAAAATGCCAGTCCCACCCACATGGTGCTTTTTTCTCAAAGGAATAGCGCACAAACTCTTAATGCAGAGTCCCCAGTGAGAAAAGATCACTCTGTGCTCTTTCCAACAGAAGAAAGGGTTCTCAGCACTAATTTCCCTACAGAATGCTGCTCCCAGGAGCGGTAAGGGTGCTTGGAGCTTTTTCAACTGCTGCCTCTACTTCCCCATCTTCTGCCTCAGGAGGGAAGAGAGAAGCTTTGATGGTGGGTGAAGATGTTGGCCAAGCATCTTCAAGGGAATTATGTGCACACGAGCTTTGTGGTCTTTTGTGTTCACACATGTCTTTCAAGAAAGGAAAAAGGGATGCTCACTTAACCTTAACTTCACATTTAAGAAGCCTGTGGCCTGTGGTCATGTGAGAGGGTTTACCCAATCCACTGTCCCCAGCATCCCACTTCTAAATCTACACTTCAGGTGATCCAATAGTTCTTTTTGCCAAACCTGTAACTTATGGGCCATACCCCACCCTAAAAAGAGGCACCCTAATACTCTCCCAAAATCTGTCATTAAAAAATATCTCTTGGGTTTGTTCTTGCCTGTTCCAGTGATTCCCCCACTGTGATTACACGATGCCAAAAAGTTATTTGTGCTTCACATAAATGAAGCAGCACTTAAATGAAAAACCATTTCAAAAAAAGAAAAGAAAAAAAAGAAACTAATTTTTTGGGGGGAGGGCTTCAGAAATAGGAGTTGAGCACACGCAGATGGACTTTCTCACTTCATATTCAGCATCCACAAGATCTTAAGTAGCTTTATCATTTATCACATTTGCCTAAATGGAGATGATCACTAAATAGGAGCACATAGTTGCCTCTTCTGTTCCTATATAAATCATATGGTTGGTGCTTCTGAAATTTTGACTTCATGTATTTCAAAAGCCCATGGAAGATGTAAATTGATATTTCTGCCTAGTGTTATTTACCATTTTATTGTTTCTCTCCAGAAGCTATTGTCACCAGTGGAAAAACGGAGAAATCACCACATGACCAAGAAATTAAGTTCTTTGCCAAAGTGAGTTGTTACATTAAAAAACAAATGAACTACTTTAACTTTCACAGTAATGCAAGAATGTAGTATGTATTAATGTTGAGATTTTGTAAAGAAACCCAAATAAATTGGTATTGAAAATTGGTTAGTGCTTTAAGTCTCTCTCTCTCTCTCTCCCTCTCTCTCCCTCTCTCTCCCTCTCTCTCCCTCTCCCTCCCCCCCCTCTTGATGTAGGGCTGCCATCATGCAGCCCGCATTGGAAGATTTGTAGTGCCTCATCACAGTCTTGGATTTAGATGATGTTGAGGCAGGGTTGGAGGGCAAAGTGAAGGCAGGTTTATACAACAGCAGTGGCCATGGCATGGGAGCAAGAAGGGAGGGACAGCAAGAGGGGAATAGTGGTGGTTTAAAACAACGGTGGAAGTTTAAGTAAAGCAGCGATGGAGGGACACTTGTACCTCCAATGACAGTGTAGGATCCACGAGTACCTTCTTCAAGGAGAGTGAAACCTCATCCAAAATAGGTTGTGTTCTATTCATTCAGACTGAAGAACCACCCCGGTTGCCGTCTGATTTCTGTGAGAGAGACTTTTCATTTTGTCTGGGATTAAAACCTCACTAAACACCGAGAAAGATGGTGGGTAGATAAGGAACAGGAAGTTGAGAGGTATGAAGGAAGGGTGTAAAGTAAGATATGGACTGAAAATAGAATAAATGCCATCATGGGAATTAATTAGTTAATTAACAAGTTAAAAGTTAAAGGAATTGCTAACTGGTTAAATTTTTCAACTGTAAACTTTTAAACTTCACTTTTAAAAAGTTAGCTTTATCCTTTTTTACAAGTTAAAGCTAAAACTTTTTATCTGAATTCCCTAGGTTCTGCTTCCACTAGTTGACCAGTATTTTACCAACCATTGCCTGTATTTCCTCTCCTCCCCAACTAAGCCACTCAGCAGTAGTGGATATGCTTCAAATAAAGAAAAAGAAATGGTAGCAAGGTATGTAAGTAAGAAAAAATACAGTCTATGACACTGGAAAAATCATGATATAATAAAGGTATTAGGCTCTTTAAAATATTTATTTCATATATCCTTATAACTCTAGCTAGTTTTTTTTATAATCCAAACTTGTATTTTAATTATATTAGTCTACATTGAGTGGTCACACATGTGCCTCTTCATACAGTCACCTTACACTCTGGTGATGCTGATAATAGAACAATAATGTGAAAAATAACATGAACAACTTTATATACATATCTTTTGTGTAGATTTAGTTAGATATGTAATTACAAAAAGAAGTAAAACTCCTTTTAAGCCCCTTTCTTACTGGTTCAGAATTCTGTCATTTTTATTTATTTCTCTACATTATTGATTTTCTCACTGATTCTCTTGTCTTTCCTTCAAATTATTCTCCTGGGGGAGATAGGTTTGGTTTTTTGTTTTCTAAATAGATTTTTTTAAGATACTAAATAAGATTTTTCCAAACGTTTCACTTTCAGTGACGTTTTAATCTAGATATAATTCTCAAATTATATCTAAGTGTTTTCATTCACAATATGCTGATTTTATTGCTCATCTTATTATATATAGAACACTTTATCAGACATTTTTCTAAAATGCAAATATGTTGCTTTTGGTTCCTCACTTTCTGTTTGTAAGTCCATTAAAATGCTATCCAATCTTTCCTGGTATTATTTATTCTTTAGAATCCTATGTTGTTGTTTATTCATGGTTTTGGTTTTTGCTCATCCTTCTGTGGGTGAGTCCTCCTATCTACCTCAAAGATTCAGAGGTTCCAAAGGCTTCCAGAACCTCTGTTGGGAAAGGGAGCCCTCTCAAATATTGTCCAACCTCACCTAGAGGTAGCATGGTATCCATTACTTTCCAAGGTATGGGTTGTTGCTGTTTTCTTGACTCTGTTCTCCATAACTAGTTTTAGCTAGTTAGTAAAGTTTCTATCTTAGGTTTTTGTTTGTTTGCTGAAGAGGTGATAGAGTAGTCAGCCGCAAATGAAACAAGTTGACATTCTGCCACCCTCCAGGAGCTGCCTGGATCCAATTCGGGATGGTTGATTTATTCCACTTGTGTCTAAAAGCACCTCAGCATCAAGGGCAGAGATGGGAAACACGTGGCCCTCTAGATGTTGTTGGACTGCAACTCCTATCAGCCCCAACCATGATGGCCATAGAGAAGACTGTAGTTATATCCAGCAACATATGGAGGGCCGCAGATTCACCATCCCTGATCAGCGAGTAAAATCTTAAGTGTTGACTTCTACTGCCATCCATTATTGATGGCAAATCATTCTGTCCTGGGTATAGAGAGTGGTAGTCTGAGCAATGAAAAAGGTGTCTGACAATAATAAGGAATGAAGCACATTGAAAATCAAAGGAATTGACAGTGTCACTCCTTGAAGACTGATGTATTGTGCTTTCCCTTTAGATCTAATACCATGGAGACAGTTACAGATAACTGTAAACGGAATTGTTTTCCCTATGGGTACAGTCTACCTACTGTTAATTCATTAATGTTAATGAATCCACCATGCTCCTTTTACAGGAGGTTTGGGGGAAGACATCTCAGACAGGTGTATAGATCTTACTGAAGAGGGAAATCCAGGGGACATTTAAACTGCCCCCCCCCAAGAAGGGGGGAGACTGAATCATGGTGGGTTTCTTAATCCAGCCATTCTCCTACAGCTTTTTAAACTGCATACTTCTTAAATTGAGTCCTTGATTAATACAAACCTCAGAGCACTGGAACTTCACCACCTTCCTTTGTAGAACGCTGGTGTCAACCAAGAGCTACTAATGTAACCTCCCTTTCTCAGTCTAATCCAGGGTTTGTTGGAGCGGCATACTAGCTTCCATAGCCTGCTGCTTGTTTTGCTTAGGAAGAATGCTCATCCGCTGTGTCAACTCCCAAGTGGAGGAAGAAGGCAGGCAGGACTGGGCAGAGGGACACCTTCCCAGCAGGGTGGACCAGGAGTTTGGATTGCTCTGTTAATCAATTGAGTGTGGATTGCTAGCTTCTAATCTAAAGCCCACCCTATTTTGGGGTGCTAAGCTTTTTGGTGATTTCCTGAATGATGCACTAACTAAAATGAAGTTTAAAAGCCTATATTATCTCTTCCCAAATAAGGAGAAGCAGAAGGTTGATATAAGGAGTCAGAACTCATTTTGCAATCATAGAGTTCCTTTTTGAGCTTTCTAATTTTGACCTATCAGGTATTAATAGCAAAATATAGCCACCAGTCAGAACTAAGCAGCAGTAGAGACAGAATTCTGTTTGATGCCATATTTTACCAGTGAGAGAGAAACTTTAATATTTCTTCTACATGTGGGAACCGTCAACTACTCACCCTTCAGCCTAATGTTCAGTCTTTTGGAAATTTGTATAAGAAAGAACTGTGTACCAAGGTGGTCGTTGTTGCCTTTTTCTGTGGAGCAGACCAAGGTTCTGGAAGCTTAAGAAAATCACAAAATCCGATCAACAGCTTCTATTATTGTTGATGGACCTATTCCCATAATGTCCACTGTACTATTTATACCTAGTTTTGCCTCGTTGCATGAAAATTTAACAATTTAAATGGGCTAGGATATGCTCATACAATAATTAATATAATTGTGGCTTCTCATAAAAGATATCCAATCAAACATAAAACCAGCTAGAAAATGTGCTTAAGCTGTTGCCAAAGAAAGAAGGTGGCCCTCAATAAGACTAATGTCCCTCATTTACTGAGACTTTTAATGCAGAACTTTCACAGGGGCTATAATCTGATACTACACCTGCCGAGACACTCACACAATAAGCGTACAATAAGCAAAATTTGAAAATGGTCTGTTTAATTAGTCTACTTCCAGTGCATATATTCTCTTCATATAATTCTTCCATCAGGCTCTTCGTATTGCTGACAAAACCATATTTTAAGCCAATTCATATGCTCTCAGACCAACTCCTGACTCTGAAAGTCCAGTTCCTGGTGGCAGTTAGGATATCTGGTGGCAGGAAGGATGTCTTAGCTGTATGCTCTTACCTTTCAGGAACCCAGGCACTGATATGTCTTTATTTAGAAGATTTATGCAGTGGGTTGGACTTGATTACCCTTAGGGTCCCTTCCAACTCTACAATTCTATGATTCTGTGATTCCCTAAAGGAATTTGTCCCACAGAATGCAGGAATTGGTTCTCTCCTATTTTTCCCCTAACCCATTCCACTCAAGAGAGAGAGAGAGAGAGACAGAGGCTTACATTGGATACATGTTGGATACTCAATATGTATTTATGGAGAACAATATTTACTAAATAAGTAATTGGGCTTCAGATTCCTTGTTTATTTTCTTCCATAGTTTCTTGGGACAGAAAGATTTCTAGAGCAACTCTAAATATGTGGCTTTGGACTCCTTGTTCCCTGGAGTAGTGTGATACTCTAAATAAAGATATATGTGCCTCTCTTCCTCAAAGACTGTATGACATTAGTATATTAATTAACTTTTAAGCCACCAGGATGTCTGAGGGTAGGCACCATAGCTGCTCTGATTACTGCTCTGATTACCATTATCTCATATCTGGAGAGTAGCTGTGGGATGGGCACTCAGTACACCTACAATTTGAGTGAAGAATCCTATCACAGATGTATTGAAGTTAGGTCTCACCTCTTGATGGGTTCTGGTGCTTAACATTAATTTGAAGGATATCCTTGCATGACCTAGGAAAACATTGCTTATCCTGAGGGTTCTTTCTGGTCATGAAAAGGAGGGCATCCTTCATTATTTCACACTAGAATCTTGATATGACCTCTTGTCCTGGTGGAGTTAACTAAAGTTGCAGTATTAGAACTTAATAATAGTAATTTATTTCTGGTTAGATGATCTTTTGTTCCTCAGCTGTTGGAAGCCTCCAAAACTGAGAGGTTTCCTCCTCCCAGCAGAGATTCCAGAAGCCTCTGGAAGTCCTGCCTTCTTGAAATGGATGGGAGGAGTCAGCCATCAAAGGATGTTCTCCTTTCCATGACAAGAAAGAGCCCTCATAAGTAAGTCCAATAATTATTTCCATTATCTTCTGATGACTTTTATCTTCTCAACTTCATTTTGTCTTGCTTACTATTTGGTTGCTAAAAGTAGAACTGATGAAGCAGAAAGTATAAGTTTCCCCCCCCTGGGGAAACCTTATGTACATAACCTTATGTAGCAATGCTTTAGCATAACTGTTATTTGTAATCAATTTTTTTTTAAATTGAATTCTCTGTTTTTTCACATTCTTAAGTTCTTTTATTTTGTACCTTCAAAAAGAAACAACCATTACAGAATGATTTGGTTACATAACATATAGTGGTCTAAGAGCTTAATTGTGAAAGAAAATTAAAAAAATATTTAGAATAGTATTCACTTTCCCCCTAGATGTATAGAAAATAATTTCTAAATGTAGTTATTATCAAACTCAGCTTCTGTTCAATTCAAAACATACTTTGTATCCTTGTTTCACATCTACCATTCTCACAGTTGCTCCTCACGACTGTATTAATTTATTATCTAAACAAATCTTTAACCCCTCTGTATTTTTCCTGCTGTTTTGCATTCTTTTCGGCTTTAGCCTTTTCTGCAAACTTGCTGCTCTTGTTAGACATAGGATTTCACTTTTTGGTAAGTTAAGAAAGATTTTCATTAAGTTATCATCGCAAGTTGTCTGGGATATTTCTGGGTTGATGAGAAATTGCTGACTGCTTTTTAGCTAGTAATCATGAAAATGATTTATTTATTTTTAAGATAAAGTATCCCTGAACTGTCCCTTTGTAGTGTCCTTTCAATCTCTCCTACTGTCATACCCTGGGACAATTCTGTAAAATTGTTTACGAGTCCCATTTCCTGCTTCTGTATCAACATACATCTGCTTTGTTTTCTGACTATGGTATTATCAATAATATATTTAAGCAAATGCAGAAGAACATGATAATATCATGCAAAGTACTAGATACTATTGGAAGAGAAATTTTAGTATGTTGTGGAGGAGCCATCGTAGCATCTTGCTAAGTACAGGATACTATCCTTGCACAAACTGCGCAGAAACTTGATAATTTGCAGAGCAATGCTATGGGTGGTGGTGAGTTTCTTTGGTGGAGCTCCCACTATTACCTAAACCCTTTTGGCTTCAACTCAGATACATTTTTTATGTTTTTTCAGCCAGGAGCTAAGACTATGTCCTCCTCATGAGTGAGGTCCTTACTCACAAGTGTGAAGGGAGGGAGTGGAGGGAAATATGGGAGAGCCACTTAAAAGAGGCTGAAGAAGGGAAATGCCAAGGAAGAAAGACTTCTGAAGCTTCTCTTTGAGACAATCGTAGCTCAAAGCTGAGAAGGAGCATGGGCGAGATCCAGCTCCCTTCTACTGAGGCATTAGACCACAGATTGGAGCCTTAAAGGTGCAAGGCACAGATGCACATTCTGCACATCTTCTAATCTTTTGGATTTTTGGTTCCCCTGAACACTCTAGATATTTTCTGATTGGCAGTTCTCTAATCAAAGAAATCCAAGTAAATTATGAATGGGGGGGAAATATATATAAAAGGCAAGTAGAAAGGGCAGTCTACATGCTTTCCATTAATCTGATAAGAAGAAAAATTAACAAAGATTCCAACTTTTGTTAAAAGAATAATATATTAGATTTCCCCAGCATAAGTATGTTTAATAAATGTATTAATTTTTATTTTACCTTTTTAAAAGAATTTAAAAGAGCAACACATTTCCCCATTCATTTTGAATAGGTAGTGATGCTGCTACAATGGTTAGCTGCCTACACATCTTAGCTCAGACACTAGACACAAGGTAAGTTTACTCCTTTTATCAATCTTATTTGTGAACACTATTTCACCCACCCAAAGAATTTTTTCCAAAAATATTCCCCCCCCCCCAAAAAAAATGAATTATTGGAACCAAATTATTTACTTCCCAGCAGAACATTTTTCTTGAAAGCTATGTAGTAACATATGCCCTATACTGTTCAATTTAGGCTGTAATCCTATACATATTGGAAAGTATGCTCACTGAATTTGAGGAGACTTACTTCTGAGTAGACTTCTGAGTAGACATCTGTAGATTGTATGGTCAGGAGGTTTAGTTGAAAACAAGGTTTAAAGGTGGTGAATTTTGCAATACTTAAAATTCATCATTAAAACTTAAGACTTGGGTGCTGTTTTCATTTCCCATAGAGGTAAATTTCAAAAGCAAAAGTAGACAACGATTAAAAATATGGTTTAAAAAATTCAGTTTTTAAAAGTAGTTCACTTCAGCTTTACTAATCTATCCTTTTTAGCAATTGCAATCTAAGCAGGAGTGTGTCCTCTATTTCCCAACCAGCACCCCTAGGTGGCATCTGAGTCTGAGAAAGAATCTGCAAATGTATACTGAGCAATAACTGAGAAGCAGAGGAAAGCCTCTTTTCCTGATACATGTGTAATGTTGGTATCTCTGTGCAGAAGCCTGCTAGAAGTAAGTCTCATTTCATAGCACTAGGGTAAATCATCTCACCATTATAGGACTTGGTGCAAGTGCACTAAAATTAGCTTCCTCGCCATAATTTCCCACATAGTTTCTTAGTGTGCTTAGTAAGAACTGTTGAATAGCCATGTAATTACTGGTATATGTCTGGTCAATGTAGACACCAATATCTCAAAGAAACAGACATGAATTGAGGAAGTCTAGATTTGCTATGGAAAATTATAGGCATTTGATTTCTAAGTGACGTTCTATAAATTGTCCTGTAGAACCGTCATGAAATCAGGTTCAGAGCTGGTTAAAGCAGGACTGCGTGCCTTCTTTGAAAATGCAGCTGAAGATCTGGAGAAGACATCAGAAAATCTTAAACTTGGAAAATTTACCCATTCCCGTACACAGATTAAAGGGGTCTCACAGAATATCAACTATACAACAGTGGCATTGTTGCCTGTTCTAACATCAATTTTTGAACATGTTGCTCAGCATCATTTTGGCACCGATTTGCTATGTAAGTCTTCTCAGTTTTATCTTTGATTTTCAGATATTGTTTCAGTTGTAACTAGGAATGGATGAGGATTCCACTGCTCATTCCAAAATGGGCCAAGCCTTTGCATTCAACTGAAGCTGAAACCATGTTTGCTCTTTTAGAAGTGTGCATTTAACTTACTGTTTTATTTACTCTAATATACTATGAGCTATGGCAAAATCTGAAATTAGTTGCATTATATTTTCATTTTTAATACATAGATTCAATGGAAACTGTATGGCAGCTAATATGCTTCCAGCCTCATGTATTAATAAATTTTGAGCCCTTTGTAATGAATACAGTGGTACCTCAGGTTAAGAACTTAATTTGTTCTGGAGGTCTGTTCTTAACCTGAAACTTTTCTTAACCTGATGCACCACTTTAGCTAATGGGGCCTCCTGCTGCCGCTGTGCCGCCAGAGCACGATTTCTGTTCTCATCCCGAAGCAAAGTTCTTAACCCAAGGTACTATTTCTGGGTTAGCGGAGTCTGTAACCTGAAGCGTATGTAACCTGAGGTACCACTACAGGGATTTTTTTTCATTCAGGGATAAATTAACAGTAGCCTCCTGAATGTTACTAGATTTTAATTCTAAGTGGTCAGTACATCCATTTTATTTATGGAGGATTGTCACATCTTGTCTGAGAGGTCTCCTGCAGCAGAAATTCAAGTGATGCAGCTTGTCCCAGAATAGGATGCAGCAAAGGATGGGAAGTTTGCCTGTTGAAGCTTTGCCTGTTATTCAGTTGCTAAAAACAGAGGAAAAAGTTGCCAACCCCATTAAGTACTTTTCCTAGGCAAAGGGTCTTACATCAATGCTGGGCTGAAATACACCAGGCATTGGTGGAGACTGATATCCTATCTTCTGTGTGGTTCACAGGGGCCATGACTGTTTGAAGTTAATTAAAATACTCCCACTGATCCAAAAGTCTTTTACATCAGGTTCATAGGGACTGTGTGGGATGAGAGAGAGAGAGAGAGAGAGATGGGCCTTGTGATTAATTAAGACAGCAGTCCAATTTTAGAATTTTGTTAAGTCCAGGAACATATTGGATGGCATGTCTTCCATGAATCCTAGAGTCTTTGATTCAGCGCAGGCCTCCATTCATGGAAGGAAGGGAAGAAATTTTTATCAGTTATCTTTCCCATCTACAACCTTCTGTTCCAGCAAGCCCCCTAATCCTAAGGGGCAAGTTTTCAGTGGGATGCAGGGAAAAGAGCAAATCAGTGAAAACCACCTTCCCCTTCTGTGAGGAGAAAACAGAAACATTCTTCCTGTGAGTGGAATTCTGACTACATGACCTTTGTATCCAGCCCAAATGGCTGCATTGGTATAATCATATCATTGTAGAGCAGGAAGGGACCTCAAGTGCTGGCAATTCAGAAATCTCAACTAAAGCATCCCTGACAGATGGCCACCCAACCTTTGCTTAAAAACCTCTAAGGAAGGAGAGTCCACCACCACAATTTTATTTAGAAAATTATATAAAATTGAATAAAGCATTAGTAGAGTACTATATACAACAATTGGCTGTTGTTTGGGTAAACTGTATAAAGAGGTCAAAACATTCAATTTAAAACTATGACGTAGCTGAACATAAGTGTTTTCTTTTCTTTTCTTTCCCCCAGTAGGTGATGTCCAAGTCTCATGCTACAGAATTCTTTGTAGCCTGTACTCTCTTGGAACTGGAAAGAACATTTATGTTGAAAGGTACTTAACAGGAAAAAAAAGCTGAATACACTATGAAAAGTTGCTCTAAGCATATTGCTGAGTTAAGAGTGATTGTGCCTCTGTAAAGCACACCAGTAACCTTTGGTAGCTGAAGCATTTCCTTACAAGCAAGCTAAACAATACCTTGTATTCTCCACTGGGCATTAGGACACTTCCAAGTGGGACTGTGTTTGTCCTACTGCTCGAAGGCAGGAAATTTGGTTGCTGCAAAGGTAGTTGGTGTGTCCACCTCCCTTCGAACATTAGCTCACTTTCTTGTATTCAGAATGTATTGGGAAAGGCTTCTAGAAGGCAGCCTTGAGGCCTGCAGTTCTCACCATACCCCCTTCTACACTTCAGCCACACCCACTTTTACATGCTCCTCCCCATCCCAGGTTGTCCATGGGTCAATGAAGCCTTTGGCTGGATAGCCACTCCTGGCTCACTGGAAGCCAGAAATGTTTCGGTGAAATGTTGCTCTAGAGTGTTTCAGAACACCAGTGTGTCTGCAATTTTTTAAATATCAGTTGTGAAAAACTGAAGGGGGTGGCATACAAATCCAGACAAAATAAATGGTGGCAGAAATGAGACAGGTAGAACAGCTTGCCAGTATTAGCTTGCAAGCGGAAATTCACACAATTGTGGTGGTCACAGGACTCCCTCCTACATATTGAGTACATTGGTGACTGTCAGGGAAGAGAATGTAGTGGTAGACCACCCTTGCTTGCCTGGCTCCAACTGTGGGCCACGTGGGGAACAGGCCACTTGCCAATCACTTGGCAGGGCCTACCAAGAGCTGGGACCAAACATGGTGTGTAAACAAGTGCTGCCATGCCTTCAGCTCCCACATGGCTGCCTGTTAAATGTGCTTGGAAATGCTCTAAAGCCTTAAACGTACCAGTATTGCCTGCCTGTAAGTCAGGGCTGGCCCACCCATGAGGCAAGGTGAAGCGGCCACCTCAGGAGGCAGCAGATCTGACCTCCACAGAATGCATTGTCCACTGCTGCTTCCACCGCAGCGGCAGCAATGGCTGCAGTACATTCTTTGGAGGCCAGATCCGCCTCCTCCTTGGAAGCATCCCTAGTGCTGGCTTTATAATGGCCTCTTGACAAGTAGGAGGCACAGCTGGTTTCCTTCCTCCAGGAGAAAATGGCAGGGGCTGGCATGTAGGGTCTCCTGGATTCTGCACCCGCCCAGTGTGATTCAGAGCAGGGTTATTTCCCCCTTGTGACGGCCTTTGATTCCCACTTTAACCATTGGGTAAGGTACGTGGGTGGCGCTGTGGGTAAACCACAGAGCCTAGGACTTGCCAATCAGAAGGTCGGCGGTTCGAATCCGTGCAATTGAGATAGAAAGGTTTTGGGGTTTTTTAAACTGCTTAGGTTTTCTCTTTCCCCTCCTCAGTTTGAGAAGCCCCACATGCAATGAAAGAGATCATATTATGAGATAATTATTTGCAAGGCCATCTATTATTATCATCTCTCTCCCCTGCATCGTAACTGCTTAATGAGGTTCCTTCCTAGATGTTCTGAACATTTTACTTTTTGTAAAGCAACTTATAAGTGCAGTTAAAACTTTTTTTAAAAATAGCCTTCTGCATTAACTGCTGATGTTAAGGAATTATTTCCGTAAGGGTTTTTTCCCCAATTCTGAGTTGATTTCACATTCTGGTTAAATTGGCTGACATTATCCTCAAGTGATTAAAATATTTTAAAGGGACTACTCAATTTGAGATTTTCTGACCCTCAACAGTGTAAGATTGTGATCATCAAAATTATACTGCTGAAATGTAGAAAGCTTTGACTAACTAGGAGGGGATTTTTGAGTGTGGAAAGACTATGCTCTATCCAGCTCTGGTACTGAATTTCTGGGCCAATAATTCTTTAATCACTATTTTAAAACAACAAAGTGTGTTGTTGTGGCATACTAAAGACCAACGATTTTGTTATGACAGAAGTTATCATGGAGTCAAGTCCACTTTTCAGATACATGAAATCTTGGTTTACAGGTATATAAAGGAGAAAATTATAATGTGGGAGTCCAGTGGCAATGAGTTTCAAAAAGGTGGTGACTGATCATGATAGATTAAATCTATGTTCAATGTGCACACCTTTTGCAGTAGCCGGTTAGTGATAATTGGTGGGGATAAAAGGGATGGGTAAGTTTTGTGGAGGAAAGGGAAGGGCCAATGGGACCTATTGATACTGCATCCAAGGGCATCCATTAGCTTGAAGCCAGCCCTGCACCCTTGACCTCACGCCCGTCTATTTTCTGTGGTAATCAGTACAAACAAAATATCAATCCATAATAATGAATCCAGTTTCCTCCCCTTGCCACCAGATTTCAAATCAAATAATATACAATTGGTTTATTAATTTGATCAAAAGAAATCAATCTATTCATTCCAAAAGGTTACTACTAGTATTGAATACTGTAAGGTACAGAAACCTGCCTGTGCCAACTAAGATTATGACTTGAAATTTGGTCCCTGAGAGTGTGGCTTCATCTATTGCTCAAGGGAAACAATTTCTTCGACTGTTACTTTTGATTCTCCACAAGATGTGGTTGAACATGACATTGCCTTCCAGATTTAAATATACTTGCTACCCAATTAGACTATCTAATTTGGAAACATTTTTGATAGGGAAGGACTGTTAAGAAAACATTGCAAACCGAAACTTGCTACTGGTAGAATAAATGTAATGTGTGAATTGGATTTGAAAATAGTTACTTCAGATATATTGTGGGGTTGGTTTTTTACTTCAGATGTATTGTGAAAGAACTGATAGTGTTCTTTTGTTTACAGACAACGTCCGGCTCTTGGTGAGTGCTTAGCGTCTCTTGCAGCTGCCATTCCAGTAGCCTTTCTTGAACCTTCTCTCAATCTTTACAATCCCCTGTCTGTCTTCAACACAAAAACTGCAAGAGAGAGAGCTAGTAAGTACAGTACTCTGTAATTGATTTTAGAGTGTGTGCTGTTATTGCTTTAAACTGTTTTGTGTAATTGTTTGTTTTTAATTGTTTTTAATTTGCAATTGTTTCATATGTTTTTTATTATATTGCTTCAAGGTACAATTGGTGATTCATAAATGAAATAATAATAACATTAAAACCTTTTTCAATTGTTTCATGCCTATTTAATCTACTTTCACAGATTGCAGTAAACTTAAAACCATCTTTAAAGGATCATGCTCATCTTTTGTTCAACTGTACTTTAGTTGCTAACATGTTACTGTTTTTCTGGCACATAATATTTTGGCAGCACAATCATTTATGCCGCAACATCCTGCTTTGTGTAGATTTTTTAAATGGCATAGCATTCAGTCATGTGACTCCACAATAATCAGAAGTAGTACACATTGTAAACACAGGTTTACTACATTATCTGATTGTGAGAGCTAGGCCCAAAGTGTTATGGAATTAATAAAAAGCTCCATGTAAAGCATGGAACCAAACAAAAAACCATTGCTGTTGAACAGTAGAGGGAACTAATGAATCATGTTTGTATCCATGCACAATCTGTCAGAGTTACAGTGGAAGTAAAATGATTTAAATTGTGCTTTAGCTGTTTTAAGCATTAAGTATGTTAACCACCCCAAAATTATTGTTATGTGTCATAATATGAAGTTTTAGGCATGCCTGAAACCGTAGAAGAAATGTGTCCAGAAATCCCTCACTTGGATGGCTTAATGAAAGAAATAAACAGCTTGGCAGAATCTGGAGCCAGATATACTGAAATGCCACACGTGATTGAGGTGATCTTGCCCATGTTATGCAACTATCTATCATACTGGTGGGAAAGGGGGCCTGAAAATGCTGAAAGTACTGGCCCCTGCTGCACAATGGTAACTTCTGAGCATCTCAGCATAATACTGGGGAACATTTTGAAGATCATCAACAATAACCTGGGGATAGATGAGGCAACTTGGATGAAGCGAATAGCAGGTACCTCGTGGCAAATTTCATTTAAACAACTGATTACTAGAGCTGTTTTATTTGTCAGCACCAACAAAACATTAATTCTCCAATAGTTGTACTTTCTTTACGAAAGCTTTCTCTCACAGTCACATTTACATTTTAGAATCAATGTCTTTTATTAAATTAGTTAAATGGTAAAATCTAAGTAAAATCTAAATAATATATGCTTGGTTCAAAAATTGGGGGTCCTGCATTCCTGAACAAGTACCTGGTATCATTATGTGTTTGGAAATAACTTTTAATATCTGTAGAGCTAGGAGAAAATACTATCCATTAATTAAGTGCATGTAAGTCTCCCTGAAAACTCTTATGGCACAGACCTGTCCTGTTTTTAAAGCTACAAAATGGATGGATACATATATGAAGAGTTCTCATGGTTTTCATTTGATTGCATCAGATGTGGTCCACAGCAGTCAGGAAAATATTTTCTCCGGGTTTCTCCGTCCTCCACCAGTCGCGGACTGTGGGCCGGGGGGGGTGGCATTATTAATCCGGGAAGATTGTTCTTTCAGGGCTCTACCATCACCATTGATCCCTGGCATTGAATGTGTTGGCCTAGTGTGGGGCTCCGAGGTGAGCTTGGCTGTCTGGCTGGTGTACCGGCCACCTAGCGCACCAGCAGCCACCCTGTTAGGCCTGCTGGAGGCGGTGGCCGGCTGGGCCTTGGAGTTCCCTAACCTATTGGTATTGGGGGACTTCAACATCCATGGGGATGCCACTCCCTCCTCACAGGCTCTGGATCTGGTGTCTTCCATGGCGACACTAGGGCTCTCCCAGTTTGTTTCGGGCCCCACACATCAAGCAGGCCACACGCTGGATTTGATCTTTGGCGTCGGTATAGATGTGATCATGTTTCCTTCGATGAAGGTGCCATGGTCTGATCACTACGCTCTGAAAGCCAGGATTGACGTTCCACCCCCACCCTGCTTAGGTTGTGAGCCGATTTGGGCTCGCCCGCAGAGGCTGATGGACCCTGATAGATTCCGTCAAGCCTTGCGGGACCTTTCTCCCCCTGGCGACTCATTGACTGAGCTTGTTGAGGGCTGGAATACCCAGCTCCTGGCAGCCATCAATGAGATCGCACCTAAGCGCCCTCTGCGACCCCGCAGAAACCGGGCTCCCTGGTTTACCAAGGAGCTCCAGAAAATGAAGTGGGACCTCAGACGGCTAGAGCGAGTATGGCGGGGTGCCCGTGATGGAGCTTCAAGAACATGTTATAGGGTTTTTATGAAAACCTACGAGATGGCAGTGAAAGCCGCTAAGAAGTCCTACTTCTCGGCCTCCATTGCATCCGCTAGCTCTCGCCCGGCGCAATTATTTAGTATAATTCGGTCTTTAACGTCCCTTGAAGGACAGCCAAATTTAAATAACAATTTGACACACAGCTGTGAGGCATTTGCGAGCTTTTTGCGGAGAAGGTCCTGTTGCTCCGCCATGACCTCCCTGCCAATTTGGATACAATAAAGGAACTGGAGGCCCCTCGACTGTCCTCGGGTCCAGTATTGGACCACTTTGACCGGATATCCCCAGCTGATGTGGACAGACTCCTCCGAGCTGGAAAGCCCACCACTTGTCCTCTCGACCCGTGCCCATCTTGGCTGATTACAGCATGTCCAGACGAGGTGCGGGCCCCCCTGGGGGATATCATCAATTTGTCCCTTGGCACCGGGACATTCCCAGGGGAACTAAAGGAGGCAGTGGTGCGCCCGCTCTTAAAGAAAACATCATTAGATCCCTTAGATCTATCCAATTACCGCCCGGTTTCGAATCTTCCATTCCTGGGTAAGGTGATTGAGAGAGCGGTTGCTGAACAGCTTGGTAGGTTTCTGGATGAAACATCGGCTCTGGATCCATTCCAGTCCGGCTTCCGCGCTGGTCATGGGACCGAGACGGGTCTGGTCACCCTAACAGACGATCTCCCCAGGCAGGTGGATCGAGGTGGGTTGGGGCTGCTGATTCTTCTAGACCTGTCAGCAGCCTTCGACATGGTCGACCACGAACTCCTGGACCACCGCCTTGCCGACGTGGGGATCCAGCGCACAGTCCTTCAATGGCTGCGCTCGTTTCTCTCTGGTCGGGGACAGGGGGTGGTGCTTGGGGGGGAATTGTCATCGCGCCACTCCTTGGTGTGTGGAGTGCCCCAGGGTGCGATACTCTCCCCAATGCTTTTTAACATCTTTATGCGCCCCCTCGCCCAGCTTGTCCGGAGTTTTGGGCTGGGCTGCCATCAGTATGCTGATGACACCCAACTCTATCTGTTGATGGATGGCCATCCTGACTCGGCCCCAGACACACTGATCAGATGCTTGGAAGCTGTGGCTGGATGGTTACATGGGAGCCGGTTGAAGTTAAATCCTTCGAAGACAGAGGTCCTCTGGCTGGGACGGGACGATATGGGATTGAGGGGGCAACTCCCATCTCTTGCGGGGTGCAATTAGTGCCAGAACCGTCCGTTAAGAGTTTGGGTGTAATCTTCGATACCTCCCTCTCCATGGAGGCGCAGATTGCAGCTATAACAAAGGCGGCATTTTTTCATCTCCGCCAAGCTAAGCAGTTGGCTCCTTACCTCTCTTGCCCTGACCTAGCCACTGTGATCCACGCGACGGTCACCTCCAGACTGGATTATTGTAACTCGCTCTACGTGGGGCTGCCGTTGAGACTGACCCAGAAACTCCAGCGGGTGCAGAATGCCGCGGCGAGACTCCTTATGGGGTCTTCGCTGCGAGATCACATTCATCCGGTGCTATACCAGCTGCACTGGCTTCCGGTGGAGTACAGGATCAGGTTTAAGGTGCTGGTTTTAACCTTCAAAGCCCTATACGGCCTAGGACCCTCGTACCTATGGGACCGCCTCTCCTGGTATGCCCCACAGAGGAACTTACGGTCTTCAAATAAAAACATCTTGAAGGTCCCAGGCCACAGAGAGGTTAGGCTGGCCTCAACTAGAGCCAGGGCTTTTTCGGCTGTGGCTCCGATCTGGTGTCACAAGAGACAAGGGCCCTGCAGGACTTGACATCTTTCCGCAGGGCCTGCAAGACAGAGCTGTTCCACCAGGCCTTTGGTCAGGGCACAGCCTGACCCCCTCCTCTGGCAATCTTTACAGAACTTTAGTATGGTTGCCATCAATTTTGGTTTTAATTAATTTTTATAATGTCTTTAGAATGTTGCACTATTTTAGTGTTGTTAGCCGCCCTGAGCCCAGCTTCGGCTGGGGAGGGCGGGATATAAATAAAATTTATTATTATTATTATTATTATTATTATTATTATTATTATTATTATCTTTTATTGAGACAAAGGCCTAGTTTAGTTGTAGTGTTACCATTTTTTTATTTTACATTTTGTGGGTTCTCCAAAAGAAAACTCAGTGAACTATCTTAAGAAGAATGAACAACAAGTTGATGCAGTCAGAGCCCGGTGCTCAGAAATGCAGATGTTGTATGTTGCTGGCATGGTGGAGAAGAGCAGAAAAAGAGTGAGGATATATAGCTACTCCCTCTTCCTGTCAGGGCACAGTGGGAGTGTTCTTGCAGAGTTCTCTCTAGCAAATTTTACAAGAAGACTCTGTGAGCCTCAACCCCTATCATGTGACTATCTAGCAAATCATGAATTGTTGGTTTGACTGCATTTAAATATCCAACATTACAATTGGTTACTTACATGTGGCTTGGTTAAGCCACTTGATAGTCTGAGTACACTGTTTCACATATACAACATTTTTAATGAAAGAACCCAAGATCAGATACATAAATACCCTGTCTTGAGGCAGGATTACTATACATTTATTAAACATGTATAATGTTTGTGCTTATTTATTTAAGCAAATTCTATGCTGTTTTACATAGCCAAAACAAATCTCTAAGCAGTCTACAGCATATCTTAAAGCAGGCATAGGCAAACTCAGCCTTCCAGATGTTTGGGACTATAACTCCCATCATCCCTAGCTAACAGGACCAGTGGTCGGAGATGATGGGAGTTGTAGTCCCAGAACATCTGGAGTTTGCCTATGCCTGTCTTAAACCATCAAATGCAATATTACAGTATGTTGAGATACCTGAAATTTGGTGAATGTCAACCTGCAGGTGTGACCACTGATTATCCCAGACAGATTGTCTGGATTTCTAAAAACTCAGAGATACACAGGTGAATGTCATCAAAATATAATGGTTAGAATTGACACTTGCTGATAAGTAGGGGAAAAAACTCGGCTGGAATTGTCAACATTCATATGTGTATGTGAACATTCATCAAATTCTTGATATCAAGTGTAACCTAATATAGAAGTATTTCTGCCTGTATACTTTCAGGTAATACATAATCAGGCAGATATGACTTTAGACTTAGTTCATATATAACAGTGAACCATGGTTTATTGTTATGTTCACAAGTAGCATGAGCCTTGGTCTTGTACAATCCCTCACTATCACATGCAAGGGTAAGAGGTTTAACTCTCCTGTGTTTCATTTGAAACAAACAATGATTTGCTGTTGCATCCAAACTCACCCAACTGTGGTTTGTTCAAACCAGTTTGTTAACATGCCAGGATATCAAACCATTATCAGTACAAACCACCAATTGGTGAGTTCTGGGTGCATACAAAATTTCAGGTCATTCCTATACAGAGACAAGTTACATTTCCTCCCAAGAGGAGTGGGGAGCACATGAGCCCAAGATTTAAGTCAGCCCGTGAAAATTACAGGAAAACATGGTTTGTTGTTGCATTGTACTGACGTCTACAGTCACAGTGCTATTATGAAGCTAAACTAGAATGAATGCATTTGTTACTTTTTACAGAGTAACAAAATATGTTTAAATGTATATTGATAGAAATGTGTTTTGTATATAGTGTATGCTCAGCCAATCATTAGCAAGGCCAGGCCGGATCTGTTGAAAAGTCATTTTATCCCAACACTGGAGAAACTAAAGAAGAAAGCCATAAAGATAGTGATGGAGGAAGAACAACTGAAAGCAGACAGTAAAACGGATACCCAAGAAGCAGAACTCCTCATTCTAGATGAATTTGCAGTTCTTTGCCGCGACCTTTATGCTTTTTATCCTATGTTGATCCGCTATGTGGACAACAACAGGTAGGAGAATCTGTAACTAAAGGGGATGAAATGGATTTTTGTATTTATATCCTGCACCTCAACATAAAATTTATGTTCCTAATTTTGCTAACAATAAAACAATATAAAACTAAAAATGGAAAACTACCTAAACGGTTAGTTTAGTTTAAAACAGCAACAGTCTATTCAAATAGATAGTAAAACCAAAACTGCTCTCCTGCTCCTGCTCTAAATTTTGTTATGGACCACCCCAACCAAGCTCCACTGTGTGGTGTGAGATTCTAGGGGTCTTGGCACTTAATGAGGGTTGGTGTTTCCTTCAGAAAAGTTAGGCGCAGAGGAGACTGTAGTGTCTTTAATATATATGGTTTTGTTTATGCATAACTTGTGTCCCAAAGGTAATCTGGTTTCTCTTCAGATCGTATAAATCTTTTGTCTTTTACAAAATAAAAAGGTCCCCCTAGACCCAGTTGAAAGGCAGTAGTTCCTATCTAGGCCATACAATTCAAGGTCATTTCATGGATCAGCAAACAGTGTTAACTAATGCCAGCATGTGGAAAGTTTGATAGCTTTGACACCTGACACAAGGAAGAATAGACTGCTTTCTTGAAAAAATCAATAAGGAATAGAACAAAGTGAATGTTTCTGACCTCAAGCTTCACTAAATTTAGGTTAGGCAGGGAAAAGAACATGTGAATGATTGCCTTAATATTATCTTTAATTCTGTGAAGTACCAGAATAAAAAGAAGAATTAAATATGTTAAAGATAAATGAGAGTATAAAAATGACACAGCCACAAAAACAGTTTAATTAAGTCGTGTCTGCTCTCTGCTTCCTGATACAGCTTACTTGTAACATTTTTACAGTTCAGAATATTTTAGTGTTGTAAAATTCTTATGAATGTCTAAAGGTATTTAAATGGAAGAATCAGCAATGCCCATTAAAGTATAAAATCATTTTCTGACTTGAAAGCTTGAATCCAAATGCTGCATGGCAGTTTAGACAATTCATCATCAACAAGCACACATACATATTTAAATACAGCACAAACTTTTTCTTAAGCCATATCTGTTTTAGAGACAGTGTATAATTCTAGGGGAAGAAACATTCTAGACCACTTTATGCAGTGGGCTGTATGCCCTGGAAGATTATACCAAAATGAATGTGCAAATCGTTAAGGTGGCCACAGGATTTTCTATCAGTTCTGTTACAAAGAAACCTACAGATGTTCTTGCTACAAAGTAAATCTAGTTGTATCAGATAGGGTGGTGGTTTTATGAAAATTGAATACAGGCAATGACTGATTTAGGTGCATCCAAGTGACATGTGACCATGCATGTGCAGACAGTGCTGAACCTGGAAGTAGCCCCAAAATGCCATTAAGATGTCACAAAAAGGGCCAGAACAGGGGCAGACTGGGCTTACACACACTCCACCGACACATGCTGGCGTCCGGAACATAACCCCCACACAAAAAGGATTGCCTATACTTTGAATTGTGATACATGTCATAAATAAATCCTATTGGTTGAATTGAACTTACTTTGGGGTTAATGTGTATAGGTTTGCAAAGGCTGCAATACTCCACAGGCTGTGGAACCTCCAGATGATGCTGAATTACAGCTCTCACCATCCCTGGCCATTGGCCATGCTTGCTAGGGTTGATGGGTGTTGTAATTCAGCAATGCCAGGAGTTCCAGCAGTTCCCCACACCTGCTCTACACACTTACTTGGAGGTATGTGCCATAGAACTGAGTGGGCAATGGCCAGTTAAACAGTTCGGCTCACTCAAACACTTTAGCTGCACAATGAAATTTTCTCTCACGCTCCCAACGTGTCCATCACTTGCTCTCTCAACCTGCTCTGGAGGATTGGGTGAACTCCCAGAATATATTTGTGGTGGGCATCTGGGGAGAGGAAGTTCAGTTACAGAGAACTTAGGCTAGTGGTGCTTTTTACTTGGATACTGCCCAATGAGACTGCTGAGTAGAGATGCCTATTGATGTATTAGCCCATCAATAAAAGGGAGTAGTGAGCATCTTCCCAACACCCAGAAACACACAGTTTTACACTGCAGTATGGTGCTGCAGCGGGTGGCGCTGTGGGTTAAACCACAGAGCCTAGGGCCTGCCGATCAGAAGGTCAGCGGTTCAAATCCCCGCGACGGGGTGAGCTCCTGTTGCTCAGTCCCTGCTCCTGCCAACCTAGCAGTTTGAAAGCACGTCAAAGTGCAAGTAGATAAGTAGGTACCGCTTCGGCGGGAAGGTAAACAGCGTTTCCATGTGCTGCTCTGGTTCGCCAGAAGCGGCTTAGTCATGCTGGCCACATGACCCAGAAGCTGTACGCCAGCTCCCTTGGCCAATAAAGCGAGATGAGCACCGCAACCCCAGCGTCGGTCACGATTGGACCTAATGGTCAGGGGTCCCTTTACCTTTACCTATGGTGCTGCTTTCATACTTTTCAGAAACAAAGTGCAGGAAGAAGCAATTGAAAGGGGAGTAGTAGGACTGGTAATGTTCAGTATAGAACGTGTTGAAATAATACTGTAGTCTAATAAATGTTTTTTTTTGTTTTTTGTTTAGATCAAACTGGCTTAAGAAACCAGATGCAGATTCTGATGAACTTTTCCGAATGGTAGCTGAAGTCTTCATTCTCTGGTGTAAATCACATGTATGACAAAGATTCATTTTATTTTTATTGTTATAATACACATATTTAGAAATGTTATGCATATTTAGAAATGTCACCGACCTGTTTCTCAGCATTTATGTAAACTGTGTTTTGGTATTATATTTATTTCAGAATTTCAAGCGAGAAGAACAAAATTTTGTTATTCAGAATGAAATCAACAACTTGGCATTTTTGACAGGAGACAGCAAGAGTAAGATGTCAAAAGTAAGTCAGAAAGTATTTAGATTGGTCCAAGTGTATCTGCTAAATTATTTGTACTTTGTAACAATGACACAGACTGTCGCAAACTGCATTTCTTTGCCGATATGTTTAGAAGTAGTTGCTTCTTAATATGAAGATCAATTGTATTTACCATATATTGTCATGTAAATTTTCTGACTAAAAGCCTTTTCCCCTTGATGCACCCACATGATGGGGTGAAAGTTTACCAGAAATGGATCTGAAGTACTTCTTTTTACTTTAGCTCCTTCCCTTTCCACCCAGCTGGTCTTGGGATTTTGATTCTCCCTCCCCTGCCATATATTTCTATTGTACTAATATTGAGTTTTCATCTCCTATTGATACAGCAGACAGTTTGCTTTTCACGGTAGTAAAATAATATTACCTAAAACATAATACATCGTGGGGATATCAAAATTGTTAAGATATACCTGCTCAATCTACACATAGCCCAAAATGTCACTAGAAAAACCTGTATAAGAATATCTGTATGGGACGAACTGGGGATGCTAAAATGTCTGAGGCTACATCTGAGAAAGTCCACTCTTTCTGAGATGATCATGGGTATTTTTTTGGAAGGGGATTGTATTGCATTTCAGTAGAGGAGCAGGGAAGGTCTAAACAAAAAGGCATGGTATCAAATTAATTATCTGAAAATGCAAAACAAATGTTTTTAGCATTTGTCGGTGTTAGAAATAGTGTTATAAATTAAGTCACTTTAATGCATATGTGCAGCTGAACACACTGAGATTTGTGGCTCATTCCTCATTTCCAGTGTTCCTCTGCTGAATCAATGTGTGTGGATTCATTTTTTAAAAATGCATTGACTCAGTGAGGGGCACGAAAATTCACCGTTCAGGTGAGACTCAACTATCAATTTGTCTCCCAAAGACGGGATGTGGATCATAACACTGGAGCTGATGTGTCTTTAGGAGGAGCTGTCCTTATGTAGATTTATCACATAGGGGTGGGGTGGGGGTACATATGGAGAATGTATAATTGTGCAAATCTATTGTAGTGTATGAGCACAAATAATTACTGCCTTATCCACAAGTGACCCATTCTTATTCCATACCTGAAGGACATTTTCAGCTGTTCTAGTCTTCTTAGTCTCTGAAACATACATGCTAAATGATTTTATACATTATATGTATCTGGTACTTTTTCAAGCACCCAATGCTGTCTTGTTGAAAATTATTTTTTAAGTATTTTAACCAGATATCGCACCACAGAAAACCAAGTGTAATTAAGTACCAAGTACCTGTGGTTGATTGTCAAATGAAATTTATTATAAATAATAATACTTTTAAATTTGGCTTTCTGCTATTAAACCAGTTTCCTGTTGTTAAACCTTTCTTGTCAACAACCATATATATATGAATGACCAGATTTTCTTTAATTGTGTAATTACTTCACTGTAACAGTATTGAAGTATCTTTGCGCAATGGAAAAAAGCAGCCATGATATGTTTGTTGCTTTCAGTATGTCTGTCCCTAAGTATTCAAGTTTTGATTGGAAAAACTATCCCTGGCCAGGACTTTAACAGTTGATAACTGCTTAAAAAATTGGGATTTGAGACCATTATCAATTGAAATGCAAGATGAAACAATCCTATTTTTTTTCTTGTTGAGCGTAGGCATCATTTCTATGCCAATTTCACAACCAATCAGGGAATCCTGAAAGTCAAGATTAGGGACAATTATTACTGGAACTAAATCTTCCTCCCTTTAAGAAGTTCTGTCAGTCTGGTTGTTGTTTGTCCCCTGTCTTTTCCCCATTGAAAGTAATCATCCACTTTGTTTTTGGGGGCACATTCAGAATTGACTTATGCAGACAAGAATAGCTTGGGACCTTTGAAAGACTGCTTTCTCCTATGTTAGCAAATTGCCTTGGCAGGCAATGTGTTTCACATATACATGTTCTAGGAGTCCTGTGAATTAAGATCTTTAAGATACTGGCAATAGCACATCTTGGCAGATGTAACTTACACTCATATGGGTCTTAAAAATTGAGATGTTGTTTCTTGCACACACAAAGAGAATCAAAATCTACACATTATTAATACTTCAGTAGGGAATAGCTTAGCAACAATACTTGTTGTGGCAGTGGGAATAGCTCAACAACAATATGCCTTCTTTAGTTGAGAAGATGAGCTAATGGAGTCTATCCATGAATAAACTAGCATTTATACATGAAAGAGCAAACCCAAAGGCATAAGAGGAATTGGAAAGGCTGGATGGGTTAAGCCAGGCATAGGCAAACTCGGCCCTCCAGATGTTTGGGGACTACAACTCCCATGATCTCTAGCTAACAGGACCAGTGGTCAGGGATGATGGGAATTGTAGTCCCAAAACATCTGGAGGGCCGAGTTTGCCTATGCCTGGTTAAGCACTGCTTAGGAAGGCATAGTTGGCTTCTTCCTCTCTGGGCTGACGTTGCAGACTAGGCCTCAGTCTTGTATCACTGGGCAAGGAGGACCAGAAGGTGGCTTCTAAAACAGTCATAGCACACAAAGGTAGGAAGCCAAAATTGTTCTTAAAAACACAGTTACAGAGAGAGAGAGAGAGAGAGAGAGAGAGAGAAAGAGAGAGTTAGGAAGATGGTAGGCAGGACAGAAGCAGGAGACACTGTTCTCAGCCTTGGTGGGCAATGCCAAAGAGGTAGAACTGAGGGGCATTGAAACTCCTGGGTCAAGCAAGGAAAACAGAAAAGGCAGCAGGCAAGAGAAAAAATCTCTGCTTTGGCTAGCAAGAATCTAGGGGGAGCAGGAAAAACAATGGAGCCCTTAAAAGCACTGGCAGAGGGAGAGCATGAAGCTCCGCCACTGCTTAAAAGGGCTTTTGGAATAGGCAGACTAGAGAAAGTGTTGGAATCAGCACCTGAGATTGAGAAGCCTAATGAGCTTCCATGACTGCACATGCTCAGGCTTTAGAATCTTAAGGGTGGCAGAGGAGAAGAAGAGAAAGAGAAGCATCGATACCAAGCATACAAAGCTGTAGGATTGACCAGATTTCATCATTATCCTGCTTTGGAAGAAAATGTTTGTAAGAAGGGGTAGCCTCTACCCAGCGGTGGAGCATATGCCCTCGCTACCAAGAGCGGGCGAGCTCCCGAGGAGGGCGTGGCACGGAGGGTGCCTTCCCCGGCACGGGATAGCCACTCAGGTTCTCAGAGTGGTGTGTGTGCCCTGCAGCCGGGGGCGGAGCGAGCTGCCCCTGGTGGACATTTGGCACAATGCCCGCCAGCGACTCCCAAGCCTCCCCCAAGCTGTCAAAATGAAGGGGGAACGGGGGAAGGCTTGGGAGTCGCAGGTGGGCGGCACGCCGAATGTCACCCCCCTCAGTGAGGGCACCCGGGGCGGTCTGCCCCCCGCCCCACTTCCTATGCCCCTGCCTCTACCCCAGGTTTTTGAAGAAGGGGGTTAATACTGGCTGTTTCCTATTGACTGAGCCATGGGAAATGTCCACTTTTGAGTGGTGCCTAAACATCACAAAGAAGTCTCAAAGGTAAGGCACCCTCCAAAATGCCATAAAATAACCAACTTTCCAGCCTTTATTATTCTTGATAATATCCCAAAAGAATGGCCAAAAATGTATAATTCACTTTTCCTATGTTACTCAAACTCCGTGTTGTGCTCACTGGCTAAAGATGGTTAGCTGGGAAATTAGAGTGCATTATGAAAATTAAAATTGTACATATGGTGTGTAATACATAATATATGTATCTGTTGAAATATGTTATACCAACTTGACTATTGTATGCAGAAGATACAAAACATAAATATTACAGATTTACAGCTGAATGCTACTTTTTTAAAAAAAAATGCAACTATTTTGTTAACCTTTGTCAAACTGAATTTATTTAAAGCTGAGCAAGTTTTTTTAACTTTTTTCCTGATAATATGGCAGCAGATTGCTCGGAGGGGAATGGTAAGTTAGTGAACATTTAGTCTGAGAAAGATGGGTTACTTGGGCTGTACTGTGAAATAACAGATTCTTATCAATAGGTTACTGAAACAGATACGCCACTCCATTAATCTGTTATTTTTTAACTTTGTGTAGGTGTTTTCATGAAGGAGGCATGCAGATGTAATTATTTCTTACTGCAGTTTATATCACATCTATATTTATCTAAACATGATGCAGTATTTACATATTCATTTATTTCATCTAACAAACTTAAGATACTGTTCATAGGGTGATTCACTTACCCCAGCCTTAATTAAGAGAACTCAGGGTGAACACTTACACTTCAAGAGCAAAGCAGAAATATATTCTAGTTCCACAGTCAAGGCAGAACTCTATACAGGTAACTCACAACTTGTGTGCATTCAGCTTTACATGCTTGGTAAATAAAAATAAAAATAAAAGGGGTGGAAAGTGGACGAACATTTGGGAAACAATACTTTGGCAATCCCACCCACCCTGGAAACCAGTGTGTTTTAACAATATGCAATTTTGGCTTCACATGCTACCTCCGGAACATAAGTTGAGAGTCGCCTGTATAGAAATGATGGATATAGAACGTTTGTTTGACAGCCAGTGTGCAAACCCAGGGCGAATGCATATCACAGTTCCAAAATGCAGGGGAAATACAAAATTTGTTGTTCATCACAGAATTAAACTCTCAGGTTTTGTTTAGAAAAGCATTGTCCTTATCCATTCATGTAATAGGCAAGTGAGGCCTAATAACCAGTAGGTCAAGATGTAGAATCATCAAATTCTAGAGTTGGAAGGATCCCTGAGGATCTTCTGGTCCAAACCCTTCCATGCAGGAATATACAGCTGTCCCTTGCAAGGATCAAACCAGTAACCTTGACATTAGCCACACCATGCTCTGACCAGCCGACCTGGTCTAGCTGCAGTTGTGTGTCTCATTAGAAGAAGAAGCTAGCCAGTTGTGCCAATGTGTTTCTGTGTTACATTATACAAAATAAGAAAAATAATCCAATTTTGCTTAATTTGCATAATTGATTCAGTCATATAATCCAACTTTTCTTGTTGTTGCATCCTAATAATATTTAGCAGCCCCATGAAAAACTTGCCTACTCACATTGAATACAAATTGGCATCCAGATGATGCTAAAATTATCAAATCATTATGTGCAGATAGACGCACAATTTATTCAGTGTCAAATACACGTCAAAGGCAATAACTCTGAATACAAGAGTTGCATGTGAAAAGTATGTTTGAAATGCAGACTCAGATTTTCAGGATATATACATTTATATTCCTTTATATTCCTCAGACATGAGCAGACAAGAAGAAATGTATCTTGAATTTTGAATCCTACAAGTGATTTGAATGGCTTTATATAATTAAATCCAAATTTATATACTGAGAGTCATGCTACATTTTTGGAATAAGCAGATTGAAGTCTGATCTCTAAATGACCATAATGTGGCAGCAGACATGGGGGGGGGAGCAAAGTCAACCTGAATTTAGCCTCTACGCACCTTTTCATCCCTCCCAAACAGGTGTCCAATTCTGACAAAACTGGTAGTAGTAAATATTAACTTGTTATGGTATATGTGATCTCAGCCCATAACTTTATGTACAACCACATGTACTAGGTCAGGGATCTAACAAAAGAAAATATTCACACAACACATTTTCATGCAGAATCCAAAATAGGAATTGACTGTTTTAACTGAATCAGAAGTGGGGTGTCTGGGTTTGATAACTGGCACAAAAATTGAAAGAACAAACCCCTTATAAATGTTACACTCTTTTTAGGCTATCTAGCTTTAGCATATTTAAATATTTTGCAGAAATGCTTTAATGTCCCTCTATCCTCCAAATACAGTTTCCCTGATTCATTTTTCCATGTATTTCAATACACTGTTTTTGAATCATGGACCCCATTCCCTTACACAGCTTCGAGTAGCTTTCAAATGTGCAAATCAGAAACTTCAAATAGAAAACAGTGTGTTAAGTTTCAGTATTAAAGCATCCTAGTAAATGAAGATTATAAAGTTTATAAGGAGTTTGCTCTTTAACTTTTACCTATGTAATCTTACCTACATAGGTACATGAGGAAGAGACTTTGATTCTGATCCTATGCATGTCTCCTTAGAAGTAAATCCTACTTCATTTGGTGGGATTTGTGTCTCACTGCAGGCTTTGTGAATTTGTGCATGAGACCCGATAATGTTTTCAAAATGTTTGTTGTTCATTCAGTAAAAGGATAGGATTTTAGGGCAGAAGGAACTTTGGTATTTCCAGGCTGGGGAAGGACTTTCAAACTCCAGACATGGGGACCTTTCTACCTCCAGATGTTGTTGGACTACTACTCCCATCATCTATGTGCATTGGCCATTCTGTCTGAGGCTAATGGGAGTTGGAGTCTCATAACATCTGGAGGGACACAGGTTCCCACCACTGCTTTATCTTCAGAATTCACAGCAATTAACTTTATTTATCTAAGTTGTTATTAGCTGACAGGGACGAACGAATTACCTAAGGCAAGAAGCACCTGACAAATTTCACAAGACGAATCACCTATTACAGTATATAACAGTGTAAAGAATTAAAATGTGACAGAACAGTTTTTAAAAGCAGCAAATATCTCTGTGCTCCAAATATGGCTTTGTAAATTTTCTCCCAATATTGTGGTTTTATACAGTGCCCCCCCCACTGCTATCAGTTTCACACATTAGTGTATAGCTTTTATAGGCTAAAGAAATAAAGATGCACTGAAGAATAGATCCAGAGGCATTCATAATCCAGTTTTCAAGTACAGTTGTACCTTGGTTGTTGAACACTCCGGAACTCGGACGTTTTGGCTCCCGAACGCCGCAAACCCGGAAGTGATTGTTCCGGTTTGCAAATATTCTTTTGGAACCCTAACGTCTCACGGGGCTTCGGCAGCTTCTGATTGGCTGCATGATTTGGTTTTTGAATGTTTTGGAAGTCGGATTTCGTTCAACTTCCAAGGCACAACTGTAGTAGGCTCCACTACTTACTCCCCAAATGAACAGACCCCGATCCAAAATGTTAGCTAAGCAATGTGTGAGAGAGAATCTCACTTATTTCACGCTCAGGGTTTTTAATGAACATAAAAAAATTAGAAAGAGCCCACAACGTATTGCTATATAGTAAGAGCTGTGAGTGCTATACTGTTGTCCTCTTTTTGACTTGTTCCTGTGTGAAGTGTACTGTTGTTGCTTAATATTAATGGCTCCAGTTAAACATATATGTAATTAAGGTTGCAGGACTATCAACACCATTTTTCCATGACCATCTTTAGATAAATGTTTTTAATTATAATAAAAGAGCAAAATTATTGACATGACATTAATTGAATGAATGAATGCAGTTAATCTCTACATTTTAAAGACAAGTGGTGTCTTTAGCTGTGCCAGTATGGGCATGGATTGAAGGAGGAAAGGTGATCTCAGTTAAAATCCCTCCACTTCCCAGCTATATGAATAAAAATGAAAGCCATTAAAGCAGGGGTCGGCAAGGCTTACCGGGCATGGGCCAGATCACTCCTGCGGAGATCCTCCTTGGGCCAGACTGGCACAGCACAACGCCAGAAATCGCGTCTGCGCATGTCCGCGGTGCCATAAAACACTTTTGTGCATGCCCAGACACCAAAAATTGCGCCTGTGCAGATGCGATTTCCAGCGTCTGGGCATGCACAGAAGCAATTTCCAGAGCTGCGGAAGAGAGTCCCTGTGCCGCAAGGCCGGTTTAGTGCAGCGCGCAGGGACTGGCCAAGCGGGCAGCTCAGTTCAGGGGCGGCTTGGGGGCCAGTTAAACGGCCTCCATGGGCCACAGGTTGGGGACCCCTGCATTAAAGGCTTCTCTCTTAATGTAAATAGCAGCTTTTGGATGGGGGGGTTGTTGTCAGGGTATGGTGAGAGGAGTTAAACCCCTTCCCTTCTCCTGCAGTTGTGATACTGTGGACTCTTCCATGGTTGCTATTTACATTTTTTAAATGCACATGTAAGTTGCATTAAAGGGACGCTGGTGGCGCTGTGGGTTAAACCACAGAGCCTAGGACTTGCCGATCAAAAGGTCGGAGGTTCGAATCCCCACGACGGGGTGAGCTCCCGTTGCTCGGTCCCTGCTCCTGCCAACCTAGCAGTTCAAAAGCACGTCAAAGTGCAAGAAACGGCTTAGTCATGCTGGCCACATGACCCGGAAGCTGTACGTCGGCTCCCTCGGCCAATAAAGCGAGATGAGCGCCGCAACCCCAGAGTCGGCCACTACTGGACCTAATGGTCAGGGGTCCCTTTGTTGTTGTTTAGTTGTTTAGTCGTGTCCGACTCTTCGTGACCCCATGGACCATAGCGCACCAGGCACTCCTGTCTTCCACTGCCTCCCGCAGTTTGATCAGGGGTCCCTTTACCTTTACCTTTTAAGTTGCATTAACATCCTCTCTAGTTTGACCCTTAATAACAGCAACTCATTCTCAGGAGATTTCCTTTTTCTTTTTATACGACTGTATTGTGCACAGTCCCTTCTCTTTGACACTCCTAGGGCACAATTCAGTCAGAATTAAGCACTTGTAACTCCCATTTTTTTTAAGTAGAGGATTTAATTTATTTTAAGAAATGGGTATCACACTTTATAGGATAAAAATAAATTTCAGTCAAAGTAGAAAAAGTTTAAAAATACAGCAAACAAATATCCAGCATTTAAAAGCATTTTTTTGGGGGGGGGGGATCCAGAGCACAGATGTAGCAAAGAGAAAAAAGCCTAACTAGGAATAAAATTTATACATTCAGTCTAGCCTAAAGGCTACATGGAAGAGCTGACTTTGGCCAGGTGGCTGAAACTGTCTATCAGTCTGGTAGGTCTCTCCAGGGAAAGCAAGCAAAGTTTAGCAAGAGCTTGAAATCCATAGGACAAAAGTATTTAACTTTATCTTCTACTAGTTAAAATATATTTGGGAAAAGTAGATGTGATTGTAGACCTCAGTCCTTAACTTCTAACTTTGAATCGTGGCATTTTAAAGTACCCAAGAAGGCCAAAAGGAGAGAAGGTCAAGAAATAATTGCAGAATCAAACTTTCTGTAACCTGCACAAAGTTTCATGTAACCTTAGTTTTCCATGTTAAAGCAAAAGCACTTGGTTTGTTGCATTTCTTGTGAATATTGTTTGTTAACAGATACAAGGCTAAAAAAATTGGTAAGTGTGTGTTGTCAAACATTCATTAGTATTAAGTTCAAGTCATATTACTAAACATCAATATTAAAAGATTATAAAGATAGTAAATGTATTGTTGTTTATGGTTTTCCTTTATTCTAAACTGACTAAAACAGCAGTATGGGGGTTTACATAATATATATAGAATAAAATATATTGCCATTGGTAATCCTCAGTATATTCTTTATTTTTAACCCTCAGTAAGCGTAATAATAGAAGAAATTAATCTAATGCAGTAATTCATTCTTTTATTAAGGAAGCACATAATGACACATGGTAATGGTTCATTGTAAATGCAAGGTATTTTAGCTACTTTGTTGAAAAAAAGAAGATATTGTTTCTAATTGACTTGTAAAATTCCCATCTTTTCATCAAGTTTACTTACTTTTTTCCTTGTATTTTTTCTTTCATACAGGCCATGCAAGTAAAGGTACAGGTCAAAGTGCATGATGTGTCTTTATGTTTTAGTTTTAGAGATGACCAGGCTCTCAGCATTCTTTCCATTGATCACAGCAGTGGCGTCACAAAGGGAAGGTACATGTTCTGCCCAATATAAATCCTATTGGAAAGTTAGGCAGATTTTGCCAGAACATCTGTTTTTATACTCCTCTCCTACACACTTTTCTATACAGGCCTGGGTATTGATTTCATGGGGAAGAAAATGGCCCAACAACATCTCTCTTCTGCCTCTGTTACCATCCTCATTTTATGTAAATTAGTTTAGTATCTTTAATTGAAAAAGTGACTCATTAATGTATTGGGATTTTTAACATTAGAAATACTAATAGACGTAGTAGTAGTAGTAAATGTACTATGCTTGTCATTGCTATGATTGTCCATTAAAATATCTAGATTACTTTATCAAATTATTCTTTCCCTCCTCTTTGCCCTCCTTCCCTGCAATCAAGACTTACGGATACAAAATAATTTTGGATCACACTAAAATCAGTGTACACATCCCGTACCAAATTTATTTAAAATTTCCCCACAACTTGGAAACAATCAGGAAAAATGTAGGAATTATGAATTGTATTTTACAACCTTTTACTGGGAGTAAACCCATTGACATGAATGGTCTTGACTAATTTAGGGCCATTAATTTTAGTGGGTCTACTCTAAGTAAGCTTAGTTGCATACAATCCGGGGGAAAGTTGACGATGATATTGGTAATAATGATGGCTCTGTGCTGGATCTGCCCTGGCAAAACACAACAACTTGGGAACAACTAGGGAAAAGGTGGTCATTATCACCATTGTCATCATGACGCCACGCAGTGGGCTCTTTCCTCCAAAAAACAACAACCACCAACCACAACTTTGGAACAATCCTGCTGTAGGACATGCAGCCGAAACACAAAAAAAAGGGGTTGTCATATCCTCTTTCCACCCCCATGTTTAATTGAGGATGCTCTCAAACAGATGCCTGCTTTTTGTGCCAGCAGGTAGCAAAACTAACACAACAGCAATGGTAGGATTCCTGACTTTCTTCCCCCCACACCCACATTTAAAGAAAATAAATTCTCAAGATGCTGCCTGCTGCCAACTGCTCCACATTGCTGGCAAGGAGCAAAGCAAAGTAAAGATAGCAGCAAATGGGTGAATCCAATAACTAGGAAATAAAACAAAAGTAAAGTTGCAACCCCAGGAATTCCTTTTGCCTGGTCCAAACAACTCACTTATCAATCAGAGCTCTGACTTCAGTGTAGCTGGGTGACCTCGAGCCAGTCACACTTCTTTGAAGTCTCTCAGCCTCACTCACCTCGCAGAGTGTTTGTTGTGGGGGAGGAAGGGAAAGGAGAATGTTAGCCGCTTTGAGACTCCTTAAAGGGAGTGAAAGGCGGGATATCAAATCCAAACTCTTCTTCTTCATTCACTAAAAACAAAGGTTGACTCATTTCACAGAAATTGCTTCGAAGGGTACTTGCACATTTTGCTTCATAACTTTCTTTCTCGGAAGTTTAGAGCCTTTTTTTTTTTCTTTTAATGAAAGCTCAGAGTCTGGAGCAGCTGCCTGAGGGCGCCCATGAAAACCTTCCTAAATGCCAGGTTGGGAACCTTCGTAACTAAGCCAAACCATGGCTTAGCTTATGGCACTGTAGCAGCAGCAAGTCTGGGAGAAGAGTGCTGCAGCTGCAGTCTCTTCTGGGAACCCCCCATGCTAGCACTTTTGCACTAAGCCATAGTTTGACTTAGCTTTACATGTGAAGCAGCTCAATGTAAGCTGCCTGATGAACTTTGTTTAGTTAGGTGGGTTGCAAACATTCCAAACCTATCAGTAGTCTATAGCTCAGCATTACATTTACACCAGATCGAATTGTAGCCCTCATCATTATAGAGGGGAAAGTAAGTAAAGATCTTCCCTGCTTTAATAATAAGACTGATGACTAGAAAGAAAGGACAGATACCCTTGATGGGTTTCTGCTAGTATAGAATAAATATGAACAGATAATTTTAAAGCACAACCCACTTCCTTACCGTCATGAACAGAGCATGATGTTCTATGACTTTCCAGTTCTAGCTTTGTAAATTGAGATTTACTGAGTAGCAACTTTAAAAGACTGAAATTTGGTGGCAGAGACAGAATGGAGCATTTCTTCACTTTTAAAATGTATTTCCCCCCCCTTTACTGTGTTTATGTTAAACATTCTTACCCACTCATACTGAAGTAGATAACGGGGAATCTTTTCTGGAGAAACCTGTCCTCCAAGGAACAGAAGAATGAAAAACTAGGACTGACTTACCTGCTGTGTTACACCAGTTACCTCCCCTGATTAACAGACGAGTGACGCCACTGGGTCCCCGTGATACATTGTGGCATTTGTTTGTCTGCTATCAAAGTAGAGTACAAATTAATGTCATTAAATATAGAGCCATTATTTCATTGCTACTGTAGAAAACTTTTTCTAAGGCATTTTGACAAGCAAAGCTTTGAGGCAAAATACTTCCTGCATTTGTCGGTCCCTGAAGGAAAACCACCACATCATGTTTTTGTTCATAACTGAACTGCCAAACATGTAGGAATGGCTAGATGCTTTGGTAGTTTTCATAAAAATGAGAGCTTTGCAACAATTTACCCAAAGTGCGTGCACTGTTAGACTTTTCTTTCTCCTAGAATAAAAACCGTGTGGTAATTGTTTGCAAACAATCAGTACTAACAGCTCTTACTGTACCAGCATAAGAAGCTTGTACAGTTTACTCAGGGCCTTAAATTTTCATTTGCAGCGGCAATAAGATGTGGAGGGTTTATAGCAAGCGCCTGCTGTTTGTAGCAGTGAAATGCTATGAGCCCAGCTCTGAATTCATGTGTGTGGCAAATTCTCACTGTGGCCAGTGAGAGTCTATTTCAAGCATGGAATTCAGGAAGGGGACATTTTTTGTGTGGCTTTTTAGTGTAAGTTTGTTCATAGTATGATTCTGTTAATGATGATCTTGTTGTTGCTCAGAGCTTTGATCTGCTGCCTTAAATAAAAAGTTTTATTTTACATTATTTGGATAGAATAGGACAGATATTATGTTGATGTGCAACCTGTTTACTGTCTCTTTCCTAGGGCTCATTTTCCTTATGCTCTGGGTGACTGAAGCTGCTGACAGTGTAGTCTGATACATTTACCTGATTTTTTTTTATCAACAATGGAGTTAATGAAAAGTAGCTTTCTAGTGTACAAACTCATAGGCTTATGACTTTATTGAATTCATATATAGGCAACATGAGACCTTTTTAAAAGCAGCATTACAGATACATTTCATACATGCATAGAATGCTCAGAATGTTAGAAACACTTACTGTCTTCTAAAAGTACAAAGCTTATTGTCAAAACTTTTATCCGTTTCAGATGTTATTCGTATGTGTATGTATGTGTTTTTGGAGATGTGTAGATTGTAGAAAATTACAACGTGTGTATTCTTAGATTTTCTGTGGTGAAGTAAATTATGAAGTGCTACTAAAATAATATGTATTTTCCACAGCAGTTCTTTGGTTCACTTATATTTTCCCAAGTTTAGCCATTAAATATATATATATTACATATAATATGTCAATATAAAAGTCTAGCTTTGGTTGGATAATTAGGGGAAATAACTATTTAATATGAATGAATCACATAACTACACAATATATTTTGTATGTATCTTCCAGTCTGGAGGTCATGATCAAGAACGAAAGAAATCAAAACGTAGAGGGGATTTATATTCAATACAGACTTCTCTAATTGTAGCTGCACTTAAAAAAATGCTTCCCATTGGACTGAATATGTGTACGCCTGGAGATCAAGAACTGATATCTCTTGCTAAGTTCAGATACAGCTGTGTAAGTCGAAGTTTTGCTCAGTTAAGAGTGTTCAATTTTGAAAATCCAGCAACCACATGGGGATTGTGATTCTAATACAGGCATAGGCAAACTCATCCCTCCAGATGTTTTGGGACTACAATGCCCATCATCTCTGACCACTGGTCCTGTTAGCTAGGGATGGTGGGAGTTGTAGTCCCAAAACATCTGGAGGGCCGAGTTTGCCTATGCCTGTTCTAATACAAGGATTCTCAAAAAGCACACGTTGCTATGCAGTATCAGGATATGCCCTCGCTGCAACGCCTGCATCTCAACAGTGCGAGAAATGATGAACAAGCCTTCCATATGGCAAACCAGTTTATTCATTGGTCCAAATGCATCTAGAAAAATGAATGCCAGACCAAAGCACTTGACTGATTAAATACTTATTGCCTGAACTGGAAAGCTGTTCATAGATCTTAAAGACACAAAGGTATGCTTATATTTACTGAATGCATAGAATATGTCATAACAAATAGAATAGTATGGCATCAGGGCCGTCTTTAGCATATGCATCGCCAGGGTACAAAGATCCGTCCAGCACCCCCAAATTTTTTTTGGGGGGGGCATGTCAAAGTTGTTGAGCTTTTAAGGAGGGGAGCAGCGAAAACCACTAACATGAAAAAAAAATGGCAGCGATAACTCTGTCTTTCCATTTTTGCAATCATGCGAAAATGAAAGACACCACTAGGGGGCAGCGCCGGATACATTGGTTCTGCAGCTGTTTTGCAAATGAGAATGGAAATGACCCATTGACCCCAATCATCCATGGCTCGCAGTTAAGAGCTTAGGTGGCTTCAGCGGTGGGCACCCCCTAGAATTTGGTGCCCGGGTGCACCGCACCCCTTGCACCTCTGGGTAAAGACGGCCCTGTATGGCATCTTAAAGGCATCCTAGCAAATTTACAGTACCCAAGCTGTCCTGGACCAGAGCCCGTATCATCAGATGTATGTAAGAAAAATGGGGCCAGTTGTGGGAACTGAGGAAATATCTCACATTAGCTACACATATTTCATTTACGTTTGCCATGGCTCAGTTGCTAGAGCATGAGACTCTTAATCTAAGGGTCATGGGTTCAAGCCCCAAATTGGGTAAAAGATTCCTTCATTGCAGGGGGTTGGACTAGATGACCCTCGTGGTTCCTTCCAACTCTGCAGTTTTATGATTCTATGAAACAAACAGTTACCCTTATTGAATAAGGGATTGGTCAGATATGAGCATAAAAAATGAATTTGGCTTTGCACACCTACAGTTCTTATCACATTTTCCACACGGAATCCTATGTACGTGTTGCCTGCTGTTGCTTCTTGATGGGAGGCAGCTGTCTAGGATCCTGTTTTCAGCTTTCCAGCTATTCTTCCAGATTGGATTCCAAGAAAACAAATGGACCATATTTGGTGTTTAAAAAACATATAGATAATAATTGGGAAGAAGTACAGTCAGAAACATTCACTTACTAAATCCACAAATATCAACATACAAGACTTTCTCACCAGCTGTTTCAGAACTCTCCCTGCTTCTCACAGCCTCTCCCAATCTTCACTCCTTCCCTAGGGAAATTGGATCCTCCTGTCTCTTCTGGGTTACAATATAATTATTCTGTTGGCAAAATTTTGCAGCCCAGTTGTAGATGGTTGCGGGCTGTCTCATCACCAGGATATTTGCTTTCTAGAAAGATAATTTAATAAGTTAGTCCAACTTTTATTATGGCACAGATTAATATATGCTTATATTTGTATGCAGAAAGACACAGAAGAAGAGGTGAAGGAGCATTTACGCAATAATTTGCATTTGCAGGAGAAGGTAATGTTCAAAAAGGTCTGTCAGATGAAACGTTTTTTAGCATTAGGAAAAGTTTTAAAACATTTAGATGTTTAACAAGGCAATCTTTTGCTTAAGTTATGCAGGCTATGAGGGCTATAGGATTTAGCAGGCACACCTCTGCGCTTTTGGTATAGAAACTGCCTTTGTTGCCCTGTATGATCACCTCTAGGGAGTGTGTCCCTAGTGATCTTCCTTGATCTGTCAGTGTCTTCTGATACCATTGACGATGGTATTCTTCTGGAGAAGCTGTCTGAGTTGGGAGTGGGTGGCACTGCTTTATGACGGTTGCAGTCCTACCGGGATGACTGTTTTCAGAGGGTGGTGCTTGGGGAGTTTGGTTCAGCACTGTGGAGCCTTAAGTACCGGATTCGATTTTATCCACCATTGTGTTTAATATTTACATGAAATTGCTGGTCAGGTCATCTAGAGTTTTGTAGTACATTGTCAGTAATATGCAGATGATACATACACAGCTTTACTTCTCCTTTATGCTCCTGGCAAAAACACTATTATTTGCTCTAACCTTTGGATCACAATTTTCTGCTTATCTTTTAGTGGGGTAGGGTGGAATTAGAGCTGATTTTGGAATTTTCCCAGTGGCATGCTTTTCCTAATCTTTTAGGCTGAGTGAGTATAAGATATGGCAATCATATCCCCATGCCCCCAGGCCTGACATAATTAAAGTATAGGATTGCTGTGTAAGAGTGGGGCATTTTATTTATTTCCCCCTCAAATGTTTATTTAAATAAGTCTGCTAAGTATTTTTAAACATTTTTGATACAAGATCGTATGTGTTATTTGCAGTCAGATGACCCAGCTGTGAAATGGCAGTTGAATTTGTACAAGGATGTCTTGAAAGCTGATGAACCTGTTGATCCTGAGAAAATAGTGCAGCGTGTGCAAAGGATCTCAGCAGCTGTGTATCATCTGGAACAGGTGAAAGGGACCTCACCTATCAGCTATATAGTTTCACAGCAGAACATGGAGTTCTTAGCTAAGCACATATATTATAACAGAGACTGTGTTTCAAATTGGGGAGTCCCTGGTTCAGATCTAGCTTCTGACATGTATTCAGTAGCTGGACTTACATAAGCTACTCTCAGCCTTAGCCCCTGTCTGCAATATGAAGGGTAATACTACTGACTTAGCTTACAGGGTAACACCACCACCACCACCACCACCACCAACAACAACAACAACAACATATTATTTATACCCCGCCCATCTGGCTGGGTTTCCCCAGCCACTCTGGGCGCCTTCCAACCAAATATTAAAAACAATACAGCATCAGACATTAAAAACTTCCCTAAACAGGGCTGCCTTCAGTTGTCTTTTAAAAGTAAAATAGTTGTTTATTGCCTTGACATCTGCTGGGAGGGTGTTCCAAAGGGCAGGCGCTACTACCGAGAAGGCCCTCTACCTGGTTCCCTGTAACCTCACTTCTCACAGCGAGGGAACCGCCAGAAGGCCCTCAGCGCTGGACCTCAGTGTCCGGGCTGTATGATGGGGGTGGAGATGCTCCTTCACGTATACAGGACCGAGGCTGTTTAGGGCTTTAAAGGTCAGACCAACACTTTGAATTGTGCTCGGAAACATTATTATTATTATTATTATTATTATTATTATTTATTATTATTATTTATTGAATTTATATACCGCCCTATACCTGGAGGTCTCAGGGTGGTTCATGGAAAAGATAAACATAAAAGCCCAAATACATATAATCAAAATAAAAACAACCTAATAAACACCCCCCCCCCCCCGAAAAAAAAACATGTTTAAAAGGGCATGGATGTCACATCAGATCAACCAAGGGCCTAGTTAAAGTTTTTTGCCTGGTGCCTAAAGGTGTATAATGAAGGCACCAGGCAAACTTCCTTGGGGAGAGCCTTCCATAGACGGGGAGCCACTGCGGAGAAGGCCTGTTCTCATGTTGCCACCCTCCAGACCTCACAAAGAAGGGCCTCAGAAGGTAGATACAGGGGTGACAACTAGACAGTTCTAATGTCAACATTTATAACTTTGGGAAAGCTCAGCCTGTTCTGGACGGGCTGCACTTCTGTTGAAAGACAAGGCATTGTATCCACGAACTTACTGTGTTCATGGAATGATTTCTGCTCACGCAATGGAACTTTATTTCCTCCCTTGTGTGCCCTCCAAATCTGCTCTGGAAGGGTAGGAGGGGGACCCAGGACAAATTTGTGTGACGCACAGGAATGGGAAGTCCTACAAGTGATGCCACAGGTGCAGTGAGTGCAGAGGATACAACCCCAGGTTTTCAATATATGGATACTCCTGGATCCAGCTCTGCCTCTAGCCTCCTGTTTAGGAGTATTTTTGCACATCTCTGGGTGGTGTGTCCCCTGCAGTTTTTCCTAGGAAAGGTAGATCAGAATTCAGTCCCTAGAGAGGTAAATTGTCTCCATCTATTATGGCTTTCAGATGAACCCCAAAGGTTCTTCTGTTTCGCCAAACATTTGGCTTGATGTGATTTTCTCTCCAGTGTGAGGTTAGGTTTAATCTTGTGTGTTTTGTGCATGCATGTGTGTGTGTGTACACACACACACACACCGTGTATTTTCTACCATTGTCAACTTACAGATGGCATCAGCTGAACTGGAGTTGTTATTTACAATAGTGTTTTTCCATAGGTTGAGCAACCATTAAGATCAAAGAAAGCAGTTTGGCACAAACTCTTGTCAAAACAACGTAAAAGAGCTGTTGTGGCTTGTTTCAGGATGGCACCGTTGTATAATCTGCCAAGGTACATAACTTTTAATTTTTTTTTACATGAGACTCTTGCTATTGCGCTTCAGAACAGTGGGTGTTCTTACCTGACATGCTTTCTGTGACACGGTATTGAAAGTTCAACCAGTTTCTTAAAGTTTCCTGTTGAGCCATATTAGAAGAGCATCATATGTCTTTGTAAAAGAGATGCTCTAATCCTTAATTCTGTTTCAAATGGAAATAGAACACAAGACTCGCAGAAGCATTTTGTAAAGCAGTCTTAACAGTATTCTAATAGCACACTAGGATCCCAAATTAATTCTAACCTCAACTAGCACTGCAAAAATACATTTCTATTACATTTCATTACCTTTTCATTGCTTTTCTGAATATCTGAAAGTCTTGTATTTGGTGAACTTATATATCATTTTTTAATCCTTTGCAGTCCCCAGCTGTTTTAAAACAGTGAACTGCAATCCTAAGCAAATGTACCTGGAAGTGGGTCATGTTGAACTCAGTGGGCCTGCTTTTGGGTAGCCATTCATATATTTTTGAATTGCCAGGCTGCAATATTTTACCCACTTATTTGGGAGTTAGCCCACTGAACTATATGGAACTTACTTCTGAGCAGGCGTGCATAGGATTGTACTGTTGGAGCTACTTATCCTTCCCTTTTGCACATAATGGCAGGACATACAGCTCTGTGTCTGTCAGTAAAAGGGTTGGGGCTTAAGAATATCCTCTCCCACATATTCAGCTCTTTGTGCTGCACCTAGGGGAATGATGCCCAAGATCCTTTTAGGAAACCACTTAGAAATTATTTCAAATAGACCTGATAGTTATGCAAGTGTTACGCAGTCCATTCTCTTTGAACCACAATCAGTAATATGTTAATTATACATTTCTTGCATTTTTCTTGTTTTAGCTTCCAGGTTGCCTTGGGAAATGGAGAACTCAATATTTGATTACCGTATTTTTCACTCTATAAGACGCACCAGACCACAAGACTGGTTTTTGGTTTTTGGAGGAGGAAAACAAGGGAAAAAATATTCTGAATCTCAGAAGCCAGAACAGCAAGAGGGATCGCTGCGCAGTGAAAGCAGCAATCCCTCTTGCTGTTCTGGCTTCTGTGATACCTGCACAGCCTGCATTTGCTCCATAAGATGCACACACATTTCCCCTTACTTTTTAGGAGGGAAAAGTGAGTCTTATAGAGCAAAAAATACGATATTTATTGGTGGGGCGAAGGAGCAGTCCGAAAATGGTTTAACAGTATATTTCAGGATTGCTGAAGCTTTATTGATGTTAATGCAAACCTCTGGTCAAAATTTTGCAGTCCACCAAGATATACCTGCATCTCTCTTTTTTTGTGTTTGGACCTATGATTGTTTGACTGGCCTTGACTGTTTTCATAATTTAGGATGTGTACTGCTGTTTAGTTCCTTGTGATAGTAAATCTTTTTTTTTAAAAAAGAATGAAAGCGTATTCTCTCCTCAACAGCTGCACACACCTCATCTCATCTTGCTCAGGAGGCATATCTGATCCTCCAGAATGGATTCTGGAGGCTGTAGGAGGCTGCAGAATGGCAGATAAATCCTTAACATTAATTTCCTCAGCATTTCTTTGAATCTAAGGCATTGCTTTTATGGATTAAGTAGGCATAACTGTGTGATTTCAGTCTCACTCTCTAATTTCTGTTGACATCTACACAATATTTTAAAAATGAAGGACACAATTTGAGTAACAGCAGAGATGGGGAACAAGAATTCCAATAATATATGGAATTATTTGTGACTACCCTTTGTGACAATGGGATATCTCCGCTTATGCATACAATTTTGGCATGGTGGACTGCAAACTGTATGGACTTGCTATGTTATGAATATGAATATCTGTGACATTTGAAGAACTGAACCTTTGTATTTAAGAAGAATCCTAATACTTAGGATTGTCGTCATTATTTTTAATATAATCATGGCCATATAGAATGAGATGAGATGCAAAACTATTAACATAAAATGAGATGTAAAATTATTAATATATTTTACATATTTAGATAACCTTTGCTCTTAATTGCTTTACTATAATTAAATTGTGTTTTTATTGTTAGTTGAAACCTATATGCTTTTCTTCAGACACAAAATTAGCAATTTCTACCTGAGCACCTTCCAACGTGTATGGCTGGAAAAAGTACATGAAAAAACTCAATATGACAGGCTCATACTCACATTAACGGTAATGTAATGGAGAGCCTCTTGCTTACGCACACACCTACTCCTTCCCAGCCATGATATGATGTCATACAATGAGTTTGTACAATTTAATAAGGGATTCTGATTGGTCAGTCCAAGTTGAAAAAAATAGTAGAAATTCTGGCAGTGAAGCACAAGAAATGAATTAAATAACAATTTATTGTATGCAATAACAAATGAAAGTTTCATATTCAATGTGTTATGTGTTTCCTAAAAATGACAGTGCTTAAGTTGTATTTGCTGTGAGTGTTTCTTTAAAAAGTATTGTTCTCCAGAGGTTCCTAGAAGATAGTCAGTAGTACCTTTGGGATGACATCCCCTACTGAAGCACACATGCTGAGCTAATCAATCTTCACTTCCTTTTGGAGGAGCACCAGTTTCCTAAACTGGCTCTGCTTCATGAAGCTTTGCCTGATGAGGCAACTGGCCATGCAAATCTGGAGCACATATGAGCCCAATTCACAAGCGGGCTTCTTCTTACATGCTTTTCTTTCTCTCTTCCTTTATTTTGAGTTATTTCCTCACTCTGCCTCTGACACTTCCTAGAAGGGCTGAGAGGCTCTTAATGAGGATTGAGGCTGGCGCTTCAAAGGCCCTAGTTTTCCCACCCTCACTGCAGGTGGAAGAGGGACCAGGCCGCACAATGCTTCATCTCTTTGGTGGCACCCTTTGATCCTTATTGACCCATGGATCACCAGTGATGCCTCACCAAAGTCCAGGAAGAACAAGCTGCAACACATTCCCCTATTCCCAGTTCCAGGTCAGTAGGATGGGTTGAGGTCTCTACCCCCTTGGTTGAAGGCAAGCAGCAACCATTTGGGACGTAGGGCTCCCATAGTGCAGTTCTGTCCCTGCCTTTGGCAGCCAGTTGCCATTAGCTCCCACTGATCTCAGTTTTTTTCTTTTTTTCTTTTTCACTCCTTTTACCTACTTTAGACCTTAAATAGCATAGATAGCTTAGTCTGTGTCTTTTCTCCCTCAACCCATAGCTGTGTTTTATTCCTCTTCACTTTGCCTTTATTGCATGGCCAGGCGAAGACCCTCCGACCCCTCGTGACCCCTGGGAGGAATAATGACTCATGACAACATGTTATGGGATTAAAATTGGCCACAACTTTATTAAACTTTCAGATGTAGGGAGACCTTGGCATTGGGCGTTTATCCCTCCCAGTCCCCGGCTGGGAATCAGGGGAATATTAGGGTTATACAAACTGTGTGGGGATTCGGCTGGCTCTGGAAAACGTATGTTTAAGCAGAGAGCCTGCCCCCCCATTTCGCCGCAACGCACTGACAACCTAATGGCGTATGGCCAGTGACTCCCCTCAACAAAACACCTTTAGCGGGAACACTGGGATCACCACCGCAGGGGGGACGTGGGTCACCACTTGACGCCCCCACCCATTTAGGGAAGATAGACTAAAGGATTCTGGGGAGCCAGCTGAGAGCTCCCAGGTAAGTTCCGCCCTCATTGTGTTTGCAGGGCGGTCCTAATCCTACCTGGTCAACTCCCCTGGCAACACCTCCCCAGCTGGGATTGGTTAACTGTCTGAGGTTAGGCAGGAACCTCCAGGTACCCAGCTTGGGGAGGCAAAGCCAGTCTGACTTGCTGGGGATCGTGTAGGGCCAGGGGGCTGCGCGCGACCACACAAAAAGCGCCCCCCATTTGAAGTGGAGAGCGGTCATTCTGTTGTTTTTTCCCCCGAAGCACATCCTGCCACCTCGCCTTATGCTGCTCTCCAGTTTTTTCTTTTCATTCTGTTTCCCTCTTCTTCATCAGTTCTTGGCTGAACTTCTGCCTGTTCTTCAGACCTCTTCTGCTCAGCCCAGATGAAGCTCTGAAGGACTTTCTGGTTGAATCCAGACTCAAATTTAAGGTGTTGCTCACTCACAAGAGAGATTACAAAAGACCCAACAGGATGTCTTCTCCATATTTCTACAACCAGTCCTTTCATAACTTAAGGCAACAGTGGAAAAAGAGACTTTAAACCCAACAAATTGTAGAACAAACCACACCACACACCCCAAGTGCTCTGAGGTTATTTAGATTCTGTTGTATGTGCAGTAGAATCTGCAATGGAATGTGAAGATATGAAAGCTTTTTTCCCCATACTCTGTATATCTATTGTAAGTTACATTCTGTGTAACTTAAAGTAAAGGTAAAGGTACCCCTGCCCTGACAGACTCTAGGGTTGTGCGCTCATCTCACTCTAGAGGCCGGGAGCCAGCGCTGTCTGCAGACACTTCCGGGTCACGTGGCCAGCGTGACAAGCTGCATCTGGCGAGCCAGCGCAGCACACAGAACGCCGTTTACCTTCCCGCTGGTAAGCGGTCCCTATTTATCTACTTGCACCCGGGGGTGCTTTCGAAATGCTAGGTTGGCAGGCGCTGGGACCGAACGACAGGAGCGCACCCTGCTGCGGGGATTCGAACCGCTGACCATGCGATTGGCAAGTCCTAGGCGCTGAGGTTTTACCCACAGCACCATTTCCGTCAAACATTGGGGAAATTGCTTATTTATTTTATTATTGTTTTTATATCACCGTCCAAGGATCGATCACAGGGCAGTTTACAATATAAAAACACAAAAATAAATACCATAGTAACAGACAAAAAATGATCTGGATTTAAAAAAAAATATTTACTGACCAATCAGAGGAACACAATTGTACAAAATCCATATGCTTACTAATCATTAACCGCATAAGCTTTTATACTGTATTCCGTTTATCCCTCTTGATCTCACTTTCACCCCCCCTCCCAGGCACCGCTCTATTAACCTGTTCCTCCATGGTTATCAGAAATATTGGATAGAAACAGAGGAATATTCCTTTGAGGAGAAACTAGTTCAGGATTTGGCTGTAAGTACAGATATGGCTGGTCCCGGTTTCAAATGCCCACATTGATCCATATTATCTAACTATATATTTATATCTGCATCTATCTATATTAAAATGTGTATCACTCTTTTCCTACGCCAGAGTTAATGTTCTTAAATATATAAGGTATCAGAAAGAAATAGCCAAGCTGTGCAGTATAACACTGATATATTCTGTGCATCCATGGACACAGCTATGGCTTATGCCAATATCCGAAATTGCTTTTTTATTTTAAAAAAAATATAGTTTGAACTAAAACTTATCATTGTTCTGCTTTGTTCAGCTTGGCAATTCCTATGTTTTAATTAGCATTTTCTTTGAAGGCTTAACACAATTAATGCTTCTTTGTGGTTTGGATTTTGGTTATTGCATAACCCTCCTTTTTATTTTAACATTTCTAAGCTGCTATACAAGTTAATTTGGCTTTCTCCTGATACTCTAATAGAGTGGTATTCTAATGAACTATAAACTTGTATGACAGTATTAAGCAACAAAAGTTTCCTTCCATATATTAAAATTGGAATTATTTGTGCTTCTACTTCACCTTTTAATAGAACTTCCTTCTAATTGAGATAACTATGTGCATGTATTTCTAAGCTTCAGACAGTTTCAGATGTCTTCTTTTTAACTGAAAACCTAAGAAGTGATTTAATTATTGTTTTATTTCTGTGTACATGTAAAATGATTCGTTCCCCTAACTATCATTAATAGAGGTTTCCATCACATGAATGCAGTGGAGAAACCAAGTAATAGTTTTATTAGTTAATTACCTCTATTAGTTTGTAACCATTTCAAGAGTTGATATGAAGTGGTATTAACCTATCACTGTGGGAAAAGTTTACTGACCTAAAATATTCCTTTTCTCTTAAAATAAAAGTGCATTTCAGCTGTCCCTGATATAAGCTGCATCCACATTAAGCATTGAATGAGGGACTACCATTTTGCATTCTTTCACATTTTACAGGGCTCCTCATAACATCATCTGCTTGTAATTTTCCTAGTGCTCCTTCTGCCTTTTTCTTTTCTCACTACAGAAAGTCTGGGTGCTTTTTAGAGGAATAGAAAAGCAGTGCAATACTTGCGAGTGTAGATGCTGCTTTTCCATCTTTTAAAGAGATGTGGTTTTGACATGGATAGTAAAGTTATCAGGCAGGTGAAACTATCATATCTCATCTATCTCTTTGTAGTGGGCCAGTGGCGGAGCTTCATGCTCCGGCACTGGGGGCGGAGAGCAGGTGGGGGCAGGGCTGGCGCACGTCCCGGGGGCAGGGCACATGTCCTGGGGGTGGGGCACCCAGTGCGGATGGGGGGCAGCCACGATGGAACCCCACCGGGATCGCGCTGCCGGGGGCAGTGCGCTCCCCCCACCCCCTCTTCCTCCGCCAGTGTAGTGGGCAACATTTTATAATCCCCTCAATTTTTAAATCACTTCTTAAATTAGTACTAAAATCCTTTTATGACTTTTTTAAAAAAAATACTAAAATGGCAGCAAAAATATGGTGCAGTGCTATAACACTACAGCATTGATTTTAAAAAGAAAAACGTATTTCTAGCCTCTGCAGTTTTAGCATTTTTTGTAGAATTAATATTTCCAGTCTATAATTCCAGTCCGAAACAAACATTTTTTGGAAATTGCATTAATAGCAATGAACACTCACGCTCAAATTAGGTAAGTACATAATGCTAAATAAATAAATGTTTTTAATTTTCAAAGTATTTCTTAGAATTACCCACCCAACTCCCAATTCACACAAACAGCTTTTTAAATCTTCTCTTCCACATCCACAACGGATATTCAATGGGAGTTGGCAGAACATAGCAGGATGAACATATAGGGAAAGTGCAATAGCTGCAGTTGCCTGGAAAGTCAGTTGCAATTCTGTTTGAAGTTTACTGTGGAAGAGCGATGACTTAATAGGGCTAAGAACCCACCCATAGATTATTTAGCGTGGTGGAAAATATTGTACATAGGATTGTCTTTTGGAGATTGGCTTTGATGCTTTTACAGTTGAGTTGTCAGAGGTATTTAACAAGCAATAGGATTTGCGTGAGAGAGATTATATTACTGTGTTTCTTGTAAGAGGTTGTGTGGATGGTTGTACATAAAACCATGCATCATGGCAAGCAGAGACAGAAATGGGCTACGCACTTCATTTGTCTGACCTAGGTATGTGATATGCTTCATATGCTCTGAAGAAAGTGTAATTCTCATGAAAAGCGACAACATCTAAGGGCTCAGAGACAGCTGCATTCTGCACAGAATAAATTGCTCCCACCACCATCCATCTCAGATGACTCTGTAGGGTTGACAAAGAAGGCCCAGTCATGCTGTATAGACTTCAGAAATCATGGAATCATGAGCCATAGAACTGATGTGCCATCAGTAGCACCTCTTGGGTTCCAGGGGTATCTAGGCAGGCCAGACAGAACAAATCAGACGCCTGAATAATAATGGGCATCTCGTCAAGTGTTTTCCTATAACTAGTTACGTTTCTTTATATACTTTGTTCAAAAACATTTATAAATGTACTGGTGTTACGTTAGAGAAGATCTTGTGACTCAAGATGGTTGGTTTGCAAAAGGTTTATTGCATTTCATTGCATTTCTTTTATTACTCATGTACCCAATATAATTATTGCACAGACTCCCCCGCAAAAAAGTGAGGAGGAGGAGGAAGAAACTGAAAAACATCCTGATCCTCTTCATCAGATCATTCTTCATTTCAGCCGGAATGCTCTAACCGAACGAAGGTAACTGCACTTTATTCAACGCTATATTGACCCACCATCTTTTCTGCACCCTAAGTCGCCCCCCACTTCCAGAAACAGTTTGATTTGTTTAAAAACAAAAATAAGAACACGATCCATCAGGGAACTGCTCCATTTGTTTGGATGTTCCACATAGTTAGCCCATTGCTATAGTGCTGGAGATGACAGTGGAGATTTCTGTTAACTAGAGGGGAAATGATGGTCCTTTTTTGAGTAGTGTGTGGGAAGATATGTGGGAAGATATTATTGTTAGGTGTGGGTGTTACTGTGCCACTTTTAAATGGTGTTAATCTTAAATAAGATTAAAGAGTAGAAAGTAAGTCGACGTTAAAACTTTTAAGAAGTATGCCTGTTTAACAGTGAGATTACAACCTTCTCAAAATCCTCTTGTGGGAAGTCAATTTCATACCTGATACGATCACAGATAATCATCAGCACCATAGAAAATTCATGGTTGAAATCTCTGGCTGCTTGCAAGCACTTTTAGAGTACAATAGCGGATAAATAAATTCCACTCTTGTGAGGTACACAGATGTATTATTCAGTTGTGAATGCACATGGTAAATACATGTTTTAAGAAAGAATTTGACAAAGTTCCTAACCTTATAGGGTTGTAAGATCGTATCATGGGATTGCAAGAAAATGAAAGTCTCTCTGCTTTGATGATTATTGGAACTGCAGCTCACATATGTTATAACTACTGGCTTTTAAGTCCTCTTCAGAAGCTGTTTTAATAATACTTCCACTTTCTTACAGCAAATTGGAAAATGACCCTTTGTACACTGCATATTCAGCAATGATGGCAATGGTGAGTATCTAATTCCATTGTTAATTCTGCCCTGATGACAAAGGTGATTATGTACCTTAAAGCAAATACTCTAGTTCTTCAGCTGTTTTTTTCATAGATCTCTGTAATCTGTTTGTATCCTATTGACAGTTCAGCTGCCTGGTTTTAGTATTACACAAAATTTATACCTAATGTGAAACTATGCCCTTGAAGCAGCTGCTTCTAATTCTATATAAGCTGTTTAAGGGGTACATTTAAGTTTTTGTTTAATTCCTAACTATTGAAACAGCAAATTACATTTTCTATTTTAGCATTCTTGCTGTTTTCAACAGGTGAAGTTACATAAGTTCTGTTGATAGTTAAGAACTGATCCTGTCCTAAAAAAAAACAGGTGCCAGAACTCACCATGAACACCTCCCTTGTTCTCTTAGAATGTCAATGGCACCCACCTGAGAGGTGCCAAAACTGAGTTCCCAATGAAAAAAAGCCCTGCTCTTGTCCATCATCAGCACAGTACTCATATGTGAAGGGATTCCCATAAGGCTTAATAAAGCCCCATTTCCCCCTCATACCCCCATGACACATGTACATATTCCATCTTGGAAGCAGAGCGAAACATTCCCTTAGAAGGGACTCATTTCTTGGAGGACAAACAGCTATCCTCTTATGCCAAGGATACTTCTCTGAGGGCTGGACGGATCCTGGTAGTGAGTGATTTGATTGTTAAGACCATAAATAGTTGAAAATGTTCTTGTTGTTGCCCGTTGCCTAGGTAGCCTATTAGATAGTGCTTGGGGAGAAGTCAGTGGCTGTGGTGGATGGTTGGTACCAGTTACATAGGGAAGTGTAGTTATGAGGTCCTGGAAGCAAAATTTAGTTGATGCTGAAAGCCAGGACGTCCAAGGTAACTCTGAAATCTTACCAGTTCAACATATGGGGTCAGCTAGACAGGTGCAGCATTTTAGTCGCAAAGCATGGTTGAGATGATGGGCTTGGGAGGAGGGGTTTGGAATTTTTCAGGCACTGGGGAACCTTCTGGACAAGCCAAATTTGTAAAAAGAAAAAAAGGGGGGGAGGACGACCTCCACTTAAACCGGGATGGAAACAGACTATTGGTGTTTAAAATTGAAAGATGCCAAAGCAGCTTTTAAACTGATTGAGATTGGAAAGTCAACAGTGGCCGAGGAGGATCTGATTTGGAACAAATCTTCTGGGATGTAGGAGATAAAATTAAAGAATATTTAAACAGGGGAGGTGTAGAATTGGGCATTAGGAGTGCAGGGGCACAGGATAGCAGTCAGAAAGGCCAAAGCACCACAGGTCAAAATGCAAGTGCCGGAGACACTTGAAGAGAGAGGCTGTATACAAGTGTGCATATGCTTATGCTACAAGCCTCCAAGCCAAGATGGGTGAACTAGAGTGCTCAATCATGGAGGATGGCATTGATATAGTGGGCATAATAGAAACCAGGTGGAACTGAGAGAACCAGTGGGTTCTCTGCATATGAGCTCTGCAGGAAGGACAGGAAAGGACAATACTGGAGGTAGTGTTGCTTTGTCTGTCAAATACAGCATTTAGTCCAGCAAGCTAGAAATCCCCAAAGGGACAGACTTCTCACAGAATTGTTGTAGATGATGATATCGGGTCCCAAGAGTAATTTAGTACCAGGGTAGGCCTCATTTGCAATACCGACATTTGGAGAACTGTATACAGTTCTCATTGCTTCACCTCAGAAAGATATCGTAGAACTGGAAGAGGTTCAGAAAAGGGCAACCAAAATGATCAAGGGCGACTCCCTTGTGAAGAAAGATTGCAGCCTTTGGGACTTACACAATAGAAGTTAATAAAAGCATTCGGGACACGGAGAAAGTGTGAAGAGAAACATTTTAATCCATGTCTTGTAACACGGGGACTCACGGGGGGGTGGAGTAATGAAGCTCATTTTGGGATATTCAGGACAGATAAAAGAAAGTACTTTCATATATGAAACTCACTCATCCGGGAAGCAGTGTTGGTCACCAACTTGGATGCCTTTAAAGGATTAGACAAATTCATCGAGGATAAAGCTGTTAAAGGCTACTGGTCATGATGGCTATGTTCCATCTCTACTGACAGAAATTAGCCTTGCAGATGATAGAGTGCTGTTGCATTCAGGTCCTGCCTTTGTGCTTTCCACAGGTTCCTGGTTAGTCACTGGGAGAACAGGCTGCCAAACTATATGGGCCAGTGGCCTGATCCAGTAGGCTATTATGTTATACTCACCCAGACCTTGTTCCTTTGCTTGGCCAATGAATGAATGCTTGAAGCTTGTGAGGAGGAGGAGGAGGGAAGAGGGACTTCGTTGTGTTTTATGGGAATGATATTTATTGGCAGACCAACTTAAAAACTGTTAATCAGATTGAAAGACATTGTCAGGTTTAGAATACTGATTTAGGGCTTGAAAATAACCTCTGGTTTGGAAAGCTGCTAAAGACAGAGAATGACCATTCAGAGGAAATACTGATATATATCAGGCTTGATAGCATTATGATAGGAGACACAATTGAGCATTCCCAGGTAGAATAAATTCTGTGTATGGCTGTTGCCATGGGGATCAGAGAACACTGAGAGAGAAACCAGCTGAAACAGAACCCTAAATGAGCGTTGGTTGGAAGATAGCTGGCTTTTGTACACGGTTGGGACACTTACGCTGAGCTGCTAGGGATCTTAGCCTAATGTGGCATGAAAAGAAAATATAATTACTGGAAGACAGTTCATAAATTGAAAAGTGGAGTACCTGAGGCCAGTTGATAATATGGAGTTGACTAGCACAGGGTGGTGAAGAAGCCTTTTAGGACCATCACCTCTGGAATATTTGTTTGGTTTGGCTGGAAAGATTGGGGATAAATCACTGTGTATAACTGCAAGTACAACATGTGAGAAAATGGGAAAGGGATGGGGAAGAGCAGGTGTAAAAGTTTTAGCCCTTTCTGATACTTCCACTCTGTTTTTCGCTGTCCACACCACGAAAAGCATCTCTGTCCGCCATACACTTTTCTTGTCTGGGTACTTTACAATCATTGGCCAGGATGTGGGTGGGTGAGCTGGGGAAAATCTATATAATTTCTGACTAGGTTTGAAGATTTAGAATGAGCATGATGTTTTATTCCTCTTGTGGGTGCTGGGTAGGAGGAAATAGTTCCCATATGTGCCTGCCTTCTAAGAAATTCAACAATTTATTTCTTCTTAATGCATGTCTATAACTGTATTCATTGTCTGAGTCCTCTGTATGTGAAAGTCATAAACAATTTTTGGAGAAAGGTTTAAGACTCTGCTTGGATATATTAAACCACTCTTTGACTTTATCTGCTCATTCAAAACACTATAACCAAATAAATGTAAAATAGCACAGTTTAATTCAATCTGAACCTATTTCCTTCTAATGAGAAAAGAGCTGTCAGAGTGGAGAAAGTGATGATGATGAAGAAGAAAAAGAGAAGACATTTGAGGTGAGTTAACTTTTCTTAAAGTATAAACCTTTTGCCTAATGAGCTAGAGTAATGTGTTATTCAAACTTACCAGAAGTTAGAAAGCTTACTTAAACTCTCCCTGAGAACTGCATACATATTTATGAATGTCATTATGATTATGATAATATTTTCAGTTACTGCAAACAATGTTTGAGATTGATCCTGCCCCATTTTTTATGATTTTTCCTCTTACCTTCTCTCCTACACTTGGTTTTTTCCTACCTTTTGTTCCGTACACCTGGAAAAGCTTCTTATATTTCTTTTTAAATTCAAATTGTTCCTTCCATAGCTTTTATTTCATGCACATTATTACTCCAGTTGCAAGCGAAGTCTCATTATACAAAAGTGTTATGGAAAACTATTATAAAAATAAATACCAGATGTTGCTGCACTAGGGTTATTATTTGTCTGATGATCCAATTCACAGCTGATCTAGTCCTATTGATTACGGTTTAATGGGGTTGTGGGTGAATCTGTAAAACAGTCAGTTTAATATATTTTTTTACTCCTACTCACCTTTTGGCTACTAATGGCAGATACCATTATATGTCAAGGAAACACAAATACTTCTGTCTGTATCTTCTCTCTCAGGAAAAAGAAATGGAAAAGCAAAAAACTCTTTATCAGCAATCTCGACTCCATGAACGAGGAGCAGCAGAGATGGTATTACAGATGATTAGTGCCAGTAAAGGTAGCATTCCGTAAAATGTTATATATTCATTTGTTTCTTTGGAAATATGTTCCATTCTATCTGAAGGCCACAGAGGAGATGATAGTTGCACATTAAACATACTAATGTTAAAAAAGACAAAACATGTACAATAATAAATGACCACGCCATCCATGTGGGACCTGCAAGAATATGTTGTACTGTAGAGCGCTCGTGTTTCTATCTGGCTGGCTTTTACTTTATTTCAGAATGCTGTGTTCTATTCCTCACCCATTGATTTTCCTTCCCTGCTCTCCAACAGTCAGTCAGCTTTCTGTGGCAGCTAGACATGCTCAGTCCTCATTGGGCTCTTGGCTTCCTCCTGAGGATTCTTCGGAATAACAAATTGGACTCCTGCACCTTGACACATCCCCCTAGTGGATGGATGGTGCCTCTTTGACTAAATAAAGACCAGTGCTTAGATTCATTGCTATGAATATATATGATCTTTGGCGATTGTTATAGTGACATTCGCTTCAGCTTTACTTTAACTCAAATCAAAGGACGTGTGTGTGCACTGAGGTACAACAGATCCACATATAGCAATGCTTTTAAACATTCAAAACTTTGAAAAGCACCTCAGGATGCGGAGTAATGTGCTGCTGCTTAGAAATGTTTTTGGATAGTAATTACTTAATTATAAAATTATTCTGTTCTTGATTGACAGGTGAAATGGGACACATGGTAGTTGAAACTTTGAAACTTGGTATTGCTGTTCTAAATGGAGGAAACTCTGTTGTTCAACAGGTGGGCCATATTTGGATGTGATAGATCTGTATGCATGTTACTTTGATTTTGCTAATGTTTTACTGTTAAAAGCATTGAGAAGTTGAATTACCACTGAGGGGAATTCAGTTATGTTTGGAGAATGAATTTTTTTTAACAGAAAATTCTCTTTCTTTTTGCTTATGTTAAGTAAATTGGCAAATTCTTTACGCAAATAAGGAAAAACCAAATCTCTTCTTCTTTTGTTCAACCTTTCTTTTACAGAAAATGTTGGACTATTTGAAGGAGAAAAAAGATGCTGGATTTTTTCAGAGTCTTTCTGGCTTAATGCAATCTTGCAGGTAAAGTCATGAAATATAACAATCTACTTCTAACTATATCAGCATGCCTATTTGTTTATACAAGCTGGAAATTTCCCTCTCTCCATGTAATCTCTTCCAAGTGATATGAAAATGTCTGTGTGATGTGGGATTTAAATGCTAGTATGAGAGATAGCTATTGGCCAGCAACAATTCCTGCAATTGTGATATCTCCTCATTGTGATGACTAGAATCAATTATGGCTATATTCATGAATTTACTGCTTCAGACATGATTTTTCCACATGAACTTATATTTGTGGGTAGTATTGTGTATAGAAAAATATTAGAGACGAACTAGAAACTGACAGCTGTTCATTGCCATGAGAAACCATGATTTATTGCAATGGAAATGAAACATAGAGCTAACTTTTTTCATTAAACCATAGTTTAGGTTAACCACAGTTTAGGGTTTAGAAATAATGCTAAACTGTGACTAATCAAAAATGGAAGTGGAAGCTTTTGATCTTGCAGCTATGTCAAAGGAGGAAGAGAGAATGGGGAGGTTGAGGCTAAGTACGGATTGTTTTCTTTACCAAAAAAAAAAGACATTTCTCATGACATCCAAAGACAGCTAAGGTGTTGTTTATGTATTAGAACTCAAGGATATTCTTGACATAGTTTAGACAGCAAATTGCCCCATCCCAAATATTCATAATGTTAGTTGAATATATCTCTTAATTTGCTTTAATATCACTTGCAAGTAAATAGACTAGAAATTGTTTCATACTTTCAACACATACATTTCAAAATGGAATTAGTAATATTTGCTCAATGCATCAATATGTATCTCATACTGTGTATCTGTGTGGACAACAGTATACACAGTGGACATAATCATTGGCCACATGGATGATCTTGTGGCTCTACTGTAACTGTAGATGAGGCATAATGCAAAAAGGCTGGGCTGGGTGATGGAGCAGCAAAAAAACCAAATGTGATTAGGCTGCGTCAACCAAGTATAGTGTCCCGATCAAGGGAAGTAATAGTACTGCTCTACTCTGCATTGGTTGGTCCTGTGTTTAAGAAGTTTAAGAAGCATATTGACAACTTGGAATGTGTGCAGAGGAGGGCCACCAGGATGATCAAAGGTCTGAGAACCAAGTCTTATGAAGAATGGTTGAGGGAGTTGGGTATGTTTAGCCTGGAGAAGATAAGACTGAGAGGTGATGTGTATGATTGTTGTTGTTTAGTCGTTTAGTCGTGTCCGGCTCTTCATGACCCCATGGGATGTGTATGATAGCCATCTACAAATAACTGAAGGGCTCTCACATGGAAGATGGAGCAAGCTTGTTTTCTGCTGCTCCAGAGGCTAGGTCCCATACCAATGGATTCAAATTACAAGAAAGGAGATTCTGACTAAGCAAGAAGAAAGTTATGTCCAGTGTATGCTACAAATTGTCCTAGATGCTGTTGTACCATAACACCCCTGCTTTACCTACCTACCACTCCTAGGTAATATATTGATACTTATCGTGATCAAGGAATGTGTGCATGAACTTGCGTTTTTCTCAGAAACTGCATCCATTAGGTTATAAGTGTTACTTAAAAAGCAGTGAGAAGATTTGGTACATGCACTTTTTGCCCCTCTGACTTCTCATACCAAATCCCCAGAGAGCTTTCTCATCTGAGGCGAATTTAAAGAGCAGCTTAGTCTTTATTCTTATGGGTATAATATAAAACATTTCCTACCAGAGGTGAGACACTTCTCCTGTCTTTGCTGGAGTCCTTGACTATCTGCTATTACATTCCCCTTCTCCAGTGTAAGGCTTTTTCCTTTGGAGCCAGGAGGGCTTGCTAGCCATTGCACCTTTGAGTATTACTCTCAAACACTTGGAAACCCTCAAGGGAGTTTATCAAGTGTTTGATTCTGACACTTGAGACACGCAGTTGAAAATTTAGTTGACAACAGAGACATGGTAATAACAGAAAGAGTTGGGGGGTATATGTTTCTTGTCTTCATGGTAGAGATGTTATATCAAATCTGGGTGTTGTAGGTTGTGGTGTAGGTTGTTACTGAAATAAATATTTTCTTATTCCCCCCCCCCCCTCAAAATTGTGTTCACTAACATTTACCCAGTGTGGCCTAATTCCAAATAAATGGGCCTTAGACTGCACTTCTGAACAACCTTATCTAGGAATAAGGCCTGTTGAACTCAGTGATTCTAACCTATGAGAAGAATGCAAAGAATTGCTCTGTTAGCACAGTAATTGTACACTATCCTAATCCCCTCATCTTTGCATGGGGGCTAAAATATGGCAGATGCTTCGACAGCCTTGCTTGTGGGTAGCTCTGCAGTTACAAAGGTTCCTGCTGTACCCAGTTGGGGAGGAAGCTACCGCTGGCAATAGGGTCAGGATGTCAGAAGTTTTAGATCCAGTGGATCCAAAGTCCCAGGGAGCCCCTCAGCTACCCCAGCCTGGAGCTGGCACAGTATTTTCTTTAAACAACAACACCCAGCCTCCTCCTGCCTTGGCCAGCATAAGCAGTCACAACCAGATCCAGCAGGTCTGCCCTGCTGCTCCATAGCCAGAGATTCAGATTCTTCTGTTTATTTGATATTTAAAAGTGTGTGGGTTTCCTAAGAATATTATGTCTTCACCAAATGGTGGTAATTATAATGGAAAAGAAGCCAACTTCAATGTGATTCGAAAGAGTGAAGAGGAAACATTATTCTTAAGGTATATTCTGTTCATTTTCATCTCAACATATCCATGCAGTCGCTTGCCCCGATATCCATAGATGGAATATTTTCAAGCAGGCATGTGTTATGGAGGGAACTTGGACCCCTTACAGATCAGTAAGGTCATCCACCATCTTCGGTAGTGCTAAAATTTCAACCGTCACCTTCCCCCTTTGAAAACCTTTATAACTCATTTTTACTGTTTGTATGTTTTGCTTGTTGTATGCCAGCAGTTCAGGGTTTCTGTTGCTAATAGATACAGCAATCCTTTCTGAATTGTCTTTTTCTTAAAAAGTGTTCTTGACTTGAATGCCTTTGAGAGACAAAATAAAGCAGAAGGCCTTGGAATGGTTACTGAAGAAGGAACACGTAAGTATACTCATACTTCTAATTCACATAAGGATTACACTTCATTTCCCCCCTTTTAATACCAAATTGGTTGGGTCTTTTGAAAGTTTTTTCTGTTGATAGCCTTGTTAAAATAATGTAGCATTATACTATTATGTCTTTTTTATAATTTTTCTAGAGAAACAGTTAAACGAAAGATATTGTGTAACTTATAACTTGCTTATCCTATATTATTATTATTTTTCTTTGATCCACAGTCATCGTACGTGAGCGTGGTATGTTTGGGTTTACAGCTTTTGATGCTATTGTGTGTTGCAAACAGAGAAAGAAATCTTCTTTAATTGCATCTTTCCAGACACCCTTTAGGTTTAGTTTCATGGTCTGCAGCCGGTTGCGTGTTGAGCTTGGAGAATCAAGTTGATGCTTAATTAAAGAAGTGTCTTTCATATTTAAGGCATGGTTTGATAATGACTAACCATTTCCTATTAGATCTTTAGTCCTGTAGTTTTGATCATGAATGCTTTGGAGTGCTAAATATTTGGCTTTGCTTTTTTCTGTTTCATAGTTTATTTTTTATCATTCTCTCCAGTACATTTCTTTTTTAAAATTACTGTAAATCAGCTTACAGTATTTGCTTTTTATTGAAATCACTTAGTTTGAAGGATGCTGTTGGAAGACTTATCTGTTCTGCATGTTTCGGAAATGACTGATGATTGCATAATTCATTGTACTGTATATTTTCAAGGTGAGAAAGTACTACAGAATGATGAGTTTACTAAAGATCTGTTTAGATTTTTACAACTGCTGTGTGAAGGTCATAACAATGGTAAGTGTTCTGAGAAATTTATTGTTTCATTGAAATCCTTCATTGAAAGGACTAACAATACAATTCATTTTTCATTTAAACTGATTTTCGGTCCTTTAGCATAGGGAATTAATTAATCAGTTTCTCAGATAAAATGGTACCTCAGAATTCTCAAAAAAAAATTTTAACATATAGTACTTGTTTCTAACTGGAAATCAAATTGCCATTTTATAAATTATGCATATTTTAAGTGGCAAAACAATATGTGTAGGAGGAAATGCAAATGCTATTTCTGATAGCTCTTGCTTAAGAAAGAATACTGCCTTACTATTAAGAATGTTTCTGTGGTTGTATCCATCAGCTACAGTTACTGAGCAATTCAGATTTTTCATTTTCTATATTGGGGCAATGTGGACTCCAGCTCCCACAATCCCCAACCATTAGCCATTCTGGTTGATGTTGAAAGGAGTTGGATGCAAGCACATCTAGAAGGAACCACGTTGCCCACCGCTGTTCGATAGGAACACAAATATAGAACTACTGTAATAATATTTTCATAGCTTGCATTTACTCACCACCTTTTATTTTAATTTTCAGATTTTCAGAACTACCTGCGCACTCAGATGGGCAATACCACCACAGTTAATATTATTATTAGCACAGTTGATTATCTTTTGCGTCTTCAGGTAAGTTGGAGAGTTATTTTAATTCAATTTCACCTCCTACTTTAGAAAGTCTCCATATTGAGATAGACTTTGGGGTTTCACTACTGTTGCTGTTTCTGTTCTCCTGTTTTCCTAAAGAGCTCCCATGACACTGGGCCAATTAGCACGGAACCATCCAACACAAATATAATTATTACTGTATTCAAAACAGAAATTCAAAAGAGGGTTACATTGAGTTTACATGCAAACTCTCTTAGGGATTATTGTAGAGCGCAAGGTTTTCCTAGGGGCTTGAGAATCAACAAGATTCTAATGATGCTTATCAATGTGGATGCTAAGGTGAAATTGATATCTATATTGAAGAAGTAATGACATTTTGTCTACTTTATTGTAAACTTCTTTTTATCATCAATATATTGTTGTTACAGCCATGCACCTTCAGCAGCTCTTTGTGGTTATCATATAGTATTGTGCCCTTGTATGTGATTTAGTTGGAGTGAGATCCCGTTTCTCTGTCCCAGCTTCTGCCAACCTAGCAGTTCGAAAGCACATTAGTGCAAGTAGATAAATAGGTACTGCTGTGGCGGGAAGGTAAACTGTGTTTCCGTGCGCTCTGGCTTCCTGTGTTCCGTTGTGCCAGAAGCGGATTAGTCATGCTGGTCACATGACCCGGAAAGCTGTCTGTGGACAAACGCTGGCTCCCTTGGCCTGAAAAACGAGATGAGCATTGCACTCCATAGTCACCTTTGACTGGACTTAACCATCCAGGGGTCCTTTACCTTTTTCTTTAGTTGGAGTCCAGCAACTGTCATTAGTCCCATTCCACACTTCCCTGCCCAGTCTAGAGGCATAGTGACTGAGAAAAGTGAATTTAAAGGTTTTTTATTCCTCAATGGTGTTTGCAGTGGGTGTGAGGGAGAAATAAGGCCACAACTTTACTAACCAAGCTTCCATCTGATATGGAACTGATTAGAACTGTTGAATAGATTCTCAGCGGTTACTGTCATCTTTGAGCAACTCTCAGAAGAGAAAGAAAAGCTAACCCTATGGCAATGTTGATTACCTCTGAAGTGGGCAGTTTCCTGCAAATTCAAACCTACACATATCTACTCAGAAGAAAGACACATTGAATTCAGCGGGCATTGTTGCAAGGGAAGTTGGTATATGATTCTAGTCTGAGATTAGCTATACAAACTTTTTCGAAAGTTGATAAGAAACTATGGACTTGCATGTTAGGGTGGTTTGAATGTCTCATAGACAGGGTGCCCTTGTGCTTGAAGGTTTCGCAGAAGCATATGGTTGGCCACTGTGGAAACAGAATGCTGGACTAGATGAGCCATTGGCTTGTTATGATTTTATGTTCTGATATCAAATGCAAAGGTAGCTCTGTTGATTCATAGGTATTATAGATACTATGTAACATATTAGTCCAACAAGGAGGATATTGAAGTAGGGGATTAAGTTAATCTCTCGCAACTAAAGATAAACTATGACCCATTTCTTTATCCCTTGTTTGTTTGTTTTTTAAATAATATTTATTAATAATTTCAGAATTACAGGGGAAAAAATAAAAAACAAAAAACAACACTACAATACATAAAAAGAAGAAAAAACGCAAAACATAGAAACCAATACAACAATACAATAAAATGAAAAAAAGAAAAAAAGAAAAAAAGACACAAATCCCATATTGCATATCTTTAACTTCCATTTGCTTGTTTTGTTGACCTCCTCACACCTCCCTTTTTGTATTCTAGTTTAGTTAGTTATTTCAGCAAATTCTTTCCATCTTTCTCAATTTTTATTAAATAATTTATCTTAACAATTTAACCTATTAATTAACTCGACAGATCCTTTCCATCTTTCCCCATATTCTGTTATTCAAATTACCTTAATTTATTTAACTTTATCTTACCATAAAATACCTTAAAGCTTGAAACTTAATACTCAGTTATACATAACCCCTGATATCATTTCTTCTAGAGTCATATAATTTCATTCCAACATTTTCCCTAATATTCATTAATTTTAGGCTAATTCCCTAAATAAAAAGTTTTCTTTATAAATTTTCTTCCAATCTTCATCCAATGTCTCTTCTTCCTGTTTCGGGAAGCTTTTAATGTTTGATGTATTATAGTATTTTAATATTCTTTTGGAAGCCGCCCAGAGTGGCCGGGGAAGCCCAGCCAGATGGGCGGGGTATAAATAATAAATAAATAATAATAAATTATTATTATTATTATTATTCCTGGTCTCGGGTCGTGTCAGTCCTTACTGTCCATTCCATCTAGTCCATCAACCTGGAAGCCTTATGTCCGAGGCCCTTAAGTCTCTTCCATGTCCCTTCTGCAGATCTTCTTCTTGTTTATACTTGCACTTTTCCTTGTCTTTTGTTGGTCTCTTTCTTAATTTCTTTCCTTTCTCGTTGAGGAATAGGTCTCTGGGGGGTTCCAACCCAAAGTTATCTCCGTCTCCCTTCATCAAATCAGCCCATTCCCCACAGTCCCACTCCCCACAGTCATCAATATAATCCAAAAAATAATTACGAGCATATTTCAAAGTCTCTCCAAAGTTAAAAGCCTCCTCAGCTCCAGACCCCCCCCCGGCCCACTCCAACTTCAATCTTCAAAAACAGCAGCTTATGCTCCTGTAGGGCCTTGGGCCTCTCCATTTGTATTATTTGAGGTGCAACCGCAGCCTCCTCCATTATCTTCTGCACTTGCCCAATCAATACAGGTTCCTGAGTTGGACCCTGGATGGTTTCTGTATCACTATTCACTAATTGTCCACAGTTATTGACCACAACAGTCATCAAATCCATTTTCTCATTCATCAAATCCATCTTCTCATGCATCTGTTCCAACAAAGCACTTGTCTTGCATAAAGCAAGCACCAAATCTTCCTTCCAGCTCATACTTAGTCAAGGTCAAAAGGACTAATCCCACGATCTTAATCTCACAGCTGTGGAGTCCTCAAGTAGACTGCAGCAACAATTTAGCAAGCTCCCTCTAGAGGAGACAATTTCTATTTGTATCCATCTTTTTAAGGCAAGTCCAACAGAGGAAAATTACTTTCGTTTTTTCAGATATTTTGTTTCTTTAGAATGCAAAAGGCAACATTGGAATCAGTTTATTTCTCTTCTTTAGCTATCTGTCAAAGTATTCCATTCACAGTCAATGAACCTCTCCAACAATTTCTGTCTCTGACACCCCGTTCCCTGGTTAGAGACGGTGAAAACTTATCTTTCTTCACTCCCTCTCCTGCAGGCGTTACACAAAGTCCCCCCCCCTTTTCTCCTGCTTCCAAGGGGGTTTCAGTAGTTGTAAATGAAGGAAGTTTAGGCTTTTTTAACGACTTCCCAGGCTTTAGCTTACAAGGTTTTTGCTTCAGTCTATATACAAAAAGCGGAAGGCGGACTTCCTGTTTTGAACCTTCCTGCTTCGATGTCAAATTAAGATATTTCTTGATCCAATTTTCCGTTTCTACTCACGGGTACTTGTTTTAGATCCAATTGTCCACAGGAAAAAGTCAGCGCTCTCTGGCGATGGCTGTGCGGCTTCACTCCGTGAAAGTAGCAGTCAGTTCACAGCACCGCGCCGCTCACCCCACTTCACTCCGGAATCCCAAAAAGGGATTCCCCGTGAGTAGGGGGGGCACTCCTGGTGCCCTGCCGAACCCCACGTTCCCAGGCTTCCTCCGCCTGGGATTTCTAGCGGGTCCCCACCTTCGCCGCGGCGGGAAGACCCAGTTTCCACAGAGCCAGTTCCTCCGGTTGGAGGAACTCCGCCATTCGCCGATGGCGCTAACCCGGAAGTCCCCATTTCTTTATCCCTTGTTGAAGGGGTTGGATCATTGCTTGGTTGAGCCACTGCTGAAAAGAGCAGATACCCTTCAGTCATGCCCTGAAACCACCCTGTTCTCCCAAGTGTTCGATGACTAAAAATATCAATATGCTTATTTATTTGCTGTCTATACTGTTGCTGTTCTCCATATGTTTATTATTTGTTTGTGCTTGGTTATAAAATCTGAGCATTTACCCTTTGGCTAATGGCATTTTCCATAGATATCTATTTTTATATTTGATGCAGTTTGATTAGGCCCTCACAAAACGTAGGGGGAAAACCCACCTATTGTTTATTCTTAGGAATCAATCAGTGACTTCTACTGGTACTACTCTGGAAAAGATGTCATTGATGAATCTGGACAACGTAATTTCTCTAAAGCATTGGCTGTGACCAAACAGATTTTTAATTCACTTACTGAATATATCCAAGTAAGTACCACGTCGTTTCTCTATGCTTCATGTTGTGTACATGGATCTGTACGTGAAAGAACTGCATGGATTATAAAAGCAACAGGTCTGCCCAGACTGTGCTCAGTAGAATTTCATGGTCACCAGCTGCAGAAGAGGCTCTCTATATACAATAGGGGGGATATCTGCAGACAAATGATTCACAGTGCTTGATTCTAACTGTGTCTCTTCCACAATACCTATGATGAAAAGGAAACATAGACATTATATGTCTTCAGTCACCTGCTGGGTCCCCTTGCAGGAATACTGCTCCTTCTGACCAGTAGCTTAGATCAGAAGTGTAGCAAGAATCCATTCTTGTGGCCCAGTTGTTAGCACTGATTTTGTAGTGCAAACGGTTACCCCTAGAGTGATCAGCCCACACCTTCTTATACATAGGGCTCACATTCAGAAAGGTTTGCAGATAGTTTTCCTGCTGCTTCACACTCCGCCAACATATTTCCTCTCTGCATGACTTCTGTTGTGTCTCCTGATCTGCTGATGGTGCTCTTTATATTAACAGCCTCCCACACTTCCACCCCCTTTCATTTTGTCCCACATCCATTCTGCTTCTTCATCTGCCTCAAACAGATAAAAAATTGCTCAAATAGAAATGTAATATATCTTTAGTTTTCAAATCCATTAAATTGTGTACAAAATAATTTTTGTGACTGTGCATATCTTTTATCAACTTTTTGTTTATCAGAATAGCTGCTTGAAATAGAAATTTAAAGCATTTCCTCTTAATTTTAGGGTCCTTGCATTGGAAACCAGCAGAGCTTGGCTCACAGTAGACTGTGGGATGCAGTTGTTGGCTTCCTTCACGTTTTTGCTAACATGCAAATGAAACTTTCACAGGTAAATTGTGTTTGTTTATTTATTTATTTCACAAGATTTTTATATACCTCTTAAACCTATTGGCCACTTTTGAGCACAGAGCCAGACTCACATAAGGCTTCCATTTGTGAATATTGTCTTTAGATTTATTTATTTTATTGTTTATTCTATTTGTACTCTAGGATTCGAGTCAGATTGAGTTGCTGAAGGAGCTACTAGATCTTCTGAAGGATATGGTGGTGATGCTCTTGTCACTACTTGAAGGTTGAATCTTTTTTAAAAAGTTATTGCTATGCAATTCAAACATCACCATCATTTTTAATACGTAGAGTTTATCCTTAATTTATATTCAGACCATCACAATAATTCTACTTGGTAATTTGGATGAATGAATGAAATTTTATTGTCTAAAGCCATAGCCACCACCACAAATAATTCTAAATAAGAAATGGGCATAAATTTAGTTGTGCAATAATACTGAACAGTAGTTCTCAACCAAGGGTACATTTTAAACAAGCTTATAATAAGCATGAAAACACTTTCTCCACATTTCTAAGGATGTATAAGAAATATATTTTCAATGTATGTTTATATAAAAACTAAGTAACGATTTTTAAACTCACAATGTAGGTAATGTTGTAAATGGCACTATCGGGAAACAGATGGTGGACACTCTGGTTGAATCATCTAGCAATGTAGAAATGATATTGAAGTTCTTTGACATGTTTCTCAAGTTGAAGGATCTAACGAGCTCAGAAGCTTTCAAAGAGTATGACCCAGAAAGTAAAGGCATAATTTCAAAGAAGGAATTCCAGAAAGCCATGGAAGGTCAAAAGCAATATACGCAATCAGAGATTGAGTTCCTGCTGTCCTGTGCAGAAACGGATGAAAACGACATGTTTAACTATGCCGATTTTGTTGAAAGATTTCACGAGCCGGCAAAAGATATTGGATTTAATGTGGCCGTCCTCTTAACAAACCTATCAGAACACATGCCAAATGATTCGAGGCTTCAGACTCTATTAGATCCAGCAGAATGTGTCCTTAACTATTTTGAACCTTACCTTGGGCGCATTGAGATAATGGGTGGTGCCAAGAAGATAGAGCGGGTTTATTTTGAGATCAGTGAATCCAGTAGGACGCAGTGGGAAAAGCCTCAAGTGAAAGAATCAAAAAGGCAGTTTATTTTTGATGTTGTAAATGAAGGTGGGGAACAAGAGAAGATGGAGCTTTTTGTGAACTTCTGCGAGGACACGATTTTTGAAATGCAGTTGGCATCTCAGATATCTGAATCGGATACAGTTGACAGACCTGAGGAGGAGGAAGATGAGCCTTGCTATGTGAGGGAAATTGGAGAAGATGAGAAAGGAGAACAGTCCCTTGAATCAGCTTCAGCTTTTGCTATGGCATGCGTTGCAATAAAGAAAAATGCTGCCACTGTTTTTAAAATGATAAGACTGAAAAACTTAAGAAAACAGTACAGAAAAGTGAGAAAGATGACTGTAAAAGAATTGGTTAAAGTATCTTTTTCCTTTCTCTGGATGCTATTTGTAGGATTCTTCCAAATGTTTCTCACTATACTGTGCAGTATATTTCAGATTCTTTGGAGTACTGTGTTTGGGGGTGGCCTAATAGAAGGAGCCAAAAACATTAGAGTTACTAAAATTTTAGGAGACATGCCTGACCCAACACAGTTTGGAATTCACGATGATGTCCTTGAAGCAGAAAAAGTTGAAGTTACAGAACATGGCATAACAGCTGAAATTGTGCAGTTTGTTAAAAATGAGAAGGGAGAAACTGATATCTTGTCAGATATTTTTGGCATTCATACGAAGAAAGAGAGTGGATCAAAGCATGGTCATGCTGTTGGCCTAGGGGATATCGCTGATATCATTGGATCAGATACCCCTCCTTCTTTGGAAAGTGCAGTTCGCAAGAAGAAAAAAGCACAGGTAAACAATAAATGTGTTATATCTTATTTTATTCAATATGCTTCCTAACTGGTTGATTATGGGAAGAGACTTTATTCTCGGCAGAAAGCTAAACCACAGAGACTCAAAGTTCTTCAAGCCCCTGGTGCTTTCCAGACAGAAGTGTAGGGTCTTCCTGATGCCCATAGTGTATCCTAGATTACCTGACAATCTAGCAGTTTGAAAGTGTACCAGTGCAAGTAGATAAATAGGTACTGCTGCAAAGGGGGAGGTAAATGGCGTTTCCGTGCACTCTGGCTTCCATCCCAGTGTTCTGTTGCGCCAGAAGCTGTTAGTCCTGCTGGCCACATGACCTGGAAAGCTGCCTGTGGACAAACGCCAGCTCCCTTGGCTTGAAAGCAGAGATGAGTGCTGCACCCCATAGTCGCCTTTGACTAGACTTAACCATCCAGGGGTCCTTTACCTTTTTATCTTTACCTTATCCTAGTTTACTATAAACTTTTTGAGTTCACAGCATTATTTTAACCTTTTGAAATTGGGCATACTTAATTCTCTATCATATCCAAATTCAAAGTACTTTCAACATTTTTCAGACACCTGAAATTGCAAAGGATGATGAATCGGAAACAAGAACAGAATCTGAGAAGGCTGAGTAAGTTATTTTTAGCTCTTACATTCTTGGGAATGACTGTTTTCCCATTTCCAGTGAAAGGTCAGCAGAGTGGGTTGATGACTCCACCTAGTGATCAAAAGGCAGGCAGCAACCTTTTGGGAGGTAAGACTCCCAGCATGCAGTTCTGCTCCTGCATTTGGTCAAGATGCAGCAGTTCCCTTTCCCTGATCACATCATGGCTTATTCCATAAGAGCTGCAACAGCCAATGCTGCATTTTCATCTTGTGCTCCTCTACAGGAAATCTTGGGCAGCGCCCGGTATCTTCACCTGGATGCCTGTGCATCATGGGATGTGGCAGTGGGCAGGACCTCCCACCAGACCTTTGTGCAGCTGCACTCCCTCCCTAGAGAGTTTGGCTGCTGTACATCCTATTTTGCCGACCTTTCAATGCAAATGGGGGAAAGTATAATTGTATCTACCTGAAGTGTAGTTTTCCATAGTTTGTTTGGCTGTAGGATTCTTGTTATTATTGACACTGGGAGGTAGCATGGTTCTTACTTATATCCAGGGGCGTAGGAAGGGGTGGGGTGGGGCGGACCGCCCTGGGTGCCCTCACTGAGGGGGGTGACATTCGGTGCACCACCCACCCGCCCATGACTCTCAAGCCTACCTCTCAAGCCTACCCTGAGCTGTTGGGGTAAGGGGGGAGCTGTGCCGCTTTTCCGGTGGCATTCCCCCCTTCCCCTTTGTTTTGACAGCTTGGGGGAGGCTTGGGAGTTGCAGGCGGGTGGTGCACCAAATGTCCGCCATGGGTGGCTCGCTCTGCCCCCGTGAGCGGCTCGCTCTGGCCCTGGCTGCAGGGGGCGCATGCTGCTCCGGGCACCCGAGCAGCTATCCCGCACCTGGGAGGGCACGCCCTCCTCAGGAGTGCGCCCGCCCTGGGCAGCATGGGCATATGCTCCACCACTGCTTCTATCCTTGCACTCCTGGCTGTCAGGCTTGGTAAGCCTGCAGACTGGATGCATGCTCCGAGTTCTGCCTCCCAAAAGGTTCCTGCCTGCCTTTTGACCACTAGGTGATGCCATCAACCCATTTGGCTGACCTTTAAGAAACTGAAAACTACCTTTCAGGTAGGTACAAATGTACTTTTTAATGTTCATGTGTGCCGAGGTGAATGAGCTTCAGGCAGACCTCAAGCACAAGTTCCACTTTGAATTGATGTGTCTAGCAGTTCTTGAACAGTATGTTAAAGCAGTTTAGTTTTAAAAGCCTCCTCAAAGCCCTAAAGTGAAAACAAAAGGATTAAACATCAGGGAGGAAGCATTAGAATCCTCTTGACTATTGTAGTTTTCGGTGCCATGCTTGCATGTAATTAATGCCAACGTTTAGAAGCAAGGAGGTGATAAGATCTGATCAGTTTATACCCAAGTTAAAGAAACTGATATATTCTCTCTCTCTCTCTCTCTCTCTCTCTTTTCATTGTTACTATTTGTCTTCACAGTTCTATAAAAATGAAATTTCCCCTCTTGCTGCACTCACAGTTTTATTTTCCCCTTATAATCTTATTCTCCTATAATCTCTAGAATTGCAGAGCCAATAACAGGGTTTAGCAGTGTACTAAAAGGCTTGGGCTTGCCAGTCAGAAGGTTGGTGGTTCGAATCCCCATGACAGGGTGAGCTCCCGTTGCTCGGTCCCTGCTCCTGCCGCCCTAGCAGTTCGAAAGCACATCAAGTGCAAGTAGATAAATAGGTACTGCTCTGGCTGGAAGGTAAACAGCGTTTCCGTGCGCTGCTCTGGTTCGCCAGAAGCGGCTTAGTCATGCTGGCCACATGACCCGGAAGCTGTCTGCAGACAAACGCCAGCTCTCTCGGCCAATAAAGCGAGATGAGCGCCGCAACCCCAGAGTCGTCTGTGACTGGACCTAACGGTCAGGGGTACCTTTACCTTTACCTAAAAGGCCAATATCTGATTTTAAAAGTCAATCCTTTATTAGGCATAGCAAACATCACATTATTAAACAAGCACCATATACAAATTGTGCAAAATATGAGCTCAGCATAACAAGGTTTGTCCGAGTCAGATCTTTAACTCCAGAGAAAATCAATTTGTATAGATAATACAATATAACATAATGTGAGGGCGATCTGGCTGCGACATCTGTCACTCCATTGATCGCCAGGGTTGATTCAGCTGATCTGGCTGGCAAGGCGGGTGTCCCCTTCCTCCCTCACCGCTCCATGTGCATCTCTCCCAAAGCTGTGCGCTCGGTGGAAGAGGACGACCATCCCAGATAGAAGGAGTGTACCGTTCTTCGGTCAAGGGTATATGATACAGTGGTGCCTCGCAAGACGAAATTAATTCGTTCCGCGAGTTTTTTCGTCTAGCGAATTTTTCGTCTTGCGAAGCACGAAATCCCATAGGAATGCATTGAAATTCAATTAATGTGTTCCGATGGTCAAAAAAAGTCCAAACAAAGCCAAATTTGGTACAACAAGAGTTTATTAAGTGCTCTTTAAAGTCACACCCACCACACAGAAATTCAAATCCATATTTTTTTAAAAAAAACAGCAGAGTGGCCCAATGGTCACAGAAAATCATAAAAATGCAGAAAAAAACCACACAAGCTTCCAGATTCTTGCAAACCCCTCCTCAACTGTTCCCCCAGCCACCCACCACACAGAAATTCAAATCCAGATTTTTTTAAAAAAAAACAGCAGAGTGGCCCAATGGTCACAGAAAATCATAAAAATGCAGAAAAAAAAACACACAAGCTTCCAGATTCTTGCAAACCCCTCCCCAGCACCAAGTCCTTGAATTCCAAACACCCCAACCCAAAATCCAAACCCCCCCAAAAAAGTTTTAAAAGTTTAAAATAAGTTTTGGAAAAGCTTCAAAAATCACCAAAGTCTTCAAAAACCTCAAAAAAGGCTACCACACCGCGTTCTATGAGTTGCTCCTCGAAGTCAAGTCGCAACTGTATTAACGGTGTTAAGAAAAGGAAACAAACTTGCAAGACGTTTTCGTTTTTCGGCTTGCAAAGCAAGCCCATAGGGAAATTCGTCTTGCGAAGCAGCTCAAAAAACGGAAAACCCTTTCGTCTAGCGAGTTTTTCGTCTTGCGAGGCATTCGTCTTGCGGGGCACCACTGTAGCTGTGCTCCCCTGCTAGAACCTCCAAACAAGCAAATATTTGATTATTATTCTCTGTTGTACAGAGAATAAAATGGCAACCATTACCAATTCTTGACCTTTGAAAGCCATCTAAGTACTAATACAGTTGTAGCAAATTCCTTAAATTAAAAATACATGGTGTGAAATAGTGTTTTTTTCCTTGTCTGTCCTGAATCTCCTGTGAAAGAATTTCAGTGGATGACCCTGAGTTCTAGGAGTGAGGGAGAAAAGCATTTCTCTATCCATTGTCTCCATAACATGTACTGTATCTGCTATATATTTTGGGAAGTGGTGGTTTGTTCACTATATGTTAAAGTGCATTTAGGATATTTTGCCCCAGTGTGTGTCATCTTACATTGAAACTCATTTGCCAGTTGGGCCAGAATTAATTGTCAGGATCTTATTTGTGAGCAGTGCAGAAAACATGCCTCTTTGTTAATAATTGTTCTCATATTCTATAGCATGGAGGATGGTGAGAAACAAGATAAAATAAAGGATGATATGTATTCTGAACATATGGAACTAGAAGAACCTAGAAAACGGAAACGAAGGCATGGGCAAAAAATTGAGAAACCTGATGCAGTTATGGCCAACTTTTTTAAAGTATTGGAAGTTTATCAGACAAAAATGCTGGTATGTTGACCTTCTTTCTTACTTTTGGCCAATGATTATATTAGAAAATAGCATTATATTATATTGTATTGTATTGTATTGTATTATAATACAATGCTATTTTCTAATATATATTATATTATATATAATATTATATATTATAAAATATGATATTATATATATTATATATATTATATGTATTATATTATATATATCATATCATATTATGTTATATTATATTATATTACATTATAAAATAGCATTTTTCACACTTGGAGGATAAGTAAGATATGTTGGTGCATTATTAAGAGGTTTTTAATAAAGAGACAACACTTGGAAAAGAAAGTATGAAATGGAACATAATTGATATATAATGATGATGTAAAGCATTTTTGGGGGGATCTGCTTTATTAATTTGCTTTCTTCCTTTTCAGTTCTGATTCTTGTTTTAGGAACTAATAACATTCTTTGCATTTTCAGCACTTTTTGGCCCGAAATTTCTACAATTTAAGATTTCTTGCACTTTTTGTTGCATTCGCCATCAACTTTATCCTGCTTTTCTACAAGGTAATGTAATTGTATCAGTTCCGACAAGACGCCTTCATTTTCCACAGTGACATTTGCTATCCTGTGGTGAAAATTTAGACTACTATTAAAGTAAGCAGACTCAACTAATCATCAAATAAATGCCAGTATAAAATGTATTAACCCAATTAAGGGTGAAATTATTATTCATTAATTGATTTCATGGAAAAGATGAATTTGAACTGGGGACTTGAGAGTCATAGGTCAGTTTCTTCACCACTGCACAACACTACACCAACATCAGCATAATATATGGCAGTGTTTAACATACAGACATGCTTTATTCTGTGTTTAATCTGTTGGGAGCTGCCCAGAGTGCCTGGGCGGGGTACAAATAATAAATTATGAAGGTGATGATGATGATGAACTTAAATTCTCTTCCTCCACCCCCTCAATACATGAGGTGCTGTTCAACTAAGCATTACTCATAGTATACCCACTGAAATTAATGGCCCTAACTTAGTCAAGTTGATTAATTTTAATGGATTTACTCTGAGTAAAACGTCATTGCTTATATAGTACCTCTGCCCTGGGTGGTTGAAGAAATGTGCATGGAAAAATCACATTTCAGTGGGCCTGAGAAATAATGTGCAGGAGCTGTGGCCAAGCAAACTGCAACATGATAACATCACTATAATTCAAAATATTAGACAACAACTTTAATAAAAAATATGGAAAAAATGCTAGAAAAATTCTACCACATGTCCTTTTAAAATATATATCTATATTTATTGTGTATACCTGCACTCCTTGTTTGTGTATCAATTTCAGGTGACAGAAGAGCCATTTGAAGAAATGGAAGAAGATTCAGATCTGTGGCATTCTTTAGAGGAGGAGGAAGATGAAGATGGAGTAGTCTTCTTTGTTTTACAAGAGAGTACAGGCTACATGGCACCAACACTTAGGGCTCTAGCTGTTATCCATACAATCATCTCTTTTGTATGTGTTATTGGATACTATTGTTTAAAGGTTAGTAATTTCACCCTAAATTATCCAGTAATAAAAGCCTCTTCATATTACGGTTTTTCCATTGCTCGTTTCCAATTGCCATTCTCTTATTGATGCTACTGAATGCTTTTTTGTTTTCATTTACATACTTCAATGATACCTTATTATTGTTATTTTATTAAGTATTTTTGTGTTCTTAGCTCCTTTGGGCCCTGTGTATGGTAAGATAGAATATACCGTATTTTTCGTTCTATAGGACGCACCGGCCCATAGGACGCACCTCGTTTTTTGGGGGGGGAATGAATAAAAAAAATTATTCCCCCCCCCCCCGCCGCGGCTGCCGCCCCAAGCCTCGCGTGCTTCGGGCTGCAGGCTACCGCCCCAAGCCTCGCAGCCTGCCGCCCGAAGCCTCGCGCGCTCGGCGGGACCTCCTGCCGGGCGCGCAAGGCTTGCGGACACTCGCCCGAAGCACGGGGAGCCCTCCGGAGGGCTCCCGTGCTTCGGGCGACATGCTGCCGCCCGAAGCCTCGCGCGCTCGGCGGGACCTCCTGCCGGGCGCGCAAGGCTTGCAGACACTCGCCCGAAGCACGGGAGCCCTCCGGAGGGCTCCCCGTGCTCGGGCGACAAGCTGCAGCCCCAAGCCTTGCGCGCTCGGCGGGACCTCCTGCCGGGCGCGCAAGGCTTGCAGACACTCCCGAAGCACGGGGAGCCCTCCGGAGGGCTCCCAGTGCTCGGGCGACAAGCTGCCGCCCGAGCCTCGCGCGCCGGCGGGACCTCCTGCCGGGCGCGCAAGGCTTGCAGACACTCGCCCGAGCACGGGAGCCCTCCGGAGGGCTCCCCGTGCTTCGGGCGACAGCTGCAGCCCCAAGCCTTGCGCGCCGGCGGGACCTCCTGCCGGGCGCGCAAGGCTTGCAGACACTCGCCCGAGCCTCGCGCGCTCGGCGGGACCTCCTGCCGGGCGCGCAAGGCTTGCAGACACTCGCCCGAGCACGGGAGCCCTCCAGAGGGCTCCCCGTGCTTCGGGCGACAGGCTGCTGCCCCAGGCCTCGCGCGCCGGCGGGACCTCCTGCCGGGCGCGCAAGGCTTGCGGACACTCGCCCGAGCACGGGAGCCCTCCGGAGGGCTCCCCGTGCTTCGGGCGACAGGCTGCTGCCCCAAGCCTCGCGCGCTCGGCGGGACCTCCTGCCGGGCGCGCAAGGCTTGCAGACACACGCCCGAAGCACAGGGCGCCCTCCGGAGGGCTCCCCGTGCTTCGGGCGACAGGCTGCTGCCCCAAGCCTCGCGCGCTCGGCGGGACCTCCTGCCGGGCGCGCAAGGCTTGCGGACACTCGCCGGGGCTGAAGGCTGCTGCCTGCAAGCCTTGTGAGCCCGCGGGAACTCCCACTGGGCTTGCAAGGCTTGCGGATAGCTTCCTGAAGCCTGGAGAGCGAGAGGGGTCGGTGCGCACCGATGCCTCTCGCTCTCCAGGCTTCAGCGAAAGCCTGCATTCGCTCCATAGGACGCACACACATTTCCCCTTCATTTTTGGAGGGGAAAAAGTGCGTCCTATGGAGCGAAAAATACGGTACATTTGATAGATCTCAGCTCCATTTACTGATTGTTCTCTGGATCCTACAACAAGGCATATATATAATCTTAAATTCTTCACAATTCCCATAATCAGTAGATAAAGAAGATAGTTTCCAATTGTACAGTTCAGGAACACTGTAAAATGCAATATTCCAAACTATTTTCAAGACATTTCTAAACATTCAGCTTCCTTTGGAGCTTCCAAATAATTATTTTTGCAATAGGTTCCTTTGGTTGTATTCAAACGGGAGAAGGACATTGCAAGGAAGCTGGAATTTGATGGTCTGTATATTACCGAACAACCCTCCGAAGATGACATTAAAGGACAGTGGGATCGCCTCGTCATAAATACACCGTAAGTAACATGGAGTACAACCTTGCTCCTGCTTCTTGATCAGAAGTTCAGCTAAAGAAGGCCAACACAAGCTGCTTGTAGTTTTTGCTGTTAGGCCACATTCCTGTTTTACTTCGGCACTATGGTTACTTTTCACCATGCCTGCTTCCCATGCTACTTGATAATGTATGCAATGGGGAGGCTACATAGGAAAGAAGGGTGACATTACTTCCCATATCATCATCATCGTTGCCCCAGCCGCTCTAGATGGCTTTCAACATAATACAAACACAGCAAATGTCAGACACTGAAAACTTCCCGATAAGGGCTGCCTTCAGATGTCTTCAGAAAGTTGTGCAGTTGTTTATTTCCTTGACATCTGATGGGAGGGTGTTCCACAGGGTGGGTGCCACTACTGAGAAGGCCCTCTGCCTGGTTCCCTGTAGCTTTGCTTCTCGCAGTGAGGGAACCACCAGAAGGCCCTCAGCGCTGGACCTCAGTGTCCGGGCTAAACGATTGGGGTGGAGATGCTTCTTCAGGTATACAGGGTCAAGGCTGTTTAGGGCTTTAAAGGTCATCACCAACACTTTGAATTGTGCTCGGAAGCATACTGTAAATCTTTTAGGGCCGGCGTTATGTGGTCCCTGCAGTTGTTCTTGGTCATCAGTTTAGCAGCCACATTCTGGATTAGTTGTTTCCGAGTCACCTTCAAAGGTAGCCCCATGTAGAGCGCATTGCAGTAGTCCAAGCAGGAGATAACCAGAGCATGTCCCAGCTGCTAGGTTGGCAGGAGCAGGGGCCAAGCAATGGGAGCTCACCCCGTCGCAGGGATTCAAACTGCCAACCTTCTGATCGGCAAGCCCTAGGCTCTGTGGTTTAACCCACAGCACCACCCACATCCCTCACATTGTTGGAGGTGGTGACTGATAAATACAGTTGCTAGTATCATGTTTAGGAAAAACTTAACAGAAATGGTATTTTTAGTTGTATTTTCTTTCAGACATCTATTTTATACTTGGCAATGAACCTATGATAAAAATAAAATCTAGACAAATGTAAAGAAAAGAATGCTTTAAAAGGTTAATATGTACGCTGCAGAAAGGAGCTACATCATTTTCTTTCACACCTGGCAGGAGCTGGAGAAAATCTGTAAAATCCGTAATTATGGATTCGTAAACACGAGTATCACTTACTGAACAGAAATTTACAAATTATAGGCAATCACGGGGGGGGGGGGGGGGAATCACTATGAGGCAAAATTCTACCAGTAGATCAGAAAATAATGCCATCTTCCTTACGCAACCTATAGCAATAAAATACAAATGTAATTAAAGTCCTTTTTGTGTTTTTTTGTTAACTAATTTGAAATTCTTATTTATGTATCTATGCAGATATTTTCCTAACAATTATTGGGACAAGTTTGTAAAACGAAAGGTAAGTTCTTTAAATATATGTCAAGTCATGCTATTAAAAATAACCAGATATGTCAAATTAAGCATGTTTGTTGTTGCATTATGTGTAAGGAATAAGCATAAATTGGGAATAAAAGGCCACAGTTTTATTACAGAATATTAGCAACAATGAAGTGAGCTTGTGCTCCAGGTATACCATGGCATTTCTTCTCTCTGTGCTCCTCCCAGCAGTCCCCCCGCCCCGGTCCTTGTTGTAGATATATGACCTGACTGTCTCCAGGCACTGCAACAGTCATCCGCAACATGGCAGGGCTGATGTTGCCAGCCTTCATGTCTCATTTGCAGACATCTTTGTCTCCTCAACCTGCTCCTCTCGGTGATTTGGAGGGAATGTCCCTTAAATCATATTAGGAATAGCCATCTATGATGATGTATTAGTGATATTTTCAGCTCTTATTTGCAAGTATTGCTTTGTCAGGCATGTATAGCCCTAGAAAATAACTCACATTTAATTAATTTACATAATAAAAATGCTTTCTGATTACTTTTTATGCTTCTATTTTTGAATGCCTCCACTCCTCCTGCCAACTGTCATTGTTTTAAGAGTATCAACCTAAGTTGTTAAAACTCCCGACAAATACTGATTGAATTAAAGTTGATGATACCTCGTATCTTTCCCCTCGAAGGTAATCAACAAGTATGGTGATTTATATGGAGCAGAACGCATTGCAGAACTCCTAGGTCTGGACAAAAATGCTCTGGATTTCAGCCCAGTGGAACATACTGAACTAGAGGAGGCATCCCTTGTTTTGTGGTACGGTGGGATCTTTAAACTAAAGCCATAGTAGATTAGAGGCAAAGCAAATTCAGGAGTCCCTTTCAAAAGCTACTTTATTTATTTATAAAGTTTGGCCAGGCTGGTGATGGAGCTAGATAAAGCAAATAAGCGTGACGAACATTGTTGGAACTGTTTAATTCCTTTTTTAAAAGGGTACAACAACAAAATCAAGAGATTTTTCATCAGCTAAAGAAATCTTGACACCCTGATCAGATGTGGATGGGTGTATGACATGAAATTGTGGTAGTGCAGAATGGCTTGTGCCGATAGGCCATCCAGTTTTTTAGCAAGACAGCCTGCCAATAGCAATTCTGTTCTTTAAAACTATAGTGCCATACAGGGGGTGCAGAGTCCTTTACTTGAAATGGCCCTGTAGTAGTTAAAATGCTGTTGGGATGTTGCACAGGTGAGTCAAGCCTGCTTGAGGAAATTGTGTGCTGAACCAACGTCATATTTAGCTACACTGATTTGTTTTCTGTGTATAAACGCTGACTTACCTTTCGGTGTTGTGGGCTAGCTCAGCACAACAGCCTCACTGTTTCGTGACACTGCAGTAGATCAGTAGTGCTGCACCCTATTTTAAATACTTAAAAGTAGGTGATAAAGTTGGATCATGTTTGGAGCTGTAAAGAAAATTATCCCCAATACACCTCCATAAATTCCCTAGAATATTTCAGCGCATATCGCTGCTGAAAAACCCCCTAAAACAATCAATGTGAGAGAAATGTATATGTTGATAAAATAATGATTATACCACTGATTAATTTAATATTATTTCTCTATTAGGTTAAGTTCTATTGATGCCAAATACCATATCTGGAAGCTTGGTGTTGTTTTCACTGATAATGTAAGTATACTGTATGAATGTGGGAAAAATCTTCTGCTTCATTATTCTCATTGTTGGTTTACACAGGGATGGACTAGATAGGGAACAAACCTTGCACTCGTGTGTCCTTTCTTGCCATTTGAATTAGAGACAGTGATGAGGCATCCAAATGGACGTATCAGGTGCAGATGATGTATTAGACAGAAGGTGGAGCGGTCTGGGATAGAATGGTTCAGCTGGTTATCATCAGCATATAGGAAGCCTTTGTATAAATCATGCAAAGGGAGAGAATAGTGATAGAAAAGGAGGCCTCAATAGAGGCTGAGAAGGAGCTTCATCCAGCGGCAGTCGTGAAGCAGCAATCAGAGTTAGAAGGGCAGTCAGCCAGGAACAGACACGGAAGCTTGCATTGAAGGAACTAAGGAGGAAAAGATGCTCAATTGTATCAAAACGAAATGGAAACCTTCAAGGACTAAAAGGACAAAGTGGAGACTTTGGATTTGGCAGTGAGAACATTATCTCCAACGTTTCGGAAGTCGGAACGGTCTTCCGGAATGGATTACGTTTGAAAACCGAGGTACCACTGTATTACTACTGACAGCGGTATTTATTGGAGCAATATTAAGTCATGACATGTTTAAAGGCAACGTTACTAATGAAAAATCTGTTTCAGATTTTTTGCAAATTTGTTTCATGTAATTTTTCTGTTGAGCAGATACATTCTTTTTAAAGAATGTCTTGTCTGGTACATTTTCTTAACCTTTTGTTTTTTACTTTGGAATCATTTGGTTATGTTAAGCAGCCCTATATTAACTTTAAAATTATTCACTCCCTGTTTACTTTAAACCAAGAACTTCTGCCATTTTGTTTTCATGGTTTGCTTGTTCTCATCCTGAGGTGTCAGTTAGTTTGTCACCATTCAAGGAAGCAGCAACTGAAACATGTGAGATCTGAGGATCTCATAAGAATTTACTTACTATGGAGCTGATTAATAATGGTGGCTTTGCAGAAGGAATGTAATAAAGATATTTAAAGTATTGGGTTGGATCAAGATTGGGTTAGAGCCACGTCCTTCAGCTTGCAAGATGACATTTTCTGATTTCTTAGATCCCTGCATGAGAAAACTGAACTAAAATTCAGAGGTGTGCTTCTGCGTGTGCAAGGTGTTGCACACAATCTCTTGAACCATGTTTTCTGTTAGCTTTTTCTCAGCAGTTCATACAAAAGTGCCACTGGTAGAATGTATTCTGCTACTGCATCTCTTGACCCAACCTAATTAGGATACTAAAAATCAAATTATGGATGTAGCGCTCAGGCCTCCTAGAACTGCGAGCCACAAGCAGCTTAAAATAATTGACCCAGGGAGAATTAGGATTCTTCTTCAGACAAGCTTTCAGCCCCTGTGTTGTATCTTTGTGTGTTGCTCTTGTATAGAACTGACTGCCATGGTAGAAAAGCATTTTATAAATAATTTTAATAATAATAATAATAAAGCACAATACTTGAAAAATGAGAGTAGCAGCAGTTGCTGACATTTAACGTTTTCTTTAGTCCTTCTTGTACTTAGCTTGGTACACAACCATGTCAATTCTTGGTCATTACAACAACTTCTTCTTTGCTGCCCACCTTCTCGATATTGCTATGGGTTTTAAGACTCTGCGTACCATCCTGTCTTCTGTAACCCACAATGGCAAACAGGTGAGTGACTGGCAACATCATTTCTTTTAAAATGAATTATTCTCCTGCTGGGGTGGGGAACCTCTGGCCCACCAGACGATGCTGAACTGCAACTTCCACCCTCCTTGTCATTAGCCCTGTTGGCTAAGCCAATGGAAACTTAATTCAGCAACGTCTGGAGGGCCAAAGGATCCCCATCCCTCCTCTACTGAGAAATAATACTAATGCTGGAATACAATTAGTATATGGAACAACTGAAAACATTAGTATTGTCTTCAAGTACATCATTAAAAACAGAGTTGCTGCGAATAATGTAGAAGTGCACAACGGTCAAGTTTGAAGAATGTTATACATAATTACATAATTAACAACCTCATGGGATGCATCTCCGAGTGTATTGTACCATTCAGACTGCAGATGAGACAAACCAATCAACAATTTGAATGATTCCCTCTATTTTTAAAAAACTCCGTGTAAAAAGAAAAAATCTAGAAGGCCAGAGAGAATGTTATGGCTTAGCCACCTCTTACATGCTGGAGTGGCTGGGGAAACCCAGCTAGATGGGCGGGGTATAAATTATTATTATTATTATTATTATTATTATTATTATTATTATATGCTGCCTTTGAATATGCTTGAAGCGTTCTTCCCCCATCCCAGAGGGAACATTCAGATATTTACATTCTACAGTCCAATGACAGATTCATCATGCATGGCTACATGTCATATGTTTTATATCTTAATTTCAGAATGGTGGTATGGTATGTTAGGTTGAACAATTTTCTTTTTCATAATTGTGTGGGAGAGATTATGTATGATTGCATGCACACACGAAATATAAAAACAGATGTCAATAGTTTAATGCTGTTTCCAGGGGAACAGGCAGTTTTCTCTGTACAATATGTGAACCTTATCTGCTTTTTAAAACAAGCACTATTCCACATTCCTTTCACTTGATTTAGTGTCTTCCATTCTAACATTTGTCCAGATCCACTTCCAGTTGTGTTTTCAAAAGGTGAATCCTCATGATTCCCTTCTAGTTGGGCATCCTATTATAGACAGCCTTGCCTGGGCACTGGGAGTGCGAACTAACTGCCTGTGTTTTCTCTGTTCAAGGCAAATTTCTGGGCTTTTATGTGAATTTGATAGGAATGTTTGGAAAACATTGGGGGGGGGGGCAAACAGTGGGGTGCTCAAGCATGTCTTTCTATGGTTATCGTCATGAAAAACAATGCCTGATGGGGTGATTCAGTCCACAAAAACAGGTACACAACTTCACAACACACGGAGCAATTTGAACCACATATAAAAACTGGCCGAGGAATGGCTGTAGCAATACTACAGTCTGTACCCTCAAACCTTGTTTGTCTCAATATATTTTTCATGAAATACAGCATTCATAATACTCTTGTCACATTTTTAGGGCATCATAGGCCAAATTCAACAAAGTGGCCCCATTAGCAGAAGCCTGTGCAAGGACTTCTGCTAGCACAACTATCTCCTCCCTCTCCCCCCACCTCAGCGGTTCTGGGGCTTCAGGGGAATCTGCAGAACAACACACAGAAAAGGGAGGTTGTTTCATCTAGTAAACAGAAATTATTGTGTTGACACAACAATTGTTTTTGTGTGACAATGATCCTCTCCATGTTTTTTTAATTCTTTATTGTCTAGGAATTTTAGTTCATATATATATTAGTGAGTGAGATTTTAATCCCTAATTGCTATTTTTCCTCATGTGATACTTTATTTTGGATAGCTTGTTTTGACTGTTGGACTCTTGGCTGTAGTGGTATACCTTTACACGGTTGTGGCATTCAACTTCTTCCGCAAATTTTATAACAAGAGTGAAGATGAAGATGAGCCAGACATGAAGTGTGATGACATGATGACGGTAAGTACCAGGACATCACGGCAATTATTTTAACTCAGAAATGTTACTGTGTGGGTAAAAGTACTATATGGATGTTTTTACAACGCACATTAAAAAACACATCAAAGTGAATATTATATCTTTTTATCTATTAGATTTATGTACCACCCTTCATCACAAGATCTTAGGGTGGCTTACAAGCTAAAAATGCAAGGCACAAATAAATAGTTAAAACAAAAACAACAAATCAAGCCCCCCTTCTCACAAACATATTTAAAAGGCTGTAGAATGTTAATCAGCCAATCAGTCATTTTAAATCATGTATACAGGCATTTTAATAATAAAAACCATGGCCCTATAGTGCCCAATTTAAAGTGAATAGAGATTAGTATTCAGAACCTAAAGAGAAATCAATATACTTGAAAGTTTTGTTCGGATGTTTCTTGATATTATACCACGATGTGTGTAAGGCTCAAATAATTTTCAAGGCCACTTTACTATTGTTGTTTAAAATTAAACACAGCTGTATTGCTATATTATACACAATTTTTGCAACATTTCTAACTTGGTGTCTTCTTTGAGACTTCTGGAGTCTGTCTTTCAGAGGTTGGACCGTCCCTATAGAAGAGTCAGTTTACAAACTCATAGGAGGAGGAATGAAGGATTTCAAACGTTCTTCACTGTCCACCAGAGAACATGAGAACTGATTTGGGGGGCATTATCTACTAGGAAGTTTTCCTTAGCAAGACCAATTGAAATGAATGAATGCTGTGCGAAAGCATGGTAGTGGATTTTGTCCTTTGCAAAAATATTACGTGTTTTAGATTTCATCAGATTAATTCCATTCCAAATATCTGGGAAATCTCCAGCCAACCAGGCCTCCCCATTTGGCCTGTGAGGTCATTTTGGGCAACCCATGTCTCTCTCCTCCCCCCCAATACCTTACACCAGGTGTGGGGCTGAGAACCAGGTGATTGTTGGGCATTTGGGAAGCACCTGAAAAATAACTTTGCCAGCCCTGTACTCAGTGCTACCTAAATCCCAAGTAGGCAAAGGAGAGGACCTAATGATTAGTTTTTTTCATTTGTTTGGGAACCAATGTGATGGGGACTTTGGCAGCTGTAAATCACCTGAAGTCATTATGTCAGATGATTAACTGGTGAGTGTCAAAGCTGACCCATGAGTGAGTTGGGAAGGTAAGGATCTGGCTCACTGGGCTGAAAAGCTTCTCCACTTGATATAGAACAGGCTTCCTCAACCTCGGCTCTCTAGATGTTTCTGGCCTACAACTCCCATGATCCCTAGCTAGCAGGACCGGTGGTCAGGGATGCTGGGAATTGTAGTCTCAGAACATCTGGAGGGCTGAGGATGAGGAAGCCTGCTATAGAACATGATATAAAATGTAATAGCTGTTTAAAAATTGTACTTTTTACTCTTATAATTTAAAGCAGTTGGATTCTCTGTCGTGAAAAGTAACAAATTCTTTTTTCCAGTGTTACCTCTTCCACATGTATGTGGGTGTAAGAGCAGGTGGAGGCATTGGAGATGAAATTGAAGACCCTGCAGGAGACCCTTATGAGATGTATCGAATTGTTTTTGATATCACGTTTTTCTTCTTTGTCATTGTCATCCTATTGGCCATCATTCAAGGTATGTTGATTGTGACGTGCTATTGGCATTCTATATATATTCAATATATGTAAAGAGTAAGGTAGGGATGCGGGTGGTGCTGTGGTTTAAACCACAGAGCCTAGGACTTGCCGATCAGAAGGTTGGCAGTTCGAATCCCCGCGTTGGGGTGAGCTCCCGTTGCTCGGTCCCTGCTCCTGCCAACCTAGCAGTTCGAAAGCACGTCAAAGTGCAAGTAAATAAAGAGCTACCACTCCGGCGGGAAGGTAAACGGCATTTTCGTGTGCTGCTCTGGTTCACCAGAAGCGGCTTAGTCATGCTGGCCACATGATCCGGAAGCTGTACGCCGTCTCCCTCGGCCAATAAAGCAAGATGAGCGCCACAACCCCAGAGTCATCTGCGACTGGACCTAATGGTCGGAGTCCCTTTACCTTTACTTAAAGAGTAAGTTTAGAAAAGGAAAGTGTCCAAACCTGTTTCCAGTGTGTAAGCAAAGAAATGCAAAATGTATTGACAGACACACTGGGCATTTATTCCTTTACAGTCCTTTAAGAAAGACAATTAGTTAACTGAAAAGAAAGACATGTATTTTAAACACCTCCACTAAAATATTAAAGGGTATAAATGCTGCAAATGTTCTTTTTTATAAAAATGTGAGCTACTATACACTACTTCCATTCCATTCAATAATAGGTCTGATTATTGATGCCTTTGGTGAATTAAGAGACCAGCAAGAGCAGGTGAAAGAAGATATGGAGGTACTGATAAATGTTTTTATTTATTCATTTCTCTATTTCATAAAATGTATACAACCATTTGATCGTTTAAAAAAAGAAACCCTCAAAGTGATGAAGTAAACGAGCATATTTTTGTAAATTTTATTTCAGTAAGATATTATACCCAATTACTGATAGGAATCTAGGCTAATTCATCATGGCTTAACCTTCTGTTTTATTTCTAGACCAAATGTTTTATTTGTGGAATTGGTAATGACTATTTTGACACAACCCCCCATGGATTTGAAATGCATACTTTACAAGAGCACAACTTGGCCAACTACCTGTGAGTATATGCACATTCTTTCTTTGTTAAATACAAACCTCTAATGAACTTTTAGCACTAGCCTTACTGTGTAACCCATTGCATGTCTACTCTGAAGCCTTTTTTAATTCAATGGTGCTTCCTCCCACGGAAGCGCGTACAAGATTCTAAGTGTGTGCATATATGATTGCAACCTTAATCTCTGAAACTCAGTCTCCTCAGCACTGTGGTTACTGATCCAAGACTCAGGAAATTATTCATGTGCAGGTGAAAACTATGTGAACAGCTGGAGCTTTTTGTTTACATTTTCTCCATGGTAAATCTTGCTGCTAAAGCCCCTTTAGAGATTGGGATCTGTCAAAGCCTTGCTTTGTAAAGTACCGTAGACATAATTCTGCACCATCATAATCATTAGTAAGAAGTTGAATATGAAGTAATGAATAGCTAAGGCTTATCCTATCTGTATTTGATCTTATTTAAAAAAATTATAAGCTGCTTTGAATGATTAGTCATAACCAGAAATAAAATATTGCAGAAAGTAGCAAGATCAACTTCTTTAGGAGTGGAAGCTTCTTCAATGAGAATACATCAAAGGATGTTTTGATTGGTTTTCTAATTCAAGGCCTGTTGCCCACCCTCCTTGGATTTCCAAATATAATTTATTGGCATATGTGCATAAAATTAGATATGGTATTTTCAGTAATTCAAAAGACAGAATACCTGCGAAAGGAAAAGTAGCACTCTAAAGAGCCAGTTTTCAGAAAGGTGAACACACGGTGAGGCAACAGCCAGAATCTCCATGTATAAGTTCATACTAATCTGTATCCATGTTCTGGTTATTTAGACTGTGAAAGAGAAATACGGTCCCTGAGGGTGAAACAAATTTGTTTTTTGTGGGGTTTTTTTAAAAAAGAGAAACATCCAACAAATGTTTCATTTTCTACCCACAATTTCCCCCCTCCTTTTGTGTCTGTTTCTGGGTACATTTGTCAACATTTTTTTGGATTGTGAACTGGCAGGCACACATTTATATTTACCTATATACAATATTCAGCATAATTTATGCACTTTTACAAAGAGCAGAAAAAATATATTAAATATTGTTGCTACTGCTTTCCCCCTAAATAGAAATCATTGTTATTGTTGTTTTTGAGAAACAGAAGCATTACACTACAGTTTAAAACACAATATGTAGTTTGATATTCTCGTTCCAGGTTCTTCCTGATGTATCTCATTAATAAGGATGAAACTGAGCACACTGGACAGGTAAGCATTATATTCATAGGAGCCAACTCCTAGCGACTGAGCTCCCCCCCCCCCAAATAAAATATTTAAGGGGGCTGGGCCATTCAAATGGTGTGGGTGTGCACCATCATGTGATTGATTATGCTGGGCGGGGCTTGCTCCCCTCCACCCAATATTTTATTCAAGCTGGCACCCTTGATTACACCATTCATTACTACCCCTAACAGTGAACTTGAGCTATGTCTATTACTAAAGCAGAAAATCAGGCTGTCCTGATATCTATGCGGTTGGAGGACTTCCTAGATATGCAGAAAAATATCTGCTTGTAAATTTAAAAAGGATGGACCAGTCACTGAACAATAATGATATTAAATAATATCCTGGGAGGGAGATTAGAATTGGGGTTCTGTGGTAGGGACATAGAAGCTATTTCCCTGGGGCTTCCCCCGAGATACTGCTTTTGACTTTCTTTGTCCTGAAATTTTGGTAGGAGACAGCTGGGAAAGAAGGTTTGGCTGGCTGTGGGGGTGTGTGTCCAAACCTCAAGTTTCAAATATTGAAGGGTTTGGACTTGCTTAAAATCAAACTTGTGGGAGTTCTCATTTTCAGCTAACTCAATGATTTACAATAATTTTTCATGTTTACATGTTTAAATATGCACACATGCTCTGTTAATACAAATCCTGTGAGCAAAACCCCTTGATATTGATTTTGCCCTTACCTCAGAAAAGCTTTTAAAGACTGCTCTGTCAAATGAGCATTTGACACTTTTCAAACATTTCAAATTTCAACCCATTGCAACCCATACATGAAAGTTACAGGACTTATGCAGCATTCAAGTGAATGTGTGTGCTACAAAATAAATGACACTCAACAGGACTAGGCTGACATACACCACTAAATTAAACAGGATTTAACAGATGCTTAATATAACTAACAAAGATGCGAATTAAACTGATGTTGACTTTGGTATATATGTGGTTTCAGTGAGACAGACATTCTCTGCTGTGAATCTTTTGAAAAAAGATCTTTCTCTCATACTTTCAGGAGTCCTATGTATGGAAAATGTACCAAGAAAGATGCTGGGATTTTTTCCCAGCTGGAGACTGCTTCCGTAAACAGTATGAAGATCAACTTGGATAAAATATCAACCAAAAAACAACTAGCACTCAAACTTACAAGATTTAGACAAAAATCAAAGTCTTACCATTTCATGGTGTAATATAAGTATTATGTATGTTTAATCTTTCGATACAACAAAACTAGTTTAATTTTACAAAGATCCAGCTGGGCTTTTTGCACCTGGCAGAACCAGGCCTTATATTGTCTGGATTTCAGCTTTCTTACTGGAGAAGTACAAAGAAATATAATTAAACTTTCAAATTACAGTATTCTAGTTCACAAGTTATTATTTGTTATTAACCCAACTCCTTAGGTAATAAAAATAGTTTAGTTGAAAGGGCTACAGCATTGTTTGTTACATGCACAACATCTGCAACCTAAGAACTTGAATGTCAGATGACAAGGCCTCAATTACTGGCTCATATTAGGATCCTAACAATATTTCAAGCAGCTTTATTTCCGACTCCCCCATGCCACTTCCTTGTGAGAAGATCCAGAAAGAAAGTTTCGAATCCTTCAGTGCTTAAAACTTTCAAATATTTTACTGTCTATAAAATCCTAATTAAAGTGCCTTAAATATTTGCAGACATAGCTATGCAAAAGGTTTTTTTTAGGTGGCATTTTAGATTGACATTTTTGTTAACTGGTTGTGTTGCTTCCCTGTCTTACTGTATGAAATACTTGAAGGTGAGTCATATATTTGTTCCAATATCAGCGTATTAGATGCAGATGGTAAAAAATATACTGTCTCACGATCTTACATAATTAAATTTTAGGTCAAATAAAAATGCTTTATGGTCAAATAAGTAGTTAAGTTGCTATGTTTTTGCATATTTCCTTTGAATAAAACGTGCCCACTGCAATAAAGAATTTACAAAACCAATCTTAATTTTTGTCACTTTTTTTATGAACAAACTAAGTCACACCACAACTACAACATACAGTTTGCATTCACCAGCACTGTTTATTTTGCAGCTTTAAGCGAGAAGTTCTTCTACAGCAGAAGCCGAAATTGTCCTGCTGTTATCTGAATTATTTTAAACCATCTGTGCAACATTTTTAATTTACAAGCATTTCAAGAGAATGTCATTATATTTCTTCAGGCAGTGTAATACAGAGAATTCTCTGCAAGGTGTCCAGCATATTTGACACTAAGAAACAACAAAAGTTGAACATGTAGCATAATTAAAAATCAAGGTGAAGTTGCTACTTAATTAAATACTTGTAAGCAATTATTCTATACCAGCTACTGTCATGTCAATTTTTCAGTTTACTTGCGTGCCAACCAAAACGTAGCCTTAGGAGATCATGCTGTCTAACCAGTCTTCAAGGTCCTCTTCGGAAATATTTTTGGATGTTGCTTCTTGCTGTTGAGATGCTGAGCAAATTTGTTCAGTTCCATCCAGTTCTAAAAGGTCTGAAGAAATAAAAACAGAACAAAATTTAACTAACTTGTCTGGGGATGGCTAGGCAGGCAAATGCTGACAAGCTCCAATAACAGCAAACCTGAGAGCCAGTTAGGAAGCTGACTCCATCATCCAGCTTCTAAAGGAAGACAGGCTGGGTGATTTAAAAGCCCCCTGCAAGTCAGGATCTACCAGAAGACAGGAGAAGAAGAAAGGTAATAGCTGAAAAAGGGAAATCCATCTAACAATATGCTGGACCTCCCAAATTCCTGAGATAATGGGAAATAATAGGAGGCACTAGAATTGTAAAACATCTATTTTCCAGGCTCTGTATGCACTGGGAAGAAAATTTACCACAAAAGTACTGCTTGAGTTTTAAGGTGACTTTGTTTCCTTACTGCCTTCACAATTATAAAATATTCCCTCTTTATCTCCTCCTCCAAAAGAATAAAATAAAATTGAGGAACTGACCTATGGGTACAGGACTGATACATAGATGAAAATGACACAGAAAATAGATTGGGACGTGAATTAAGGTTTTTAAAATAACGGAACTATTTAATATACAAACACAGTTAAATCAGCTTTCCCCTTGATGTATGGAGCGTTTCCTAACCAAAGTGCAAACCTTTATTAATTTACAACTAAAGTGTTAGTTTATTTACACTGTTGTTTCATTCTTACAAACAGGATTTGCATCAATTTGTAATGCTGGTTATGTTTTGCACACTTTGTCTTTAAATGTTCCCATAAAGCTTCATTTTTTACGGGAAACAGCCATGACCCTTTGAGAGGTTAAATATGAAAAAATAACATGCATTTTGCCTCTTCTATCTAAGTGCTGCTCCTTTCTGCTTCACTCTGCCATGGTCACCATCACAAAAGCAAGATATCAAGCAAGAAAGAAAAGAAAAAGCCCACACTTGATGGGTTGAACCATGGTTTGTCTGGTAGTTACTCGGCAAATTAGAGCAGTGAAACTGAATGCCTATGTTTGGAAGGGAGAACACAAATATTCCTATCTGAGAAACAATCTAATTGTTTTTACACAGAAAAGCCTTCCTTAACTCACTGTATCAATTCAGTTTACAAATAAATCCTAATACAAGCATATTAGCACTGCAGTTAATCTCTAAAGAGAAAAACAGTATTTACATTTAAGAAAAATATCCAATTTAAATGTTTAAAATCCAAATTTTATTTTAAAACATCCATTTTGTTTATGCCCCATAATAAAGCTCTCAGCTCAGAAAGAGAGATTACCTTGCTTACCTCTAGGAATGTGCTGCCCCTTCACACAGGCCCACAGTCATCTTCTGCCTCAGTGCTTACTATTGCTTTCTAACCTCTTTATTATATTTATACCCCACTTTTCAGTTAATATCAAAACCCAAAGCAGCTTACAATTAAAATGCACACAAAAGCTACAGCTGTTAAAAGGAATGTGAAACCACAGAATCTTTAGGTTCAGGTAATTCCCTCCTGGAGGATGAAAAAGGAGCTGCAGATGGACTTTGGCCATGCCCCATGTCACCTTTGTGTTTGTGGAGACTTGGCTACAATTGCCTTTCAACTGCTACCTGAGAGCTGCTAGGTCAGACCACTCTTCCAACTCATCTTTGATCTCTGAAGTCTCTGAATGAGTGGTAAGCTGGACTGCCCAAGGTCACTAGTGTATCTATCACCCAGAAGACAGACAGTCCAATTTCCAGTGGCATCATATGCCTGCCTATTTCTATGGATGGTTGTCAGATATTGAGGCTGCCAAACAATATAAAACCACTCACACATCTCAAATGGTGGCAAGGTATGAAGATCTCTTCCTGCCCGGCAGTTCCTGCACCCTCAGTGGGCCTTGTCATATAGCTGAATGAGCTCATAGCTGACTGTAAACCAGAGCACAACTGCAATTTAGAGAAACAAAATAAACAATTGGGGAAAATGCTTACCATTTACTTCATGAGGCATTTTCAAATCATCCCCAGATAATCTATCATGGGATATTGTTTCCAGTTCAAAGTTTTCAGGATGAATAGGGGCATCCAACTTCAGTAGTTGATCAAGGTCGTCATCCAATTGATCCTCTTGGTGTGTAACTGATGAGCATTTCTGGAGGGCTTCTGAAGACGATCCAAATCCATCTTTATTCGGCAGCGGCAGGTGGCCAACAGAGTCTGCAGAAGAAGATGAGTTTGATGCAACTGTATTTTGCCCCATGGACTGTTGTAATGGAGCACTTTTCTTGGGGACTTCACTGCTTTTCAATTTAATTTGGGGGAGTATGGCAGGTGTTGCATCCTAGGACCAGAAGGGAAAAGAAGTTGTGCAATGGCTAATGTTCATTAAAACCACACCTTGATCCCTGCACTGTATGCCAATTTTATTTCTGAACACAATTCAATGTGCTGGTAGACCCTTATACAACTAAAGGCTACCCTTTCCCATGCATCCTACCTGGGCCCTGCAGCTGGACCCTCCACCAAAAGATGTTCAGAGGGCAGCAATAGGAGACCACACTTTTCTAGTGGCAGCTCCCAGATTATGGAATTCTCTCTCTCCAGGGAAGCTTGCCTGTCATTGACTCTGACATCTTTCTGATACCAAGCAAAAATGTTTTAATTTTCATGGGTATTTGGACAGTACTTATGGTCTGGATTTTACTAGCTATTTCTAGTATTCATTCTTCTGTTGGCTGAGGGTTGATATTCTTGTTTTTGATTATTTTAGATGGATACGTTCAGTACGTTTGTATTGTTTTATGAGTATTTTATTATTTTTTCTGAGTATTTTGCATTTTACTTTTATTGTAAACCACAGTGGGACTCCTTTTAGTTGTGTGAAGTGATAAATTTCATAAACTTCAACTAATAAACTTATTATTTAAATAAACGCCCATTGTCTATGAGATTTGTATGCTACCCCATGAAGTACTCTGGGCAACTAAGAATATATAAGTATAAAACAATTAAAATATAAAATAAAGCATACCTTCAAAAGCAACATAAATATGACAAGAAAACTAAACTCATCACAATCCAAAATATAAAACACAGATTTAAAAACGGAGACAACCAGACTAAGCATTAGGTGAACAGATTTGTGTTCTTGACATCAAAAAGACCACAAGGGTTTTGCTAGGTGAATGCTTTTTAGCAAGTACCACTACTGAAAAGGCCTTCAACCTGGTGGTTGGCCACTTTACTTCATTTCACAGGGGCATTCAAAACAGGGCCTCCAAGAAGAACCTAAGTCTGGGTGGGAGGTGGTGGGTCTTTCAGGGAATCTGCTCCCAAGCCATTTAGGCCTTAAAAGGTTAGGATTGTAAACTGAGCCTGGAAACTGACTGAAAGTTGGCAGAGAGAGGCGTAATGTGGTCAAACCATCTAGTCCCAGCTAATAATTTTGCAAATCCTGTTCTGGATCAACTGCAGTTTCTGGGCCTTTGTGAAAGGCACCTTCAGTATTCTAGCAGTTACCAAAAGCATGGGTAATAGTGGTTAAGCTGCCACCATCCAGGTAAGGTCACCCGCAAGCATATCAGTTGAAGTTGACAACAACAACAATGTATTAAATTTATATACTATCCTTCATCTGAAGAGCACAGGGTGCTTTACAACATACAAGGTGTTTTAAAGAAGGTTCCTCTCATTTGGCCTAATGATATTATTTTTATTTTATTTTTTTAATTGTATATTTCTCATTTTATGTCTACGAGGCTTTTTAGGCAATGCTGTTATATACTTGCCTTTTCTTCTCATAATGTAAGATTTAAAAAACAGAATACACTTTAAGTCTGGCAAGGTGAATCAGTGGAATCGACAGGCTGTGAAGCCTTTTTTTCAGTGAAGGGCTCAAATTGCAAAACAAGTTTTGTCTTATGCTTAATAATGACAATGAAATGAGAAGCATTCACCCAGCTAAACAATGTACAACATTACTTACTTATTGCCAAGGTATAATAATAATAATAATAATAATAATAATAATAATATTTTATTTATACCCCGCCCTCCCCAGCCAAGACCGGACTCAGGGCTAACAACCAATAATAAAAACAAGTTGATTAAAATACAATTTAAAAGATTAAGATACAACATCAAAACAATTAGGGAGCAATCTCTTCATAGGAGGAGAAAGGAAAAAGAAAGAGGGGAGGGAATCAAACTGATTCTGAGCCAAAGGCCAGGTGGAACAACTCTTACAGGCCCTGTGGAAAGAGATCAGATCCCGCAGGGCCCTGGTCTCATGAGACAGAGCATTCCACCAGGCCGGAGCCAGTGTTGAGAAGGCCCTGGCTCTGGTTGAGGCTAATCTAACTTCCTTAGGGCCCGGGACCTGTAGGGTGTTGCTATATATGGACCTTAAGGCCCTTCGTGGGGCATACCAGGAGAGGCGGTCCCGTAGGTACGAGGGTCCTAGGCCGTGAAGGGCTTTAAAAGTAAAAACCTTAAATCTGACCCTGTACTTCACCGGGA